TTTTTGTATTTTTAATTTTGAGGCACGGGCTAAATCATAAATTGTCCAGGCTGGGCTGGAACTTGCAATCCTCATCCTCCCAGAGTTCTGGGATCACAGGTATGTGCCACCCGTGGCTGGCTACAGACACATTTTTAAGCTTTCATTTTGTATGACACTCAGTGGCATTGAAGAAGCTACAAAAAGGAGTAAAAAAAATCTGAGGGGCTGGAAATATAGTTCAGAGGCACAGCGTCTGCCTGGCAAGCACAAGGTTGTGAGTTCAATCCCTGGTGTTCAAAAACAGTTCAAAAAAATAGATGAATCCAAGACTTTAGACTCTGGCCGTGGGAAGAGTCACAGATGTGGTCAAGAGTAGGAGGAGCCAGGTTAATGCCACCCAGCAAAGTGCACAACCAAGCAGAAACCAAGCCCCTGGACAGTTCTGTCCAGTTTTTCTTCACATTCCTGCCATTTATCACCCAGCCAAATGTCTGCTCCCAGCCAGGAAGGAGCACAGCCACTAGACTCACTATCTAGTCTTTGACAATGGACAGGACATATGAGACAGGCATGTGTAAATGCTGGACTTCAGGCATCTCAGGACTGTCACATCCTCCCTCTGCCTGGGACTGTAAACAGCTGGGTGGGCTCTGTCCTTACTCTGAGGTGACAGAGTTGGACATGCCCAGGCCAAGGTAGTGGAGAAGGAAGAGAGCTTCCATCAGTCCCTGCAGGAGTCAGCTGGAACCAATTAGGATGAATTTGTGAGCAAACCTTGTGAGATGGGGGAAGAATCACCCCAAAGTAGCTGAGTGCACAATGTTTCACCCCAATGGGGTGAAAATCATGTCCATTTCCACTAGTATGCATGGAAAACCTTATAATTTATGGGGCTCTGGGTAAATTGTGTGGGAAGATTTTTGTTTTAGAAGCAGAGAAAAATCCACGCAAGACTGGGGGCCGCTCTGCTTCTACCTATAAAAGTTTAAAAGTAAGCTTTAGCACGTGTGGTGGTGCACGCTGCCATCCCAGCACTCTGGGAGGCTGAGGCAGGAGGATTATGAATTAGTGAGACCCTGTTTTAATATTTGGTGGGGGACTGAGATATAACTAGGTGTGAAGCTCTGGGTTCAATCCCCAAGCAAATAACAAAAAACAAAAAAGCAAGGGTGGGACCAGCCATGGTGGCTTGTGTCTGCAGCAACTTAAGAGCAGCTGTGGGGCATAGCAAGACCCCAGTTCAAAAAACAAAATAAATCTTTAGATTCAAACTTTTTTAAAAAAATTAACCTCAGGGCTGAGGATATAGCCCAGTGTTAACTCACCTGCTTAATATGTGTAAGGTCCTGGGTTCCACACTCCCCCCCTCCAAACTGCAATGTGGTACAAATAACTAAGAATTTTAAAAATCCAAGACTCAGCAGAGTAAAATTCACAATATTTGTCACTTGTTAAAAAATTACTAGGTATGAAAAAAAGCAAAAAATACAACCCATAGTAACAAGAGGCATAAAATAGATCCAGAAATTAATCAGATAATAAAATTAATAAAGTTATTGCAACTATTCCTTATTTGTTTGCTTATTGCTTTTTCATTTGAGACAGAGTCTTTCTGTGCAGTTCAGGCTGGTCTTAAGCTCACTTTGTAGCCCGGGATGGAGTCAAACTTGCAGTGATACTCCTGTCTCAGCCTCCTAAGTGCTGGAAATACAGGCATGCACCACCATGCCCAGGTTCCATTTTTTTGAGACAAGGTCTTGCTATGCATGCCAGGCTTGTGTTGAACTCACTATGTAGCTTAGACTGGCCTGGAACTCAGAGAAATTCTCCTGCCTCAGTCTCCTGAGTGCTAGGAATACAGCCATGCACCACCACAACTGGCAATATTCTACATATTTTAAAAGTTAGAGGAGCTGGGGGTTTAGCTCAGCGGCATAAGCACCTGCCTTGCAAGTGTGTGGTCGAGAGTTTGACCCCCGGTACCGATAAAAAAAGAAAAAGACCAAAAAAAAAAAAAAAAAAAAAACCAAAAAACAGAATAAGTTGGACTTGGTGGTGCACACCTGTAAATTCAGCTATTGGGTAAGCTAAGGCAAGAAGATTTGAAGCTTGAAGCTAATCTGGGCAATTTAGCAAGACTATCTCAAACTCAAATTAAAAGGGCTGGTTCATACCTCAGCATTAGAACACTTGTCTAGCATGCACAAGGCCCTGGTTTCAATACCCTGTACTAAAAAAAAAAAAAAAAAAAGTTACAAGAAACATTGAGCATGTTAATCTGAGCCATAAAAGATGGATGGGAGGGGTTTGAATCCAGGTATTGTGCTGATCATGATAAACTACAAATGAGCTATACTGCCAGCCTCATGAAATATAGATTTTTCATAGAGAGTGCAAAGCCAGCCTGAACATGAGTTGAAGCCCAGGCTGGCTTCAAATTTGCGGCATTTGTGCCTCAGCCTCTTGAGTGCATCACTATACATGGCATAAGATATAGAAGATTTTTAGAGACCCAAATCTAGCTTCCAGAGATAGGAACTACGCTGAAAATACATTTAATAGGATTAGCACCACATTAAATGCCACAAAAGAACAGATTACTAAATTTGAGTACACAGCAGTGGGAATCACCCAAAACAAAACACAGATGTACATGTACCAACTCACTGGGAGGAATGTGATCATCATGTACTAATAAAAATGACTGAAAAAGAGGAAACAGTAGAAAAAAAAGTGTGTAAAGATGAACAAAGCATCACTGATTTTAGGACAGCTTTAAACCTCCTAGTAGTCAGGACAGCTGGAGCTCCAGAGAAAAGGGGAGGGCGGGAAAAGCATTGGAGAAAATAGTGACTGGCAAATTTGCAAACTTTCCAGGTGTGGTGGTGCACGCCTGTGATCCCAGCACTCAGAAGACTGAGGCAGGAGGACCACAGTCAGTTTGAGGCCAGCCTGGGCTACATAGCCCAGACCAGCTTGAACTACAAAGTGAGACCCTGCCTCAAAAAAAAAAAGCAAACTTGATGAAAACTACAAGTCCACAGATAAATTCAACAAACCCCAAGCACAAGAAACACAAGTAAAACTACAAAAAGGCATATTCTCACCACAGATCTTAAAACTAGTGATAAAGAGCAAATTGTAAAAGTAGTCAGAACAGCTGGGTGTGGTGGCGCACACTTGTAATCCCAGCACTCGGGAGGCTGAGGCGGGAGGATTGTTGTGAGTTCAAGACCAGCCTGGGCTACAAAGTGAGCTCAAGGCCAGACTGAACTGCATAAAGAGACCCTGTTTCAAAAAGACAGGAAAAAAAAAAAGTAGTTAGAATAGTAAACAGACATAGGACAGAGGCTCATATGTAAGAATAAGTGCAGGTTTCTCACCTTATACAATGCAAGCCGAAGATAAGTAGACCTTCATTTTTGTTTTTTTAATTTTTAAATTTATTTATTCTGTTTGAGACGGGGTCTCGCTATATAGCCCTGGCTGGCCTTGAACTTGCAGCAATCCTCTGCCTCTGCCTGCTAAATACTGGTATTACAAGCACGCACCACCATGTCTAGTGAGCAGCGTTTTTTATTTTATTTTTGTATTGGGGATTGAACTCGTAACCTTGTGCTTGCCAGGCAGGTGCTTATGCCACTGAGCTAATCCCCATCCTGTGAGCAGCATTTTTAAAGTACTGCAAACACACACAACAACAACAACAAAATCTGAGATGGGGGCTGGGGATTTAGCTCAGAGGCATAAGTGCCTGCCTGGCAAGTGTGAGGTTATGAGTTCCATCCCTGGCACAAAACAAACAAACAAACAAAAAATCTGAGATGAACCCAGAGGGTTTTCTGGGATGAGTCTGGTGCTCGCCATCTGTAGGGGGCTAAAGCCCCCTGTTTTGGGTGATTCCCACTGCTGTGTACTCAAATTTAGTAATCCGTTCTTTTGTGGCATTTAATGTAGTGAACTGCTGCAGCCACCAGTGATGCCTCTGCTGAGTCTGTCACAGCTTTGAAATGGGTGTCCTCTTGGTTCCCCCTGAGCTGGGGCAAAGAGGCCTGGCACTCACAGCATGATCACTGCAGCGTGGGGCTCCCCTTGCTGTCTCAGTGATGGTGCTGGATCTATGATCGCTGGAATCTGGGTTCAAATCCCTGCCCTACCACTTGCTGCTGTGTAATCCAAAGTAAAATATTTAGCTTCTATTGTGCCTTGGCTTCCTCACCTATAACATAAGAGGTAATACTAGTACTCTTCCCTCCTTGGGTAGCTATAGGACTAAATGAGTTTTGTGCAAATTTAATAAACGGCACCTGGCAGAAGTAAACGGTGCCTGTATTATTACTGCTGATGTTATTATTGAAAATACACAGAGTGCATTTGTTGAAGGCATGAACGATGGAAGGAAGGCGGAACCGAGGAATTACTCAGAGAAAGTTGAATAGTCCCATCTGTCAGAAGGGGAGGAATGGCCGTATGGGTGCTTGTTGGAGTTTTTAATGTCGCGTTAAAGAGTGTGCATTATTTGGTAAGCAGCACGGAAACAATAACAGAGTTTGTCAACAGATGGGAGAAAGGGCCAGGGAACGCATGGCTAGGCCGAGACAGAAGGCATGGATGTGGCGAGGGGAGAGGCAGGGGGTGCAATGCGGGTTCAGGACAGGTGGGTGGGGATGGGGTGGGGTGCATAGGGGCAGAGGGAGGCAGCACCGACCTCAGGAGGCTGGAGTGAGGCTCAGGTGCGTCTGATGGGGTCGGGAAGTCGGGACAGGGCATCCTGGGAGGAGGACGCTGAAGGGTGAGGGGACAGGTGAGAGGTGACGCGGCCCTGCTGGGGCCCGGCCGGGTGAACGGCAGAGGCTGGGAAGGAGGCGCGGAGCCGAGGGGACACGGTGCACCGCGCAGGGGCGGCGAGCGTGATGTCAGCGCGGGCGGTGATGTCAGGCCCGGTGCTGATGCTGGCGGCGCGGTGCATTGTGGGCAGCTCCCGTCCGCTGCCGCCGCCCGGGAAGGATCGGGCCGGGCCGGGCCGGGCCGGGATGGTCCCGGTCGGGAGGCCGCCGCCGTCGCCGCCGCCGCCGCAGGGAGCCGGGCGCCCCGCGCCGCGCTGAGCCGCCCCCGCGCCCGCCGCGCTCCGGGCCCGGCCCGGGGGGATGGAGCCGGCGTCCCGCAGGTGAGGCCGGGCGGGCGGGCGGGCGTGCAAGCGGCTCCTCGGGCCGCGGCTCCAGCTCCGGGCGCGGCTCTGCTGCGGTTGCCGCCCGGGCGGGGACAGAGACGCGGGGACGGGGACTCGGGGACGGGGACGCGGGCCTGACCGCCTGGGCCGCAGCGGGGCCTGGGCCTCCCCGCGCGCAGACCCACCGGGGGCAGGGTGAACCCCGGCTCCCTGTGCCCCCGACAAACCATGCAGCCTCTCCTTCTGGCCCTGACTCCCCCGTCCCACCTCCTCCGTGCCCTCCTCACCCTCTCGGGCTGTGGCTTCCTCACCTGTCACTGCCAGAGACCTGGCACCTGCCTCTGTCTTTCCCTTGGTCCCACGGCTGCTGTCCCTCGGCTCTCTGCTCTCTTCCAGCCCCTTCTCACCTGTTCCCAGAACCCCTCCTGGGCCGCATCTCTTCGTACCTGGGAGCCCGGAGTCCCCACACACACCTGGCTCACACCTCACATAGTTACACACATCATCTATTTTCACACACAAACACCTAGGGAGACACCTCTCCCCGAGATTCCCTCTATCACACACACACACACACACACACACACACCAGCTCAAATGCTCTCTGAAAGACATTCATAATCACCTCCTCCTCACTAGGCCCCTTCCTCACAACCATCCAGCCTCCCACACCCAGAGAACCCCAAGAGGCAGCTATGGATGCTGAGTTTCTGGAGTGTGTCTTGCACACCCATCAGAACCCAGTGTAGTCCTCCGAGAGGGACAGAGGGAAGGATGGTGGCTAGAGAGGGACAAATCTCTCATTTCCCACCTCACCACCTTCTGTTAGGGTTTGCCCATTGGTAAAAATGGAAGCAGGACGCAGTTTCCTCATCCACCTAGAGAAGCCACTATCGCAGGACTGCAAGGCCCACCAGAGGTCACGCAGTTCAACTTCTTTTTATTTTCAATTTTTTGGTGGTTGTGGGGATGATGCCCAGGGCCTAGCACATGTCAAGAACGTACCCAACCACTAACTACACCCCAGGCCCAGTTCAGCTTGTTAAGGCCCCTTCCCACCAGCTCCACCGCTGCCTCAGTTTCTTCTCCTCACCTTCAGTCCAGAACCCTCGACCCCACCTCACCCTCCCTTCTTCCATGGCCCTACTGTCCTCCAAGTTCCTGAGCTCCAAATCCCCGCCTGGCAGAAGGGAAAAGCTTCTGCGGATTGGAGGACACAGTTCAGTTTTATCATTTCAAGAAAGGATGTCGATGTCCTTTTCCATGAAGATTCCTTCTCCACATATCCCCAGGGGACCCCATGACCTGTTGGGGGATGTCTTGTGCCTTCACATCCCGCCCTGTCCCTTGACTGGGGGGTCTAGATGCTCGAGTCCTTGAACCATCCCATCCCAAGGAAAGTCAGGTTAATGTCCTTCCCTCCGCACCTATAAACCCCTTACTCACCTTCCTCCTCTTCAGGAGTCCCCAGCCTAAGTGACTTCCTCTGCTTTCTCTTCTGTTTGGGATCCTCCAGGGTCATTCTGAGGGGGCTATAGCATGTATGTGAAAAGTGTGGGAGCCACACAGGAGGGTGCAGATCCTGGGCTCATCCTGGACTTGGAAGGGATGGCAGAGATCTCAGGAAGTCATCTCTTTTGGCCCTTTGTCCACACACGTGCAACATCACAGATGCACAGACACAGACTCACACTCACAAGCACACAGACATGGGGGAGAAGACGCGTAGGCACATTCATAGACAGATGCATGTGCACAGCCACACACACAGGCACACACGTACACACGCACTCTCCCTGGGTCATGTGCCTAGGTGTCCTGCTCCTCAGTTGGGACACTCATCTTGATGTCCATCTTCTGTGCAGACACGGAAAGGTGTGGCCGGCTACTCTCCCCAGACCTGTGGCCCTGTGACTCCTCCGGCTTCCGTAGGGTGCTCCCGCTAGCCTGCTGTCCCCAGTTCACCCTGCCTGTCCCTCTGGAGATGACAGGCCGTCATCCTTCCTGGGTCCATGTCTTGATTTCCTGTCTTGCATTTACCCCTCTGCTCCCATCCGGGTCCCCAGACCCTGTGGTGGGTTAAGCTCGCGGCTGAGCATATCAGCCAGCCATGCACCCCTCAACTTGGCATCCTGAGGTGCTGTCCAGCACCTCTGCATTCTCTGTCACCTCGCCATGGCTGTCAGCAGATCGCTCTGCTGTGAGCCTCCTGTGGGTCACCCTCTGGTCAGTAGGTCTTCCCCTTTGCCCAAGCCTAGCATGCAGAGCAGTTTGGAGCATTTTTGTGCTACAGGAGGTGCAGACACCCAAACCGGCCCTTCTGGCCTACTCTCTCGCCCAGGTCCCCGTCTTGCGTGCTCCCTGGGTTAGGAAGTTTGCCCCACATGAGTTAGCATGTGTCTCTCTGGCCAGTGTCCATGCCATTGTCCTCTCCTCCTTCTCCACATGTCACGTTGCTGATTCCCACATCTCCGGTGTGCAGTTTGTATCCCCCCTCCCATCCCCAGACGCATCCTGCACGCGGTGGACCCCTCCCTCTGTGCTGGCTCCTGGGCCCAGCCGCTCATTGCTGCTCCCCACCCCCAGGTAGATGGCCCCCCCAGGGCAGGCCCTGCGGACACCCCTCCCTCCGGCTGGCGGATGCAGTGCCTAGCGGCTGCTCTTAAGGACGAGACCAACATGAGTGGGGGAGGGGAGCAGGCCGACATTCTGCCGGCCAACTACGTGGTCAAGGACCGCTGGAAGGTGGTGAGTGCCGGGAGAGCGGAGGAGCGGGTGAAGCCTCAGAGGGCGGGTGCCCCAGGAGCGGGGAGTCCCCAGCTCTGGGCATTGCACTTCCAGTCCTTATTTTGCGCGCACGTGCGGACCCTCGCCCGCTCGGGCACCCTCGGCCCCACCCCTCTGTCGCCCCCTCTGGTGGGGTCCTGCGGCCGCTTCGCCCGGAGCGACTCCTGGTTGGACGCCTGGGCCCGAGCCGCAGAGCCCCGCGGGGGAGGGGGCGCAGGGCGCTGGCCCGGCCGGACCTTGAGAAGGGCAGGAGGAGCGCGCCTGGCGCTTCCGCAGGGACGGAGGAGGGGTTTGGGGACCCAGGCCTGGGCGCCCCCGCCCCGCGCTCCCTCCCGGCCCTGCGGCAGGTGCAGCGCTCTCGGCTCCCGCACCCGCCTCGCCGCGCGGCCTGATGGGGGCTGTAGTCCGGCCCCCGGGTGGAGGGGTGGCGGGACCACGTGGGGTCCGGACGCGGCTGCGGTGGAGGCCAGGCCTGAGGGCGATCAGACCCCTGTCCCCTCCCCTTCGTCCCGCTGATGTGAGCGCTGCAGTGTCCTCTGATCTCTCCGGGACGGTGGTGTCAGGGGAGCAGTGTGACACTGGGGTCCGCAGAGCCTGAGGATGGAGGGGGTGTTGAGGACAGCAGAGGTCAGGCTTGCACTGCGTGTGTGTGTGTGTGTGTGTGTGTGTGTGTGTGCGTGTGCGTGTGCGTGTGTGTGTGTGTGTATGCGGACGGACGGCGCGCGCCTGAGTGGAGGGGAAGCTCAGCTCCCCAGGGGTGCGGGGTTGGAAGCGAGGGTGGGGCCTGGCTGCAGGCTGGTCTCCATGGCAACTGTCACCCGGCCGCGCAGGTCCCCTAGGGGTCCAGAGAGAAAGGCAAAGGTGGCGGGGGGGGGGGGGGGGGGCGTGAGAGATGGGGAGAGGCGCGGAGAAAAGGAGACTCCAGGGTCCCCGGGATTGAGGGAAGGAGCTCTGTGACAGAGACGTCCTCAGAGACAGAGCAACGAGATAGACACTGGGGGCGCAGCCACCGACCTAGAAGGCTGAGGGCCTGGGAGGGAGGAGACTCCTTCTAGACCCTCTGCATCCCGCTCGCTCGGAAGCTGGTTCCTGAAAGGTGCGGAGGAGGAGGTGAGGACAGCCCTTGTGGAGCGTTCGGCCTGGGACCTTGTGCTCTGGAGCATGAGTGGAGCGCGGGGCACTCAGAGGAGGGCAAAAAGCCAATTTTGCCAGCCTTGTGTCCCTGCAGTGGGAGCTCAGGGGTTGGAGTGCCAGGTTCCCCGCTGCACAGTGAAGCATGGGACTGGGACAGTAGGCAGAGGTCTGAGCAGGGCAAAGCTCCCGGGGAGGGGCTGTGGTCAGGAAAGAATGGGGCAGCTGAATATTTAAAATAATCATGTCTTTCTGAAGGTGTGTCTCAGGATGAGACAAGCTGACAATAATAAAAGTATAGCATTTATTTTGCATCTTCACTGTTGCTTGGTGCTTGTGTTGGGTTTCTCAATAAGCTGGGAGAGTAACTGCTAGTGTCCCTGTTTCACAGGTGTCGAAACGGAGGCCCAAGGGTACCTAATTGGCCAAATTCCCTTGACTGTTAGGTGAGACCAGGTCTGTCTGCCTACTGGGTAACATCAACCCATCCAAGCATTAGAACTGTAGCTGATGGAGTCTTTGTGATCAGTTGTAGCCCAGCTCTCTTGAGGGTTCCCCAGAACTGGGCCCTGCAGCCAGGTCTTCCCAAGTGATGCTGGCCCAATGGGTCACATTTCTGCTCCAGGCCAGGGTGTAGAGGTGAACTCCAGACTGGCAGACGGGAGTTGAGTAGATCTTCCCGTAAGGGGGCTGTGGGGTGACTGGGTGAGGACTTTCCTGAGCCCTAGGGACTCTGGTCTTCCCTCTTCTTCCATAATTAAGTTGTAGTTTATGGCTGCATTCCTATAAAAAAGAAAGTGTTCATACTATCTGTTAAATATTTTCTTTGACTTTTTTCCTTTTCTGATTTTGAAATGAGCATTTTTTTTTTTTTTTTTTTTTGTCTTATTGAGACTGGATGTCTCTATGTAGTTCAGGCTGAGCTCACTTTGTAGCCCAGGCTGGTCTCGAACTCTAAACGATCCTCCTGCCCCAACCTCCCGAGTGCTGGGATTACAGGTGTGAACCACCACGCCCAGCCAAAATGAGCATTTTTTATGAATCCCTAACAGCATTTTGGTACGGGATAGATAGGTGGACCCCAGCCTCAGGGTGGAAGTGGGGGGCTGAAGGTGCACACCCCCATCTCCCTGCCCCAGACAATGAGGTGGGACTGAGGAAGGAAAAAGAATCTGCTTAAAAATGAAGGTGAAGAGAAATCCCTGGGTGCCTGGGAAGGTGGGGAGTAGGTGTCAGAAGTGTCGCCCCCATGGGCTGCCCTGGTTTGGTTCCTTCCTCCAGCAAGGATTGTGGAGCTGGCAGGCCTCGACTTGGGCCCCAGCACACACTTCGAATGCGGTAGAGTCACTGCCTCACCTCCTCTGGATTCTTCCCCTGCATGGGCTCTGTCTTCAACTGCCTATGTGAGGATGAAACAGCTGGTGTGGCCCAGGTGCGCCACTGTGCCTCAGTTTCTTCTCTGCATAGGAATCTTCTGTGTGGGGAATCCTGGGCCTGCAGGATTAATTTTGCAGGTCCTTTCATTTGTGCTTACTCACAGCACAGCTCAGAGCTGGGTGTGGTAGTGCACACCTGTAATCCAGCACTCTGGAGGCTGAGGCAGGAGGATTGCCATGAGTTCAAAGCCAGCCTGGACTACAGAGTGAAACCTTGTCTCAGACAAACAAACCAAACAGCAAAGCTCAGGGATCTAGGAGGTATAGTGGCTCCCCTGAGTCTAGCGCTCCTGGAGAAGCATGGACATTGTCTCCTTAGCATCACATCTGTCTCTCCTGGCTCTGAAACCCTTCCAGAGCCTGATCAGTCCCCATCCCCACTAGAAAGACGCTCTGGTTGCTGGCTGTATTTCCTCCTTCCTTGCTCCTTTCTGGGCACAGGAGCCTTTGTGTTCCCACCCCGCCTTGGCTTTTCTCCTGTCTTCCATTTGTGCTTCTCCTGCCTCAGCCCACCCAATACTCCGATCACAGGTGTGCGCTCTACCACACTATGCTGTAGCTCTCTTAAACTGGATTTAGAACTCCGCACCTCTCTCTCTCTCTTAAATCAGATTTAGAACTCAGAACCTTCTCCTGCCCCTGGGAGTCACTGCCCGCTTGTGCTCTCATCCTTAAGCCCCTGGGCCTCCAGGTTGACATGAATTCTAATCCCTGTCTGTCATTCACACTGGCTCTGCCCCAGCCAGTTCTTGGCCACAGTCCCCCTCGCCTTCTCTCTGCTTCAAGGAGGCTAAGTAGGAGGCCTTGCAGGTCAGACTGCTGCTCCATTCTTCTCTAAAGCTCCTTCCCTTCTGTCCACCTTGCCCCTGACCTGGGCAGGAAGTCACCCTGGTTCTGGCGTGTGACGAGGGACCGGGAAGTGATGTGAGCCTCTGCAGTGGGCTCAGGCTGTACACATCTTTTGCTAGGTCCTCTCTCCCAGCTACTCTTTCCCTTGGGTGACATTTCAGGACACCACTAGCCCAGGAAGTGTGGCTCTCCATGCCCAGGCTGGGAGTCCTGGCATCATTCTCTTTCTGGATGGGAGGGGCTCAGGTTGGGGGAGTGTGACAGTGCTGTCCTAGCGGAGGGAAGGTCTGGGACAGCCCCGATGTCTAGAACCTTAACAGCAGGGCTGCCTCCAGAGCTCAGACACCTCAGAGCCACAGGTGTCTTGTGTTTCCTGCTGCCATCTGCCATCTGGTCTTATGTGCGTGTGTGTGTGTGTGTGTGTGTGTGTGTGTGTGTGTGTGTGTACATGTATGTGTGTCAGGCATTAGGACAGGGCACTCTCAAGCAACTGGGTACACTGATGAAGTACAGCAAGGACGCTGGTGTCCTTCCCTTCCAAGGACCCTGTGTCCTGATCAGCAAAGTGCCACCCATGGGGATGGGATGAGGATGGGCTGAACCTGGCCCTGAGTGCCCCCTTCTCCATCTCAATAGCTGAAAAAGATCGGGGGCGGGGGCTTTGGTGAGATCTACGAGGCCATGGACCTGCTGACCAGGGAGAACGTGGCCCTGAAAGTGGAGTCTGCCCAGCAGCCCAAGCAGGTCCTCAAGATGGAGGTGGCCGTGCTCAAAAAGCTTCAAGGTACAGGCCAGGGGGGATGGGAGGGAGGAGGCGGTGGAGCCGGGGGCTGGAGAGGCTGGGAGGCTGTGGGTGGTGGCAGAGCTCGGTGAGGCTGGGATTCTTTGAGTGTTAGAGAGATGACAGTGCTGAGGGCAAGGCCAGTGCTGGCCCAGCTGGGGACTGGAGGACAAGAGCAGCCATGAGCTTCCAGGAGCTAGAGGAACGGGGAAGAGCAGGCTCTGGGAGGTCCCCTCTGTGTCCCCAGGGAAGGACCACGTGTGCAGGTTCATCGGCTGTGGCAGGAATGAGAAGTTCAACTACGTGGTGATGCAGCTGCAGGTGTGTCCCGGGGGCCTCCTTCCTGTCCCCTGGAGCTGGGCTGGGTCTCGGGCGGGAGCAGGAAAGAGAGGCGCTCGCAGTGGCCAGGATGGGAGGAGCACGGGGAGGCACACAGCTGGGGGTGGGGTTGGTGTCACAGGATGTGGGACCCCTGCCACCTGCTCCTAGGGCCGGAATCTGGCCGACCTGCGCCGCAGCCAGCCTCGGGGCACCTTCACGCTGAGCACCACCTTGCGGCTGGGCAAGCAGATCCTGGAGTCCATCGAGGCCATCCACTCGGTGGGCTTCCTGCACCGGGACATCAAGCCGGTGAGCGAGTGAGCACTGTCCCTCCCGGCCTTCCTCTCCCCTGGCACACCCCTGGCCCCTGCCCCTGTGCCTCTCCATGGTTCCTTCCACAGCCCTCACCCCTACCTGGGCACTCCGTGAACCTGGGAAGGGCTCACAGCCACTGTCCCTGCAGTCGAACTTCGCCATGGGCAGGCTGCCCTCCACCTACAGGAAGTGCTACATGCTGGACTTCGGGCTGGCCCGGCAGTACACCAACACCACGGGGGACGTCCGGCCAGTGAGTACCGCTGCAGACCCAGGGTGGGGCTGTCCCCAGCTTCTCTCACAGCTGCCTAAGCTGGCCTGCTCTTGTCTTCAGTATTGGCACCCCCACTCTGGGGTCCCCCAACCTTGCCCCCCTCTCTCAGCCTGGGCTCTCGACAGAGGCCATGTCCATAGCTGGGCCCTTCTTTAGGCCCACGGTGGGCGGTGAGCAGGCCTAGGCCCGGGGGTCAGAGGGCAGAGCTGTGCTTGGGAACAGGGCCAAGGTGGGCCGAGGTCGGGCGCAGCAGGTGATGTGCTTGGTGCTGTCTCTCCTCGGCAGCCTCGGAACGTGGCAGGGTTTCGGGGGACCGTGCGCTACGCCTCCGTCAATGCCCACAAGAACCGGGTGAGTGGCAAAGCCTGGATGAAGGAGTGGCTGGGCAGAGGGGGTGAGGTTGGATGGGGCATGCTCCTGACCTGCTCTTGCCGCTAGAAAGAGGGAAGGAGGCTCTCTTTGGCCTCCTCTCTGTTCTCCAGAGCACAGAGACATTTTGAGTATGGGATTCCAAAGTTTTGAGGGTCAGAAATGGAGCAGAGGCCTCAGGGAAACCTCAGCTCTGCCCCGCAAGGCTGGGTACCAGGTTTCCCTCTCCCCACTGTAGGAAATGGGGCGCCACGATGATCTGTGGTCCCTCTTCTACATGCTGGTGGAGTTCGCAGTGGGTCAGCTGCCCTGGAGGAAGATCAAGGACAAGGTGAGGCCCCGCCCTCCCCGCTGGGCCTGGGAGACCGAGGTTGAGGGTGGCCAGCTCCACTGTCGCCCTCCGCCTGCAGGAGCAGGTGGGGATGATCAAGGAGAAATACGAGCACCGGATGCTGCTGAAGCACATGCCCTCAGAGTTCCACCTCTTCCTGGACCACATCGCCAGCCTCGACTACTTCACCAAGCCCGACTACCAGGTGGGAGCGTGCGTGCACCCCAGTGCTGCTCCTGCCTAATACACCCCCGCCCTCATTTTATTTTTAATTTTCTGTGGTTCTGGGGATTGAACCCAAGGCCTTCACTCTGAGCTACGTCCCCAGTCCCTCTCATTTTCTTACGTTTTATTTTGAGACAGAGTCTTGCTGAGTAGTTCAGGCTGGTGTTGAACTCACTGTGTTGCATAATCTGGTAGGGAACTCCTGGCGATCTTCCCACCTCAGCCTCCCAAATGCTGGGATTACAGGCATGCGCCACCATGCCCAGTCACCTGTGACCTTTTAAATGCAAACCCCAGCTAAAATTTATCAACCGTTGTCCCTGGTCTCAGTGTGTTCCTCAAATTAACTCATTCAAGCTTCAAAAACAGCCTTTGATGACCCTGAGGATTCCCTGTATTATCATTCCTGTACTTAATTCTTGAAGCCAGACATGGGGGAGCATGCCTATACTCCTAGCATTCAGGAGGCTGAGCAGGAGGATCAGGAGGCTGAGCAGGAGGATCATGAGTCCTAGGCCAGCCTGGACTACACAGTAAGACTGTCTCAAAAAAAAAAAAAAAAAAATTCTGAAGTCAAATGCCTTCAAGTTCTTCACACCAGAATCCTACAGGCAGCCAAGTGGGGTGATTGCTCTCATTTCCTAGATGGGGAAACTGAGGTGTGTGATACTGTGATTAAGAGCAGGGTGGGCTCTGGTATAGTCATGCATCACTTAACAACATTTAAGTCACGGCTGTGTGACCCTCACGGGGCACTCTCATTACACCATGAAGGCCAAGCTGCTGCACGCTTGGGCCGTTTTGCATGTGCATACGTTGTGGCACGTGTGCCACATGTTACAGCACACTGCCTCTAGAGCCGTGGTGCCCAAGAAAGAGTAAACCAAGCACAGGAGGAAATGCCACGATCAGGAGACGAAGCAGGCAGGAGCTGTGTGAGCGGCTGTGTAACACAGCACAGGGCTCATGGTAGCTGAGTGTGTAAGGAGAGGCGTGCACTGCCCTTGGTGGTGGGTGCTGTGTGCTTCCACGACTGGCAGCAGAGAAGGTTCATTCGCAGCAGCAGCAGCTTACCTTACCATAGCCAGGGGTGACCCAGCAACAGGAGCCTTTCGCCTCCAAGCTAGTCTTAGGGGACCACTGCCATGCATGCTACCAGTTGATCACTAAGACCTCATTACAGTGTACCACTGTGCCTCTGACGACCAAGTCCAGGGCTCCTTCCCAGGCTCTGTCGCTGTGCTCCAGGGGACCTAGAGACCCTGAATGGAGAACGGGTCACTGGTCACTTATGTCCTCCTGGGAATCTGCTTGGGACCGATATGGTCTGCCTGTATAGTGGGGGCACAGACAGATTAGGCGCATAGTAGGTGCTCGAGAAGGTGGGTTCATACAGCAGAGCCAGGCCACACGGGGAAAGCTCTGGGTGCCTTGGAGGATCTGTAGCTATCTGCTGCCTCCTGGACCCAGAGCCCTAGTTGTTGGCAAAGGCGCGTGCCTCTTGGGGTCCCCCAGGCCACACAGCTGCATTCACCTCCCACGCTGGGCCCTGAGTGGGTTGCTGAGGAGGTGGAATCGACTGTGGAGGAGTACACAGCCCAGGGAGGGGAGGGAGGCTGCAGGGGGGCATCAGAGAGGAGAGGAGATGCCTTCCAGGAGTGTCTCTGACAGGAAAGCTCTAGGGCCTCTGCTTGGTGGCGGAAGTGGCGGAGTTTGAGCATCAGGGGACCTATCTCAGAGGACTTGTGTCCAGCTGGTGGGGCCTAATCCAATATGTTAATCTGCATGCTGATTTGCATATCTTGTGCATGTTTTCATTTCAAATCAATGTGCCCTTCTCCTTCCAATGCCCCATCCCAGAAGGCTCCTCTCTTCCCTTTCCCCTGCAGTCCCTGCAACTCCCCCTTGTACCTGGCCAGCCCCGGGGTCACCTCTCTGTCCTCCCCCACCCCACCCCTGCAGTTGATCATGTCGGTGTTTGAGAACAGCATGAAGGAGCGGGGCATTGCTGAGAATGAGGCCTTCGACTGGGAGAAGGCGGGCACTGACACCCTCCTGTCCACCAGCACCTCCACCCCGCCGCAGCAGAACACCCGGCAGACGGCGGCCATGTTTGGGTGAGTCTCAAGGTAACTGGAGTGGCTGTCCTCTTGCAGCCGGATGTGCTTGGCTGTCTCTGCCTCACTAGGTGCTTGACAGCAGGGTTCTGGGACTCAGGTGGTTCTGCTGCACTCACGGTGGGTGAACTTCCCATTTGGAGCTTGTGACCCTAGGAACAGTAAATGCCACAAGTCCCAGGGTGCCCATTACTGTGTGTCCTGAGACCACACACTTCTGCTGAGCCAGAATGTCCATGACTAATGGTCAGAACTGCAGACCCACGTGACAAGCCCTGAGACCAAGGAGGCCAGGGAAGGGCTCTCCATCTCATCCAGCAGCCCCATATAAGAGGGAAGCTCCCCAGTACTTGCTAAGGTGCCCAGGTCCATAAGAGGCTGCTTTACTGAGTCTGAAGTGGTTCTTCCTTTTAGACTCAGTCTTGGGTCTAAAGAGCCCAGATGCTGATGCCACTAGGAACCTGCCAGGGCCTGGAAAGACATAGGGTCTCCCGAGGAAAAGTCAGGCAATGATGCATCTGGTCTCAGAGACCTCATGGGACAGAGCTGGGCCCAACACCCCGCACTCCCTGCTGGGAGCCTCCTCTGTGCCCACTCGGATGGCCTCCAGAGTCTGTTCTTGAGGGAGGGACTTTGGGAGCACAAGAACCCCAGCCAGCCCTGCTCCTAATCCCACCCGGCCTCTCCAGAGTGGTCAACGTGACGCCCGTGCCTGGGGACCTGCTGCGGGAGAACACAGAGGACGTGCTCCAAGGAGAGCACCTGAGTGACCAGGAGAACGCACCCCCCATCCTGCCTGGGAGGCCCCCTGAGGGTCTGGGCCCTGGCCCCCACCTCGTCCCCCACCCTGGGGGCCCTGAGGCTGAAGTCTGGGAGGAAACCGATGTCAACCGCAACAAACTCCGGATCAACATTGGCAAAGTAATTGAGCCAGGGAGAAGGGCTCAGACCTCCCTTCCTGATTCCCAGCCCTCAGCCCCAGCCTGTTCCTCTGGGGCAGCTTCTACCCAGGTAGTGGTCTCTGAGCAACCCCCTGACCCATGGCACCCCTCCTGCAGACCCCCTGTGTGGAGGAAGATCAGAGCCGAGGTGTGGGGGTCCCCAGCTCCCCTGTGCGTGCACCCCCAGACTCCCCAACGACCCCAGTGCGTTCTCTGCGATACCGGAGGGTCAACAGTCCCGAGTCGGAGAGGCTGTCCACGGCCGATGGGCGAGTGGAACTGCACGAGAGGAGGTGGGTGTGTGGGGGTGTGAGGACCTGGGGGGGTCAGGGCTCTCATGGTCCCCTTTGTTGTTATACAACTGCAGCAGGGACAGAGTGAGGTGGAGATGTGGGGGTGCTGGGGTCCTGCTCATCTTGGGTTCCCCTTGGTAGACATCAGCGATAGCCTAAGAAAGGGGTCCCAGCTCTTCAGGGCAGGGCTGGGGGCGGATATCTGGTCTCCTGGCCCAGAAACGGGTGCTGGGGTAGGCATGCTTCCAGGACTCTTCCGAGCTGCTAATTCTGGATCCTAAGAGCAGTGGAGGTGGGTGCCTGGGGAGGGAACTGTGGGGGGAGAGGACGGAGGATGGTACATCTGGGGATTGGGGATGAGGGATCTAAGGCCAGGGTGAGGAGAGCAGAGGTGGGGCATGCCTTTGGGTGAGGGGCTGGTTGGAGGCCAGGCAGAGCCCCACTGAGCTATTGGTGCAGGGGGCACCAGGTAGAGAAGCACCTGAAAGATGTCCCCCACTTCCTTGGCCCCTGAGGGAACTTTGCTCCCCAGCACACCTGGGTACATGTCTGCCCCAGGAAGAAGGTGATTTCCAAGGCCCAGCCTGGGGTGAAAAGGGGATCTTTAGGTACCCAATCAGCATCTTTCTTCCTGATCTACCTTAGCATGGCCCCCTGGACTCTGTCCCAACTGTACCCCTCCTCCAAGATGGGTCTTGGTACCTCTACGGGGTGCAGACATGCTCAAGACTGGCCTGCGTAGGTGATAGTCCTTGCTCACCAGGCCGACCTATCTAGCACTGAAGACTACACTGACACCGTGTAGCCTGGAGGCCCTCGGTGTGGATGGTTCTTGATGCAGTCGGAGAAAAGAGGAAGAGTGGATAGGAGGGGGGTTCCTAAAGAAGAGAGACCTGCCCTCTGTGAGAGCCCTGATCAGATTGGCTTGGGTCACAGTGGCCCCCAGCTTCTGGAAGATCGGGGAGTGCGGTTTTCTAGGAAGGCAGGTTCAGGCTCCTAGAGCAGAGCTGCACACATCTGCATGTGAGGATGGCACAGATCCCAGATCTTAGTTCTTGGGGTGCCCTGGTGTTCAGCAGATGCTGGTTCTTTTTGCCACATCCTCCCACTCTATACACACATTCCCTCCAAGCAGACAAATTCTCCGGAGCTGGTCCCACCGGGACCTAAAAGCTCTTGGAGGCAGCCTGAGGTCATGAGAAGAGAGATGTCCAGGCAGGACCAGTGCCTCCAGGGAAAAGGCTGGGGGGAGCCTGATCCCACTACTGCGCTCTCAGCCTCTTGGGGACACAGACATGAAACAGATAAAAGTCCACTATTGCCCCCTGCAGGCCATGCACTGGGGAGGGGACACGGAGGGACAAGCTGTATGGGGGTGCCGCATGTATAAAGCCACAGAGTAAAAGTATGGGCAGTTAGGAAACTGAGTGGATTTGAAGTGGATTTCAGTAGGGAAATAGAGAAACAGACTTTGTCAGATCAGGAGTTGCCTTAAATACCAGGCTGAGGAGAGCAGGCTTCGTTCTTGGGGTGAAGAGTTTCTCAATCTGCGGACTCCTAGGGAAGGCTGTGTTTGCCCTGGATGCAGCTGAGAGCAGCTGGCTTTACAAAGATTAGATCCGTGGGGTCCCCAGGGGAGCGCCAGCATTCCCGAGGCACAAGAGTTTGCACACTGGTGTTCTGTAGCACGATGAACTGTCAGGAACATTTGCTGAATGAAAGCACGCATGAATGAATGAATGAACATGTGAACGAATGCATAAATGAAGGACAGATGAACAAATGAAGCCCTTCAAGGAAGCAAGGTTGCAAGGTGACAGTGCAGATGTGGCTGGGCCTGGTGCAGGGTGGCAGAGGTGCTGTGGTCCTAGGTCTCAGAGACACTGACGGTGACTCACTCAGTGGCTTTGCAGGTCCAGGATGGATCTGCCTGGCTCACCCTCGCGCCAGGCCTGCTCCTCACAGCCAGCTCAGATGCTGTCAGTGGACACGGGCCACGCTGACCGGCAGGCCAGCGGCCGCATGGACGTGTCTGCCTCGGTGGAGCAGGAGGCCCTGAGCAACGCTTTCCGCTCGGTGCCGCTGGCTGAGGAGGAGGACTTTGACAGCAAGGAGTGGGTCATCATCGACAAGGAGACAGAGCTCAAGGACTTCCCCCCAGGGGCCGAGCCCAGCACGTCAGGGACCACAGACGAGGAGCCTGAGGAGCTACGGCCGCTGCCCGAGGAGGGCGAGGAGCGGCGACGACCAGGGACAGAGCCTGCCGTCCGCCCCCGGGGACGGGGCATGCAGACACTGGCTGAGGAGGACCTACGGCAGATGCTGCCCCAGCCCCTACCACCTCAGCTGAGCCAGGCTGATGGCCGGTCAGAGATGTCACAGCCCCCAACGCCCGGCAGCCCTTCCCACTCGCCTCTGCACTCGGGACCGCGCCCTCGGCGGAGAGAGTCAGACCCCACAGGCCCACAGAGACAGGTAAGGCTGGGCTTGCACTCTGCTCCTGCCCTGACACCTGAGTCCTGGCTGACAGGTCTGGGACATGCCTCAGGTGTGGCCTCTGCCGCCTGGGAACCCGACAGTCACAGTTGTGTTGGAAGGAGACAGGGTTAAGGCCCCAAACCATACTTGGGGCCCAGGGGAATCTTCCCAGAGGAAGTGCCCCCCCCCCCAGCTCCTGAGTGGGATCTTACACTGTGGGCAGGACAAAGGCCTCCCAGGCCTTGGGAACCCGTGTGCAAGGGCCTCGAGGTAGCACGGGGCAGCAGGCTGGGCCAGGGCTGTCACGCAAGCCCTTGGATTGTGCCTGGGGTGGGGCTGACACTGGAGGCTCCATGAGCCACTGGGAACTTTGAAAAGTGCGGCCGTGATCACTGAGGGACTTTTGAACAATGCCTGAGCCTGCTGGGCACACACTGAATCAGAGGAGCACAAAACTTTGAAGCAGCAAGGCCCTGGGGAAAAGCCCTGGTGGCCTGGATGAGGAGACACAGGGCAAGGTTGGAGCCATGAGGTGTTGGGAAGAGGACAGGACAGCTGTCACGGAGGTAGGGACCTCTGGGTGGGCAGCAGGGTCACCACTCCGTGATTCTGCAGAGATGGTGGATTCAGATTTAGAGGTCACCTCTGGTATCGAAGGCTGTCCACATGGCCATATCCAAGGCTCATCGGGGAGAGAGAGAGATTCTGGGACTTCAGAAATCAACAGAATGGGTGGTGAGGTCCTCTGAGAGGATTGTTCAGAATGGGGAGATCTGAGGGAGGGAGCTGCGGGGAAATACCCACGACTGGAGGAGGGGTGCCAGGGTTGCGGGGTCACAGAAATGGTGGTACTGGGGGGGTGACAGGTGGTAGGCAGAGGCAGGAGGCTGCTCCTATGGTCGGTGCAGACCTGCACCGGGTCACTTACGGTCACCACAGGCTGGGAGGGGGGCATGGGCAGTGGGGAGAGTGGACCAGGGTGGCAGGGACTCTGGATTAGATACAGGGATGGGCACGTTGTGGGGGCCAGGCGGGGGTGAATCTCAATGCTGGGCTGAGGGTACTGTGGTTATTTTCTGACAAATGTAGGGTGTTTTAGAGGAAGCAGCCAGAGCTGACCCGGCCGGGCTTCTTTATATGGGATAAAGGAGGTGGACAGTGACCCTTACACTGTGTGCTAAATGGACTCTGTGATCTTTGGGGTGACTGGGAAGCCATGGAAGGGGTGCTGGGGCAGGGCTGGTTTACTTGCTGGTCCCATATGAGAGGGCACCTGGGTGGCCTGGGCAGTGCCTAGCTTCAGAGTTAGGGGCCAGTTCGCTGTTTGCTTAGGCCAGGAGGCCTGCCTGCGGTCCTGTGGATGCTTGGGAAGGGTAGCTCTGGGAATGGGTGGCTTGACTCCATCCCTGTCCTCGAGAGATGCTTTCTGAGCCATAATCCTGGGGAGTGTGCTTCCTGACTTTGCCCTAGAATTTGGGGGCTCGATCCTCAGTCCTTGCTGGCTTGAGATGGAGACTTAGTCCTGGCAGGGTGCTGTGACTTGGTGATGACTGTCGCTGTGACCTGGTCATGGCTCCCATCACAGTGGTGCTGGGACACTAGGAGAAGGAGCAGGACCTATGCAGAGCTCCTCGAGCCCCCGTCTCACACCCTCTCCCCAGCTCCAAGCACATCCTATTGCAGGTCCCAGAGCCCGGAGTCGGCAGGCACCAGAGACTGTGTTCTGGGAAGGGCACACAGTGGTGTGAGAGGTGCTGATCCCAGATCAAAGCCAGAGGCCTTGGCTCTAGACTCATCTCTTCTGGGTCCTTCCTGGTGACTGAGGGCCAGTTGCTATCCCTCTGGGGCTTGGAGTGAGCCATCATTTAGATTTCTCTCACCTTATATCCCGCCTGAATCCCCAAATCATGGTCACCTTGCTGACTTCCGGCTAAGGGGATAAGGAAAGAGAGATCTGGGGGAGCAGGCCCAGGTCTGTGGTGCAGTCAGGCCCATGTGTGATATGAACAGAGGACGTGAGTGTATTGCTTTGTGGGTGAGCCTCAGTTTCCCCAGTGTGCACAGACAGGTTTCTCAGCTTTCGGCCACCATGCTTGTGTATATCTGTGTCAGTGAGCTCAAGTGTGCCTTGGTGAGTGAATGTGTCACACACATGCACCTGAATACCTGAATGTGATCACACCCATATATGGGGGGCGTGTGGCAGGTCCAGAGTGTGCAGGACACACAGGGTGGCTGCCTAGAAGGATAGTGACAGAGAGTAATCACCTAAGGACGAAATGCCAGCTTTGACTTGACCCTGGTCTCGGCGCTGTCCTTTAACACGTGGGTGCCCCACCCCATGCCACGGCCAGGCAACTCTGACTTACAAGGTTAGAGCCTGAAGCTCAGAAGGGCTAACTTCCCAGCTTAGGTCTCTCCAGCTGTGTGTGGTAGAGCTACTTGAGTCCAGCTCTGTACTCTGAGCTGTACAGCCTGAGCCTGTGTGTTTAGTGACCAGAGACACAAACACAGACAGAGAAGCAGATGTTTGTGCAGGGTCAGAGTGGCTGGCCCGAGTCCCCGGGATGCCTTGGCAGGTCAGGTGCATGATGGCCTCTGTGTACCATGGGGGACAGATGGGGCAGGAGGCATTTTGCCAGGTGTTTCAGGATGGTGGATGAAAAAGGACATCCTTCCTCCAGGGCAGTGGGGAGGGAAGCAGGGCTATAGAATCTCCTTTGATGGGGAAGGGGGCCACAGGGCCCTGGCCAGCCTGGGCTGTACAGTGAAATGAGTGTCCACCCTGGGGTGCCTAGAAGTCTCTAGAGGGGCACTCTGCCTGATTTCTTTGCAAGGAATCCCTCAGGAGACCTGGCTGGTCCGCTCTCTGATGTGTGAACTGGTCACAGCATGAGCACGGGGAGCATGGACACTGGCCACGGTGTTCAGCGTCTGCTGTCCTTTGGTGTGTGTGACGTGGTCTCAGGGATGCTCTCTTTGCCCCACCTGGCTTTCTTCTTACAAGATTTCAGGGGCAGATTTCCAGGGGCTGGGAGCGCCAAGGCACAGGGTGTGCAGGACAGCAGGAGTGTGATTTGGGGGAGGGCTGTTGGCTCCAGCACTGGGTGCCTCAGGCTGATAACACAGCAGGTCAGCGCACCCTGAGTACACAGACACTGGCCAGGAAGCCACCAAAACTCATGAGGTAGGCAGCACGCTGAGGGCTGAACAGAGATAAATGACGCTTGGTTCCCAAGTCCTTTGCATTCACAGCTCATGCTCTGAGGGGTGGAGGGTGGGCTGAGACCGGGGAGGCTGGCCTGGTTTCACAGAGGTGATTTCAGGTGGCCCTGACCTGCAGGGCACAGTGTACTGGGATTCAGTGGCGGCCTCCAAATCCCTCTGGCACCTGACAAACTCTGGCCAGGGTGTCAAGCTGAATGTGCCATGTGTGCTATGGCACCCCTGGGTGCCTCTGTTCCCAATCTCTCGGGTGGGCCCTCCAACCCTTGCCTTCCCTGCAGATGAGTCCAGCTAGGCAGGATCCTAACCCTGACCCAAAAGACAGGTGCTCCTGACAGGGTGGACAGGTGAGGACAAGCAGTCCTCTCTGCAGCAGGCTCCAGGCCAAGCCCCTTGTGTCCCCATTTGCCATCAGCTGGGGATGCTGGAGCTGAGCGGCCCCAGCCCCTCCCCTGCAGCCCCTTTAGAGCTGGCCCAGCTACTGCCACACCACAAGCTGGCTAAACCACCCTTAGTCCCAGGTCAGGGTAGAACAGTCAAGTGACACCCAGGCCACCATTCCCATCCCCACATGTCTGTGGACATGTTCCTGTCCGTATGAAGGGATTCTTCCTAATGGCACCGTGAGAGGGCAGGCGCCGTGCAAGGGCAAGGGAAAGACATGTCTACACCTGTCCCTGTTCTGAAGTGACTTCTAGGACACCAAGCCACTCGGGAGCCCCCACTGTGGGATGGGGGCCTTCTTGCCCCACTTCACATATGAGGAAGCTGAGCTGCAGGAGGAGGAAGCAATAGCTTGAGGGCCCTGGGGAGTAAGCTATGGAGTGGGGGCCGACACTTATAGCTGAGCTTCAGAGTCCAGCCACTGTCCCCAGACCCTGAGGGCACAGGGAGCTGGCTGGAGACAGAGGCAGCACCCACTGTCCACACAGGACACGTGGCTGAAAGGTGGCAGCGAAGTCTTCCTGCTGGAGAGGTTCTGCAGCCAGGGGGAACCAGGAGCTCGGCGGGACAAAGTCAGTGTCCTCAGCTGGGGGGGGGGGGGCGCACTGGGGTCGCGAGGTGCAGTGCGTGCGTCAGGCCAAGCCCAACCGGGAGGAGGGGAATGCCTAGCAGCAGCAGCAGGAGGAGGAGGAGGAGGAGGAGGAGAGGAGGAGGAGGAGGAGGAGGAGGAGGAGGAGGAGGAGGAGGAGGAGGAAGAGGAGGAGGAGGAGGAAGAGGAGAAGGAGGAGGAGCAGGAGCAGGAGCAGGAGAGGAGCAGGAGCAGGAGCAGGAGAGGAGCAGGAGCAGGAGCAGGAGAGGAGCAGGAGAGGAGCAGGGCAGCAGGGACGCCGGCCGCCGCAGGGGCTGTGCGCGGGTAGCCCCGAGCTGTGGAGTCTGCCTGACGCCTCTTTTCCCTCCACTCTCTTGGTCTCTTTCAGTTGGAGGAGGATAGACTCTCGGGGCACTCCCTCCCGCGGTACAGCCCCCTGCGACGACTGGCGTCCTCCGTGTTCTCCTCCTCCACGCTGGAGACCGAGCATTACCCTCACCCCGGCGGCGGCGGCGGCTCGGCGGGCTCCTCCGGTTCCCTCATTCAGCGCAGCCGCTCGGCCGAGAGCAGCCCCGTGCGGGCGCCGCACCGGCGCCACGCGCCCCTGGCCGCCAGCAACCACAGACTCGTGCCCTCGGTGCTCCGCATCTCGCGGTCGCAGCTGCAGCAGGTGTGGGCCCGCTTCACCCACAAGACCTAGGCGGGCCCCCCTATGCAGGGGACGGGGGGGCGGGAGCAGGCAGAGGCCGTGGCTCCTCCCAGGACGCAATAATCCCCCACACGCCCTTTCCCGCCCCTGTGCAATACGCCCCGCCCCAACACTGGCCCCTCACCGTTCTCCGCCCCAACCCCGCGGTCGCGTCCCTTCGCTTGGTGCCTGCCGTGTGGCGCTGGCAGGGGTGGGGTTGGCGGTGCAGCTTTGCGGCTGGCGCAGGGGCACCGAGCTGGAGCCGCCCGTGGGTCCAGTCGCCGGGAAACCTGGGCATCGGGGAGGGACCGGATGTGCCTGCCGGAGTGGCAGGCTTGGGACTTGTGCGGTTTATGTAGGATCTCTTGGCATGGCTGGGTCTGTGCCACCCCTGAAGGGCTCTGGGAGACCCAGACCCTCTCCCTGGGCCACGAGGTCATGTGCTGTGTGTGGAACTGGCTGCCTCGGGCAGGTTACCGGGCCTTGCGAATGGACTAACGGGAGGCCAGCCCGATGTGACTGGCAGTGGGCAGTGGGCAGCCCCGTGACCTAGCAAGCCTTTTCATGCCACTGTCGTGGGGGCCCGAGCCCCTCTTCCCACAGGCTATACCAGGGGCCCAGGCGGCCGTACATGCCAGCTGCCCCTCCCCAGACCCCTGTGCTGTCACTCACCACTATCACTGGTAGCCCTTGCTCCCCTGGCGCCAAGGACAAAGGCCAAGGGGTATGGGGTCTGTCCCTAAAGCTGGCTGGACCTCAGCAGCAAGGGCACCCAGCGTAGATGCAGTGGGGAGAAGAGGATTGCTAAGGATGGACAGGACTGTAGCGATCTGTGAGCACAGGGGCCACCAGCCCCTCTGTCCCTCTCAGAGGAGACTCCCTCATGTAGGTGCTCGGCCAGGCAAGTCGGCCCCCGGGGTCAGCGGTGAAGACAGAGCCAAAGGCAGGCAGGACGGGGGACCTGAGATGACTGGGGTCGAAATGCCTGGCTGCTCTTGCTTTCTCTGCCCATTTCTCAGCCCTTAACGTGTCACTGCAGGGGACCCCGAGTTTCCCATTTTTCATGCCCGCTCATGCCAACCAGCAGCTCTGTTTCCTGGGGAGCGGAGCAGCCGTGGAGAAGTAGCGCGTGGTGCCTGTGCAGAGAGGGGAGGAGGCCGAGGACTTGCGTAGTATGTGTTTCAATGAGATTATGCGTGTGTGCGTGTAGTGTGTGTGCGTGTACACCATGAATGTCCAGGCATGTGGCAGGGACGTCGTGGTCACATGTTCAGGCTGGGCTCTGCCTAATTCTGGGGAGTGCCCCAACGAGACCCCAATGAGACTGGTCCCCATTGAGGTTGTGTGGCGCTGCGATCCTGTGTGACAGTGCATGCATGCGTGCGTACCCGTGTGCGCATACCGTGTGTGCGAGTGTTTGTTAGGAAGCCAGGAAGACGCCCGTGGAGTCCGTCATATTTTCCCCACCCGCCCTGGCTCCTCGTTCCACCTTCTCCCTCTGAACTCCGCTTCCCCCAGCTCCCCAAACTCAGCCCATCCACCTTCAGACATCTCCTGCCCCAGCCTGGGGTGGTGGACAGTGGTGAAGCCAAGCCGTCCCCACAGATGGCCATGCGGTGGGGTGGCTCACAGGCTCCGCCACACGAGCTACTCCCATAGCCACCACGTAGTTCTCCAAAGTCTCTTCTGTTTTTAATGAGTGCCAGAGTCAGGTCTTACTCCTCGTGCCCCTCCCCACCCCTGCCCTGGCTGCTCCTCCCCCAAACCCACATTCTGGTGCCCTTGGGGCCATTTCCAGTGACCCCACGCTCTGCCCAGGTAGATGGGAGGAGAGGAGTCAGGGTAGATTTTGAGGAAGGACAGAAAACAAAGCACAAGGTGAGGGGGTGGACATGGACGGTGTCCCACTCCCCTCCTTCCGGCACTGCCCCTCTCTGCCCAGTACCCTCTCACCCTCTTCCTGTTTCCCCAAGTGGTGGCATAAGTGGTGAGTTGCAGGGAGTGTTCCGGCATCCACTCCACAGGGCAGCAGCCAGTGATCTGTCACCTGGCGTCCCCTTCCTGAGGTTCCAACACCCCCCAGCAGAGCTGTAGCTCTGTGAACCTTGCCCCAGACCTCAAGGTACTCTAAGGTCCCCAAGTGCCTTGTGACCTCTCCGAGAGGATGACGGCACCGGCTCCAGCCTGGTTATCACCTCTGTCTCTGTACCTGTCACTGTTGCTGCAGCCTTGGGAGCGGGCTCCTGCTCTGCATTCCCAGAGCGGCTGAATTTGCACCCCACCCCACCCCCACCTGAAGCTGCCACCCATGGGAGAGTGTGTGTCCTTCAGAGCAAGGCCATCGCTCAGGCATCTTGCTGTCTGGGGACATCCTCTGTGCGTCCTCTGTGGTGGAGGAGTGTTCATAAGCCATAAATCTTGGAGCCAACCGGAAGTGAGCTTGAGAATGCTGACTTCTCAGGGCGACTGTGGACTTTGGGAACCTGCTAAGATCATTGAAGCCTCGGGGGTTCGATCAAGGTCACGTGGTGGTTTGGGTTTCTGGCGCCCAGGTCAGGTGTGGGTGATGGGAGCTGTGAGATGTCAGGGCTCTGTCTCTGCAGGATTTCCCAGAGCAGGTCAAGGTCCCAAGTGATTATGCCCTGCTTAGGGAAAGGGCGCAGCCTTGCCAGGCCACCTTTGGAACCGATGGCACTCGTTTGTACCTTGAAAATTGCGTTTCCACATTGTGTACTCCTGCCCTGCCTATAGCGGGGTCTTGCATTTATTTATTTTTAATTTTATTTAACAGTCACTGGCACACAGTGCTTCTCGTGTGCCAGGCAGTGACTTGAGCACTTTACCATATTAACACGCGGAAGCCTCGTGCTAGCCTGTGAGGTGGACGCAGTATTAGCCGTTCAGAGTAGTGACCGCAGGTTCCATCCATGGTGACGTCCAGCGTTCGGTCTGTGAGTCGCTTCCCTTAGGGTCTTGTCTTGTGGGCACTCTGCAGGAAGAGAGGCGTTGACCAAGCCATGCTTTCCTTCCTTTCCAAGTGCATACCGCTATGGGATGGGGTCTGGGTGTGAGTCCCCCTGAGCCCTGGACCCCATCTCCCTGAGACCCCACTTCTCACCTCACACAGCCCCAAGCATGCCCTGGCACCCCTGGGGACCAGGTGGACAGATTGTCCACTCTGAACTTGACCTGGGGTACTGTGGGGTCCTTGGGTCAAGTTGACAGTGCAGTTAGAGGCATCACTGAGCACTGGCCAGGGGACGTCACCAGCTCACATAGGAGCCAGCAGCATCAGGAAACCGGCAGATTTGAGGACTGTAGTAAGCACGGGTCCTGCTTGGCCACTGTCCCAGCTAAACCAATTGTTGCTAATGTCTTCCAATTTTTATGTGAAATTTCCCAGTTTTTAATTGTTGCCATCTAATTAACACATACACACGCATGCATACACACACACACACACACACACACACACGGTTTTTTAAAAAAGAAAAATTAGTGCATGAGCCAAGCAAAACCAGCTTCCGGAAGAGGTGGCCCCGAGTGCCAGTCAGGACTCTGCACTCCACAGAGGGGCGGTGTTCTTCCTTGGGGACTCCAATCTGGGGGCTTCCCAGAGGAGGCAGCTCATGGCAAGGGGCCCTGTAATGTGTGTGTCCCTGTTGTGTGATCGTGCCTGTGGCAGGGGGTCAGCTGGCGTGTTCATGGTGACTGCAGTGGGACCTCCTGTGGGATCAGGACTGTCCCCTGTGCCTGTGGGAAAGAGGGTAGGGACTCAGTGACAGTGAAATGCACTCTGTTGAATTCTTATCACTTCATCCCTCCCCCCAACAAGAAGGCAGCTGGGGCCACAGCAATAACCACTCAAAGCTCTCATCCCAGGAGACCCGAGCCCCACATTCTCCTTTTGCACTTCTGGTTTTAGGGACAACAGACCCAGCTCTACCCAATGGTGTATGCGGGGATGGTGGCCCCTCTGAGCCAAGCTGACGCCAGCACCCCTCTTCTGTTTGTCCCTTCTGCCCCGTCTGTTCCCTGGTCCTGGGGAGGGGCGGTGCTGTCTGCTCAGGGGGGTGAGTGTGCGAACCAATGTGTGCATAGGGGGTGGTCAGGCAGGGGACTGTGCTTAAGGAGGGTGTGGCCCCGGCTGAGGATGGGGCCCCAGATGATACAGCATTGTCTGCTGTCTTGGGTTGATTTGGGGAGGGAAGTCAAGACCTCTAAGGAGGGCCTGAATGCCACCCCCGTAGTCACATTGGAAGCCCCAGCCCCAGAGGGCCCTGGGCCTGGGCCCCCTCCCTAAGGGCTGTGGGACCCTTCCTGGTCCTGCCTCCCACCCTTGCACAGGCCATAGAGTGGGCCGTGGGATCGCCCTGACAACCCCTAACCTGCACATGTGGGTGCACACACACACTCTTGGCCCACTCGGGACAGCTGGCTGCAGCACCCGGGGCACAGGGTCCTAACTGTAATGCCCTCCCCAAATGCCACCTGTTTCTGCTCCTGGGCCCCCATCCCCAGGGCCACCACCTCCACCCCGTCCAGCCATTGCACCGTGAATGTACCCCATTTCTCTGACTGGCTGCTCTGCCCCTGGGCCACCTGCTGCTAACCCCCTCATCCCCCCTATGCTAGGTCCTGTTTGCTTTTCTGCCTGCTGGGTCCCTGGCCCTGGGCAGGGACAGGGGTGGGGGTAGGGAAGTGGGGGCACCCCTGAGTGCTTCCAGGGCTGGGGTGCAGGGGCCCACTGCCTCACCCCATCCCAGTTACCTCGATGTCCACAGGGCTGTCCCACCCCTAAAATTGGCCTTGAAATTGGATGCCAAAGAGCCCAGAGTTTCCGGGAGCAAAGGTTGGAGTCCAGATCTCTCAGAGATACCTGACCCCCCCCCCCCACTTTTTGACCACACCCAGGTCTGAGCCCCTGCCCCATCCTATCCACCACTAAAAGCCCGGGAGGACCCCAAATGTGTCCCCACTTCCAGCGCTTCCCCCACATCCACCCAAAAAATAAAACTCAGGGACCAACATCTGCTTCCTTTGCACTTGCCTCTCTAACCCCTCCCCAGGCTGAAGGGCTTGGGGGAGACAGGGGCGGGCTCCAGGGTGACAGCATTGCATGAGAACGGGGGCTGGGCTCCTTCCCCCAAGGACCAGGGTGTCCTCTCCTGGCCCAGGTTGGGGAGGAGCTAGGGAGAAAAGGGGTGTTGAGGGGACCCCCTCCCAGGGTCCCAATCCCAGCTGATTTATTCCTGAGCCCGCCCCCCGCCCGTCCTAAGTCCTTTTCCGGGTGACCCCCATTTTGTACTGCAATAACTGTATTATACGCTTGCACTACCCTGCCCCGGCCAGCCCGAGCATGCATGAGAAACTCGATACACGAAGACAGGACGCTGATTTTTGTTTTTCCCCTCCTCTTTCTCTCCGGGGTGCGTCCTCCTTAGCATACATAACAGCACTGGGGGGCCTTGGGCCGGTAGAAGAGCATGCACTGAGCCCCCCAGCCCCTAGATGCGAGTACTGTACAAAAATCCAACACTTGAAACTGACACGCACACGCGCGGCGCCCACGGGGTGGGACACGGACACGCACCCACCGCACGCGGCCGCAGGGTGGGGAGGGCCCAGCGCCGCCGTGCGAGGGATCTTGTGCCTTTTCAGTCCCTGTTTGTTCCTGCAGACAATCCGGAGAGCTTGTGTACTACCAAATCCTGATTAAAGACGCCTTCCAGGAACCTGCGCCTCGGCTGCTTTCTTTCGGCCTCCTCCAGGCCGCCTGTGGCTTGGGCTGGGGCTGGGGGCAGGGGCTAGGGGTGGGTGCCCTTCCCCGTTGGACCTGAGTCACTCTCCCCTGCTGGCTGCGACTCTCCAGGGCAGGTAGCAAGGGCACTCTGGTCTCTGTTCTTTGAACACACCAGGGAAAGATGGCGGGGAAGAGGCAGTCCGGGCTCTCGTGGGGCGAGGCTATCTGTCAAGTTCAGGGGAGAGGCAGGACGCAGAGACCTCTGTGCTGCAGAAGGCCTGGGGTCACTCTGGCTGTTCCTAACCCTCTCTTGTCTGTGCGAGGGTCACAAGGTCTGGGGACTGTGGTGATAGAGTCAGATAAAAGGAGCACCAAGCAGTGGAAGGGGTGAGACAGAAGGTTGCAGACCTGTGGATTACAGAGGGGCTGTCCCTGAGCCCCTCATCCCATCCTCAGTGCACATCCCCTCTGAGCCCAAAGCAGTCCTGGGGCCAGGCGGGCCAGCTGCATTGTGGAACACACACACACACACCCCCAGCCAGGATGCGTTGAGACCCCGATCTGCAGGACTGTGTGAATCTGTGTAGACCCACAACACAAGTGGCCACATTTCCGCCTCCTCTTTCCCGGCCAGGACACCCTCAGGGCTGGGTGGCAGGTGGAGTGGTAGCCGACTCCCAGTGCGGCAGAGATATATTGAGAGGGGACAAGCATGGGAAAGGAGGACTCTGGGAAGGTGGCAGTGGTGGCTGAAGAGGCTCCTTGGCCCACATCTTCTCCCCCATCAGGCTGGGAAGTGGGACATTGCTGGGGGGCTCCCCAAACCCTGCTCCTATCATGGGGCGAAGAAGGGGATTGAAGCTTCCTAGACCTCTTTCACCTTGAGACTTTGGCCTAGAGTGAGTTCCGGGGCCTGAGCTGACCTGGTGGTCACGTTTCCTGATTTTTGTGGAAGCCAGGGTCAGTGCTTCCCTCTGGGTCTTGGTGTGCTTGTGTGAGTTTAGGACCAGCTCTTGTTCCTCCTGTCTGATGAGGAGGAGCTGAGATGGAAGGCGAGCTCCCCCTGCCAACGTGGGCAACGTGAGGGAGGGGTCCCCTTCCTCTGGGTGAGGACTTTCCAAAGAGACCCAGGGCCTGGCCTGATGGTGGGGGAAAGGGTATTTCTGTCAGAAATGTCTAGATGTCTGAGACAAAGGGTGGCCTGGGGTGTCAGAGGACACACTGGCTGGGCCACATAGAAGAACAGTGTGATCAGGGAACTGTGTCTGTCTGTCTGGCCCTGGCTCTCATCCTATCGCCTCCCCTTTGTCCCCCTCACCCAAGGACTCACAGAAGCCACTTGTACCCCTGCTGCTTGCTCTGGCCTTGGCATTGGTACCTACACTTGGCAAAGGTGCCCTGACAGAGTCAGTCGTTAATGTTTGCTAAATGAATGAAAATGAATGAGGGTGTGGGGAGAGAAAGTAATTGTTGGGCCTTGCAGCCCACGTGTGGTCAGGGCAGAGCTCATCGGCCGTGGGAGGTGCTGTCTTGCACCCTGTCAAGTTCTTGCAGAGATGGATGGGGGGGGGGAAGGTGATGGCGGTTGGGTGGGCGTGAGTCACAGCCTCAGCAGGCACTTGGCCCTGGAGATTCCTGCCTCAGCCTCCACTAGCCTCTGTGCTGCTACTCAAAGCCTCAGCCAGTGGCTGGGGACCCTCTTTCCAGTCCCAGTCACTGGGACTTTCTGAGGTGGGGAGGCGGCAGTGACCCCAAGCCGGGGTGAGCAGAGCCGCCCGGGGCAGCAGGTGGGGTGGGAAGGAGCTTTCCACAGGCCCTTGGCTTGCAGGACCTGGCTTAGAGTCCCAAGCCATGGCAGTGTGCGAATCTTGTTTCTTCCCTGGATGTGGAGAGAACAGGCTCCCAAAAGGGCTGTATCTGCCTTGTTCAACACTGGCCCTCAGAATCTGGGCCCATAGCACGGGATGGCTCATGTTCAAGGGCTATTTGAATACATGCAGGCATGAATGAATGATTGGAAAAACCCTCCGGGCCATGTTTATGGAAGTAAGAACCAGAATGCAGGGAAACGAGTAAAAAGGAGAAACCCACCAAGCTGGCTGGTGGGTGAACAGAAAGGCTTTGCCAGGGACAAGCTGTTGGTGGAAGAGTAGGAATTTATCGGGGAACAGAGAGGGTGGTGGGGGTCCCCAGGCTGGGGAGAGATGCCGAATACATCTGGGGGAGTGCTGGCAGCCTCAGAATGGCTGGGACTCAGGGGAGGGGACCCGTGGGTGCCCCAGGGAGAGGCCCCAGGGCGGAAGGTGGGAGCCGTGGCAGTAGGGGCTGCTTACAGGCTAATCTGAAATGGGAATCCCCTCATGAGGACCCCAGGGGCCTGGAGTCAGATCTGGGCTTCAGCAAGGCCACTGGTGCAGCGGTAAGAAGGATGTGACAGCAGACTAGAGCTAGGGACCTCAGGCAAGACAGTTGTACGTGGGCCTTAGGGCATACACACGGAGGTGGTGACATGGGGCTGTGTCTGGGTGAGGTGGGGTTAGAGCCATCAGTGTCCTGGGGCTTCTGGTCTGGATGGGCTGTGCTGTGCTAGTTCAGGCCCCAGACAGAGCCCCAGTTGTTCAGAGAGGCTAAGAGAAGCAGTGGACACTCCGTGCCATCCCCTCGAAGGACAAAGCCAGGTCGGTCTGCCTGGCCTGAGGCCCCAGTGCATTGTGGGTGCTGAACAGCATTTGGGTGTTGGGTAGGGCAGAGCAGCCCAGGGACCAAGAAGGTGATGGAGACACAGCAGGTCCTGGTAAGGTGATCAGGCTTGTCTAGGTTGGGAGGACCAGTGTGACAGGGATCTAACAAAACCAAGAAGCACGAAGCTTCCAGGAGGAAAACCTGAGTCTTTCTTGGGCCCCAGCCAGGGCAGGAGGGAAGGGGGCTGGGGTGCCAGGGCCCAGGGGTGACTTTTGGATGACAGAGGACAGCCCTGAATTCACCCTGGTCACACAAGGTCCTGGTGGCCCTCAACAGCAGCTGTCTGGCTGCAGAGAACAGGCCATCTGCGGGCCAGCGTGGGCCCTGCCCACCTCGGGAGGGACACAGACCCTGCTGCCCGTTTCTGGGCCGGGAAGTTGACCTAAGCAGCCAGTGGCTGTGCTGCTTCTGACTTTCATTTGCTGTCCATGCTTTGGGGCTTGGGATGGGCATGGTGAGGGTTGGAACAAGGTCCCGGAGAGGGCAGGAGATAGACAAGCCACCAGGGTCAGGACTTGAGACCTCAGGGGATCGGGAGCATGGACTCAGTCATTCTTCAGAGTTACTAGGGTCCCCTCTAGGCCGGACACCGAGGTGTGAAATACACCCGGGCGGTGCCTGAAGTGCAGTCTCCTCGGGCCCAGGAGGGGGTGACCTCAGCGGGTCCCTGTGTGTGCCCCTGCAGGTGTTCTCCATGGCGCCCCCATTCGAGGTGAATGGCCTCTCTCGAGCTGTGCCTCTGAGCCTGCCCTACCAGGACTTCAAGAGAGATCTCTCTGATTACCGGGAGCGCGCGCGGCTGCTGCACAGGGTCCGGAGGGTGGGCTTCTCCCACACGCTGCTCGCTGCCCCCCAGGGCCCACCGGCACCTGTCCAGCCTCAAGCTAATGGGAAGGAGGAGGAAGAGGAGGAGGAAGAAGAACGGGAGGAGGAGGAAGAAGAGGAGGAAGAGGAAGAGGAGGAAGAGGAGGAAGATGAGGAAGAGGAGGAGGAGGAAGACGAGGAAGACGAGGAGGAAGAAGCAGCAGTGGCCTTGGGGGAGGTGCTGGGGCCACACAGTGGCTCCAGCAGCGAAGGCAGTGACAGGAGCACCGACCAGAGCCAGGAGGGTGCCCCATCCACGCTGCTGGCTGATGATCAGAAGGAGTCCAGGGGCCGAGCTTCCGTGGCTGACGGCGACCTGGAGCCGGAAGAGGGCTCGAAGACGCTGGTGCTGGTCTCCCCTGGCGACATGAAGAAGTCACCCGTCACTGCCGAATTGGCACCTGACCCCGACCTGGGCACCCTGGCTGCCCTCACGCCTCAGCACGAGAGGCCTCAGCCCACAGGCAGCCAGCTGGACGTGTCGGAGCCAGGCACACTGTCTTCTGTCCTCAAGTCTGAGGCCAAGCCCACCGGGCCTGGGGCAGGGCCGGGGGCTGGAGCAGTGACCACAGGGGCAGCGGGTGTGGCAGTCACCTCCTCACCCTTCACCAAAGTGGAGAGGACCTTTGTGCACATTGCTGAGAAGTCTCACCTCAACATCATGTCTTCCGGAGGACAATCCTCGAGGCCCGAGGAGCTGAGTCTGGAGGTGCCCTCAGACGGTGGCACCACTGAGGAGGGGGTTCGGGTGCCCTTGGAGAATGGTGCAGCCCTGTTGGGGCTGCATGGGGCCAGGGCGGAGATCTGTGCCCTGGCCAGGCCCCCCGGGGACACTCCTTTGGAGGTGGCCACAGACTCACTGCCCAATGGCCCGCTTGCTGATGGGCCAGCCCCAGAGTCCCTGGCGCCAGGCCCTGAGAAAGCAGTCTCTGTCTCCCCTAGCCGACACCCCAGGCCAGGGCCTCGGCCCCGGAGCCGCATCCCTGTGCTGTTGTCAGAGGAGGACACAGGCTCAGAGCCCTCGGGCTCGCTGTCAGCCAAAGAGCGCTGGAGTAAGAGGGCCCGGCCGCAGCAGGACCTGGCTCGGCTGGTGATGGAGAAGAGGCAGAGTCGCCTGCTTCTGCGGCTGGCCTCGGGGGCCTCGTCTTCCTCCAGTGAGGAGCAGCGCCGGGCCTCCGAGACCCTCTCGGGGACAGGCTCGGAGGAAGACACGCCAGCCTCTGAGCCTGCCGAGGCTACCTTGCCAAGGAAGGCTGGGCAGGCAGCTGTCCCCCGCAGCCGGATTCCCCGCCCCATCAGCACCCTTGTACCCACGCCCGCCACCACCCAGCAGCTTCCAGGCAGACCCCTCGGCGCGGCCCCAGCACCTGACACCACTGTCACCAGCAGGTGAGAAGTCCCACCAGCTTTAGGGTGGGCAGAGGGTGATCACAAAAAGCCTCCCCAAGTGGAGATTCCTAGAACCAGGCTCAGGGGCTGGGAAGAGTTGGGAGGGACGCTAGGCCATACCTCCCATTGGCTGTCAGCCCTGTCTCTGGGCCCAAGGGAGCCTGGTGGGAGGGGGAAGGCCAGGACTGGGAAAGGTTGATGGGGGCCAATAGGGTTCAGTCTCCAGGGCGATGTGAGGTGCTTGAAGCCAAAGGGTGAAACTCAGAGCTTGCATGAAGGGGAGAATGCATTGTTTCATATTAATCTGACCCTGGGCTGGGTGTTGCTCAGAGGCTGAGCACTTGCCTAGTATATGGGCCCTGGATGCCATTGCCAATGTGGAAAAACAGAGCACACTCATGCATGCACATGTGCACTTGCATATGAACATGCAACACGCCCGCACACACATGCACTTCATAGATTCCAATGCAAAATCTGTGAGCATTTTAAAGCTGGGCGTGGTGGTGCACTTGGGAGGCTGAGACAGGAAGATCCCCATGAGTCTGAGGCCAGCCTGAGTTACATAGTGAGACTCTGCCTCCAAAAAAAAAGAAGGAAAGGAGAGAAAGAAAAAAGAAACAGGGCCCTTCAAGAACTCTCTTCCAAGTACAGCCTGGATGTATATGGCCCTTAGAGGCCCCACCCTGGGAGACCAGGCCTCAGTTTACCCACCTGTGCCTCTGTCTGGCTCTGGGGATGCAGGGTTTTGGGATGCCAAGAGGATTCTGAAAATGTCTCTCCTTCGTTGTTTCTCTGCCCTCTTCCTTCCCGCCTACCTCTTTCCTGCCCCTCAAGCAGGCTCCAGCTGCAGAAGCCCCCCGGATCGGCCGCTGTTGCTGACCCCCACCCCAGGCAGCCACCCAGCCGCAGTGCTGGCCCAGGGAGAACCCCGACCACCAGGCCCCCTGTACCCCGCAGCCCTGGCCTTCCTGCCTCCACCACTCGCCACCCCAGCGTGTCCCCCCGGAGCCAGTCCCTGTCCCGCAAAGAAAGCTTGTCCCCCTCACACCAAGCCCGGCCCGGGGTGCCCCCAACTCGGGGTGTACTTCAGGCCCGAGCACAGCCTGATAGTGGCACCCCCTCCCTGGGAGGCCCCAAGAAAGGACCCAGAGGGAAACTCCAGACTCAGCGTGCAGCAACCAAAGGCCGGGCGGGGGGTTCAGAGGGCCAGGCAGGGACCAGATAATGATGCTCACTCGTGGCTCTCTGCAGACCCCACCCTCGCCTGGCCCCCTATCTGCAACCTGGAACGCGCCCAGCACAGCCTTATGCGCCCCAAGCGCACCCGCCTGCATCCACCAGGACCGTGCAGGAGGGGGTCGGTGGCCCTTACTCTCTCCGCACCTCCCTGACCTGGCTCCTCTGCCCCCCCAAAGACTCAGCCAGTTTTCTCCAGAACTTCACTTTTGGGGATACCCCACACCCTTCAGATCTTGGCAGCTCTCTGCCCCCAGGGCCCTCTGCTTACATCTCCTGCGACGCTTTGTCCTCCCCGCTCCCTTCTCGACACCTCTACCCCCTTTCCGGAGAAACAGCTTCAAATTCAGCCTCGCCATGGTCTCCTGGGAGCCTTGGTACCCAGGACGATCACTCAGCTGCACGCAGGGGTTGAGGAGGTGGAACCAAGGGGCCACCAGGCTACTCAGGTGTGAAGGGACAGCTTCCACCGCCCTGAGTGAGCTCCATACTGGTAACGCTGGGGAAAGATAGGAGGCCCGTGATTTGGTGGAGGGACCCTTCCACGTCCTAGTGACTGTGGCGTCCCCACAGTCACTGTGGGAGGAGTGTGGACTGTCTTCCTGGGCAAGAGATTCCCCACGGGAGGGTCTTTCAAAAGGTTTCACTCCCCCCTGGCCCCTGATCCAGTGTTCAGGACCTCTATGACCAGGGATTGCCTCCTGCTGTCTAACTTCAGTCCTATCTGCAGGGCTTTGGCCAGCTCCCCTCTCCCTGGGGTTCTGCACAGGTGGAGAGAGGCTGACTATTGTCAACACAGTTCTAACCAGGTCAGCCCAAGTTGTGGGAGCAGAAGGATGGGAACAGCAGCCCATTGGCCCCTGGAGACAGAGAGGCCCTTCCAAATTCCAGACTGTATTTGTGTGATGGGTCTCCAGCTTATGCCACCCCTCCCCCAGCTCCCCTAAAGCCTGGCCCCCATTTCCCTGGGGGACCCGGGACCTCCTCGTGGGTCCTGGCTGCTGCAGAGCTCACCCCACCTCATCCTGAGCCTCGACTGCCAACATCTGGGACATGCAACATGCTGGCTAACAAAGGGACCGCCACCCAGCCTGACCCCTATGTCCTACCTGAAGCCACAGAGAGCAGGCCAAGACTTCCAGGGGAAGAGGAAGAGAGGCCTCCATGTGCCCCAGCCATCTGGCCACATCCATCACCAACACCCAGAAGGATGCCCTCGAGGAAGCTGGTCCAGTAGCAGCCTGGTGGTGATCACCCAATGCGCTCAAGGGCTCAGCAGACCTGGGCAGCTGCTTCTATGCCAAGGGGCAGCTTCTGTGCAGAACAGCCCACAGGAGGGCAGCAGGGTGGATAGCCTTCGAGGTCCACCCCATGTGTACGCAGGAGCTCCCAGAACACTCAGGAAACCTCTTCAGACCCAGCCCTCCTGTCCACCGAGGCCCCCAGGCCCTGCATTGCCTTCTGGGCCCAGCAGAAGGGGAGCAGGGGCCTCACCCTCCCACCCAGAGCTTCTCTGACTGACAATCAGCTCGCTTGGTCCCTTGAGCTGGGACCAGGACCTAACCCCTGGTGCCCAGCCCTGGGCCTGCTCCTTGCCACCAACCGAACCATGAATGTAGGGCTCCAGCCTCGCTTCTGCCCGAGGACCAGCAACACCCTGCACTGGACTTGGGAAGAAGGGCTTCCCCCTCTGTGAGGCTGCGCAGTTGCAAACCCCAGTCTGCCCTGGGGACTCCAGACCTCTGGGGCTCCCAGTTGATCTCAGGCTTCTGAGTGTCAAATGTCACCAGGTAAGGAGGACAGGGAAGAGGGCCCGTGGAGGGGCAGCAGGCCCTGGCTCTGCTCCTCTCCCAGGAGGGGCCCAGGGCAGAGGAAGCCACATTTCTCAGCCTGGCCAGCTGCAGCCTTCCGCCTCACCAGGTCCTGAGTGCTCCTCTGGGCGTCTCCAGCCTCTGTCCCCCACCTCCCCCAGCACTTGCCCACCGTGACTGCCCATGTCACTGGCTCAGATGCAGGGTGTGCTCACCCCAGAACGCACCTCCCTTCCCCAGCTGCATCACATGCAAAGGGGGCTCCAGGAGCAGGGCTCCCCCTCCCCAGTCCTTGCAGGGGCCTGGCTTGCTCAGTCTTCTCAGCTCTGGGGACCAGCCCCCTGGGCATGGGGTGGGGGGTGGGAATCTCCCTTCCCCTCCCCCGGGAAGCCACTGAAGAATGTTTACACGCCAACTAGAATGTAACCCCCAGCTCTCCAGTCACTGCATGGCCTCTGCCCACCCTGCGCCTGCCCCCGCCCCAGCACCCTGGAAGCCGCTGTCATGATTAGATCGATCTTGGAAGGGAAGTAGCCATCACACCATTAAAAAGCCTGTGGACCTTTCTTGCTATTGGCCTGGACTCTTCTTCCCTGGGAGGGGGGTGGGGGTGTGAAGGCAAATGGGCAGGGACACCCTGGAATCCAGCACTGTCTCAGGACCCATGCAGGTAACTTGCTCAGGGTCACATAGGCCAAAGGACACCATCCTGCTGTCCTTCCGGACAGCGAAGCTTCTACTCAGCCTCCTGCTCACTTCCGTGAGGGAAGACGGAAGGAAGAGCTCGCATCGGCCTGGTGTCCTGTGGATTCACACCGAGGCGGGCAAAGCGGCCTGGAGCACAGCTCCTGTCAGCACTCAGCTCGGCTGCCCAAAGCCTCACGTGTAAATCCGAAGCCAAATCCCGCCCCCCACTCCGAAGCAGGGAGATTCCTTGCCAGAAGGGTACAGTCTTGCGGTGTCAGGCTTGCAAGGCCATTTATGATCTTTATTAATTCCACTTAATATAGATATTTTCAGTGGAAATCATGACTATGGGGTGCTGCTGTAGATCTTTTTAGGGTATTTCATAATACACAGAATATGCCCTCAATTATCTTCCTTTTTCTTTTTTTTTTTTTTTTTTTTTTTTTTTGTCTTTTTCCTTTTTACCGATACCAGGGCTCGAACTCACGACTGCCTGCTTGCAAGGCAGGCGCTTTCCTTTTTCTTTTTTACTTTGGATCTCTCTCTCTCTCTCTCTCTCTCTCTCTCTCTCTGCCACTCGATCATTTGGACCAGAGATGGAAAGCAATTTGTCTGGCCGTTAGTTGGGGTGGTCACAGTGGGGACCCCACCGTGGGGCACTGTCTGGTGACGCTCTCCATACGCATTTCCGGGTGGTCTCGAGGCCAGCCAGGGCACACCCGATGGTCCGTGGGAAAGTGGGTGTCCCGGGGCCAGGCTCTGCGCTGAGGGTAACTCACCTTTTACATTTAACCCAGGTCCACTGAGCGAAGCCTTTGCCTAGTGGCCACCTGCACCATTTTGCCTTCCTTCTTGTTTAAAATAGCAAAAGCAGGACATACCTGTAGCGACTGCTGAAAGCATTATAAAAACAGGAAAGTCTGCTGTCTACAAATGTGACTTCCTAGCAGGAGCCTTTGTGGATGGCGTGGTGTGGGCCAGTACAGCCTCCTTTTCCCTGTTTGTAAGTCAGCCATCTCTTTCTGTCCACCTGTACAGATTACATAGAAGTACATTTCTTATGAAGGAAAGGAGACATACAGCTGGGCACAGGGGGTGCATACGTGTAATGCCAAGATTTGGGGAGGCTGAGGCAGAGTTGCAGCCTGCAACACAGCGACTTAGCAAGTCCCTGTCTCAAAATTTAAGAAAGGACTGGGATGCAGTTCAGTGGGAAGATCTGGGTTCATACCCCAGTAACAAAAAAGGAAGTGGGGGATATTGTACTACTGTTCTGAAATGTGATTTTTATGCCCAACGATATGTCTTAAAAATGTTTTTTTCTTCCTAGAAAGATTCTTGTTATACACTTCAGGCTGGCCTTGAACTTCCTATGTAGCCCAGGTTGGCCTCAACCTCATGGTGATCCTCCTGCCTCAGCCTTCCAAGTGCTCAGATTACAGCCATGCACCACCTCGCCCAGCTAGATTTTTATTTTTTGACACAGCATCTTGCTATGTAATTCAGCCTGGCCTTGAATTCATTAGATAGCCCAGGCTGGCCTCGTCCTCATCTTTCCAAAGTGACTCTGTTGAGACACATTTCCATACCACACAATCCACCTCATTTAAAATGCACAACTAAGGCTTTCAGTGTATTCAGAGTCATGTAACCATCACAGCAATCAACTTTAGAACGTTTCCATCACCCCCAAGAGAAACTCCCCACCCTTCAGCAGTCACCTCCATTTCCCCAACCCCTCCAAGCCTGAGGCAGACACTAATCTACTTTCTGGCTCCACAGCTATTTGGGATGTTTTGTAACGAGCTCCTATGATGTGATCTTTCTGGGACAGCTCCCTTTCTGAGGAACCTCCACTTGTAACACTTCTCCTTATGTCAAATACTTATTGTCAAGTAATATTCTTTTATATGCACATACCAAGTGAGGAATGCTTACTCACCAGTGAGGATCCTTGTTTTTAATGGCCATGTAATATTCCACTGCACAAATGGGTCCTAACCTATTTAACCAGCTCTATACTGATTTTTCATTAGTCTCTTGCACGAATTCCAACTGGCAAAATGAAGGTTCTAACCTTCACTTACTTTACTTCTGCAAGTCTAATTCTAGCAGAAATCCCCAGAATAATTAAATAGACATGATATTCCTTAAAATTCGTTTTAATATTGAGATTAAATGAGTGAAAAAAAAAGAATGAAAGACTGCTGTGGATTATTCATTAAGTGGTGTTCAGGCAGTAAGTCATCACACAACCCATTTATTCAACTAATTCTGCAGGCTCTCTCTGAGCTGTGCTGCGGCCAGAGGCTTTGGCAGACCCCAAGCCCTGTGCAGGCCTCAGTAAGCACCCCATGCCCTCAAGCACACCAAGTGGAGGTTCACATTCACTTGCCCACAGCGTGCAGCTGTTCCTGCTGGACTGGGGAGATCAAAGAAGATGCCAGTGGACGAGTTCAGGGACTTGCCCAGAGTTGGGCGAGTTGAGAGGAAAGGATCCTCCTAGGCAAGGGGGCAGACAGGACACGTGCAGAGGAGTGAGGCTGTGTGTAGGGTCAGGGTTGGAAAGGGAGGAAGATGGCCCGAGCAGGCTGGCCCTGCCTGTCCTGTCTTCCCAGAGCCTGAGCTCTGCCGGGCACAGTGGCTTCCAAAGCCCTCTGTCCTCAGGGACCACCCACCTAACAGACCTCGTCAAGGACCTGAGGAGCCCCACACTCCGTTTCCCACTGTCCCCCAAACGCCCTTCTCTCCTCTGTCCTGTGTCCACAGAATCAGCGGATCGAGCCAGTCATGCCCTAGATGGGGGACAGAACCGGGGATTTGGGGGGAGACTTTATTACCAGAGGGGACCCTGGGGGAGGAAGACCGGGATGGGAGCCGGAGGGCTGCTGTCTCAATCAGCACACACTGGGGCCCGCTGAGATTCCCCCTTCGGGTACTCAGGAGTCAAGGCCAGGACAAGGGCTGAAGGGGGCCAGGGCATCCTCCCTAAGTCCCCTGCCTCAGGAGCCTGGCACTGTGCAAGAGGACGGGCATAGTCTGTGTGGCTCCAGGAAGCTGGCCTCGAGTAGAGAGGAGCACAACAAAGGCCACTTTCCCCGGCTCTCAGGGGTGCCTACCATGTTCCTCTTTGAATAACACTAACCTTACGGTGTGTCACCCCGCCAGTCACCACCACCACCAGTGCCTCCACCACGCCCCTCCATCTCTATGACTACCGTTACCTGGCTCACAATCTTCTTTCACGCCATCATGTCACCATCACTAGGCTCCATGACAATGATAAAATAAGAAACAAGGGTCTTGCCCTCAGGGAACCACGTATTGTCACTGTCATCACCACCGCCACCACCATTACTGCCACATAATCACATTCCACACCACTATCTCCACCACCACCACCACTGGCGTCATCAAAATCACATCTCACGTCACCCTCAGCACCAGCAGCCTGTCACCAGGACCGTCACCCCGCATCTCATGTTCCCACCATCACTGCAATTACAACCACCACCACCGTCATCAGTGCAGGCGGCGGCTCCACGGTTAAGGGTCCCTGAAGCCCAGCTAAGGTGGGGAGGTTCTCTAAGAGCGCTTAGCAGGGCAGGAGCAGAGCCCACAAGGCCTCAAGTGCAGGAGGCCTCATCGTGAGCAACGCCAAGCACAAAACTGTTTATCCCAGGAACTTGTTCTTCTCCCAAAGCCTCCAGCCATTCTAGTGATCATTCATATTTTAGAGGGTTATGTTTCCAGCCTGCAAGGTTTTGTACCATCTAGTTAGGTAAGCAAGACTTGGTCATTGGGCTCGGGGTTGGAGGCGATGGTTAAAATACAATCAAAACTTAGACTTCACACCTGCCCCCAGACATCACCGTGATTCCCCCAGGACATCAGAGAGTAAGATTGACAGCCGGAGTCTAATTCACGCTGCCCTGCGCCCTGCAGAAAGGGCCTGCGGATTAGATCTGAGCTCCCTGGGACCAGTGTAGAGAGGGAGAGGTGGCCTTGCCCAATTATCCGCTGTCTGGTATTAAAGCAGGGGAGAAAGTCTAATTGTGCAAACTAAGCCAGTAGCCAACGCCAGTGCCCAACTTTGGCCACCCTCAAGGTGATAGTAGTTTATATAATTTATATAAAGAATGTGATTTTATAAAACTGAGTAAAGAAGTGTCACGTGTGGGTGACAGCCAGAGGGATAGGAGGGGTCCCTTCAAGCTGGCCTTCAGGGGGACAGGCATCCACCAGATAGATGAGGAACGCTGTGTGGCCCACGGGCCCATGCTGAGGTATAGCTGTCAAGGGCCCAGAGAGTTTGGAGGATGGAGGGAAGGGGGCTTGCTGGGGAGGGATGGGGTGTCAGGGGAGCAGGAGTTGATCTTGAGGGGTCCTCACTTCCTGTGAGCATCTTCAGGGCAGGGGTGAGTTTGAAGCTCCTCTACTCTGCAGGCTGAGCACGGGACACTCTGACGTTTATCACCTCCTGTCACCACCGCCAGCTTTCTCTTGCCCTCACCCATACCTGTTGTGTCACCCTCCACTCCCAGGAGCCCTGCGTTCACTCCTTTCCTGTAACTGTCTTTGGGACTCCATTCCAGAGTAAACAGGACCCGGTTGGTCAGCACTACAGGTCAAAGGCAAGAGCCCTGGGCTGGAGTTAAGGGTCCTGTCCTCCTGTCACCTCTGCCGTTCAATCAGTCCTCATGGCCCAGCAGATCCCCGCCCTCTGTTTGTCTCATTATCTGTTCAAAGCAAGAACTCATTGAATGAGTGGTTTCCAACTTTTTCCCCCCTTTCATTCTGGAAATACATTTTTTTCTCCATGAACACCATTGGAAGTTCACTTGTTCAGAAACCTGGAGCTTCTTGGAACCCAACACAACAGCCTCCCAGTTATGCCCGGCTTGGAGACTCCAATGATAACGTCTGATGTCGTGGGCTCTTGTCCAGCTTTAGCTGTGGGTCAGGAACGGGAACTGAGTCGGGGGCAGGAGACCGAGCAATCCTGGCTTTCAGGTACTGCAGGACTACGCAGGACCCTTCCTCTGGGGCACAGCACGGGGGCACAGGAGGGCTCAAAGGGCCGAGGGCTCGTGGAGCAGCAGGACTGGGATGGCTTGGGGACACCTGCTATAGGCATGGGCTGGGGCTAGAGGAGGCCTCGAGGCTCTAGAAAAATCTTTTACCCAGCAAGGGCTGGGCCACCAGGCCCGAGTCCTGGGCTGCAGGCCAGCCTGGCTGTGGATGAAAATAGACAATGGTGACCTAAAGTTTAACAGGACAAAGGGCATCCAGAATAGGGACGGTTCTGTAAGGGACATCTGGGGTTCTTCACACCCAGCTACCCTGCTGTGCTGACACAAGGTCCCCTTCCTGGTCTCTTAGCCAGTGGGAAGTGCCAAAACCACAGAGCAGCGGCCTTGGCCTGGGATGGGTGACAGCCCCTCCTCTCAGGCAGGAGGCCAGAGTGGCAGGATCCCTGCAGACAAGGGTGGCCAGGGAGGGCCCCGGCCTGGCCAACCCCCAGGGGCTGGATTCTGGCCACAGACTCTGCTCATCAGCCTGTTGGTCCCCACCCCAGAGTCCAAGGGTCTGTGTGGTGAGCAGCTGGGCTGTGCTGGGTACTGTGGGGGGAACAGCCGCCTCAGGCAGCATGGGCTTCGAGGAGCTGCTGGACCAGGTGGGCGGCTTCGGGCCCTTCCAATGGCGGACTCTGGTGCTCATGGCGCTACCTCGGGTGTTGTTGCCCCTGCATTTCCTCCTGCCTGTCTTCCTGGCTGCCGTCCCCTCCCATCACTGTGCCCTGCCTGGCATCCCTGCCAACATCAGCCACCAGGACCTGTGGCTGGAGGCCCACCTGCCCCGGGAGCCCGACGGCACATTTAGCTCCTGCTTCCACTTTACCCAACCCCGGGCTCCCCTCAACACCACACTGGTGAGAGAGGCGCAGAGCCCCGGGGAGCTAGAGGACACAGCCTCTACAGTTCCCTGTCCGCAAGGCTGGGAGTACGACAGCTCAGAATTCTCCTCCACCATTGCTACAGAGGTACCCATGCCCAGAGGGTGAGGGACACGTGAGTGGAACTGGCCGGCCAGGGCCTTGGGTGGTTGCTATGGGCATTAGGGTCCTGCATTTACCTCCTTGAGCCTCAGTTTGCCCATCTGTAGAAAGGGACCGTGAGCATGAAGCAGAGTATCAAGTTTAGCTCATAGCCTATAATGAATGGCCCTTCCATAAGAGGGCTGCTCTCTTTATTCCCTTGGAGGTGACTAAGGCAGGAAAGGGATACAGTGGCTCCTGAGAGAAGGTGGGGACAGAGAGCTGAGAAGGGTATTTTTGCAGTCTCCAGTTTTCCTTCCTCTTTTCTGGTCCCAGGAGTGGGACTGACATAACTAACCTATCTGGGTTTGTTTTTTTTTTTTGTATTTGCAGCACTGGGGATGGGACCCAGGGCCTCATGCACACTAGGCAGGCGTGCCACTGAGCTGCCCCTCAGTCCTATGTATCCATCAAAGGGGAGGCAGCAGGACTCCCCTGCTGTGGTCCAGGCAGGAAAAGGAACTGAGGCTGCAACGTTGGGGACGGGCAAAGTCTCCCACATGTGATGCTGGGATGAACAGTGGGGGGGGGGGTCACTTCCTGGCATCGCCATAGTTGAAAAGCCCGGTTGTTCTGAGGAGGTCCCAGCGTCTGGAGAAGAGGGGCTGCTGTCAGCTGGGGGAGGGTTTCTACTCACAGGAGACCCCACCCCTATCCTTGCAGTGGGACCTCGTGTGCGAGCACAGAGGCCTGAACAAGTTGACATCCACCTTATTCTTCGTTGGTGTGCTGGTGGGGGCTGTGATCTTTGGATACCTGTCCGACAGGTGGATTGAGGCCCGGGGTGAATACAGGAGAAGGCGGGTTGGGGGACGGGGACCTCACCTTCATTAGCAGGGGATGGGCCTCCTGTGTCTTGGCATCCCTACTGGGTGCTGATACCACACGTCCCCGCATAGGTTTGGGCGGCGACGGCTGCTGCTGGTGTCCTATGTGACCTCCCTGGTGTTCGGCCTGGCATCTGTAGCCTCAGTCAACTATGTCATGTTCGCCATCACCCGCACATTAACCGGCATGGCCCTGGCTGGCTTCACTGTCATTGTGCTACCGCTGGGTGAGGCAGACAGGGGAACAGACAGGTCCCGGAGGGCGGAGGCAAGCGAGGGCAGTGTGAGAGTTGGCCTGGCCCACTAACTGTCTTCCCTGGCCCTCCCTGGGCCTAGAGCTGGAGTGGCTGGATATGGAGCACCGCATAGTGGCTGGTGTTCTGAGCTCCATGTTCTGGTCGGGAGGCGTCATGCTGCTGGCACTGCTTGGGTACCTGATACGGGACTGGCGATGGCTTCTGCTGACTGTCACCCTGCCCTTTGCCCTGGGCATCATCAGCATGTGGTGAGGAATGCAGGCAACTGGGAAGAATGAGATGCAGAAAGCCAAAAGGAGACTTAATCAGAGACGAAGACTGAGGGACAGAGACCCTGAGGGATAAAGGGAAGGAAACAGAGCCAGTGACCGAGAGATGAAGAGAGTCCCCAAGACAGCCACAGACACAGAGAACAAGACACAGACCGAGGTGGAACCAGTAAGAGGCAGCAAGGGAGACCAAGACTGAAAGGTGGATTCAGAGAGACAGGGACACGGGAAGGGCAGGAGAGACAGGTAAAGGCAGTCTGAGTGGAAGCTGAGGCTGGCCTTGGAGGGGTGGGCTGAGCAGGGCCAGCCTGGGGGGAACCCTGGCCGCAGAGTTGGGGCTAATGTAGGGTGGTCTCCCATGCCTCCCAAGACGGCCTGGGTCTGGCTGGTCTTTCTGGGCACCAGTATGTCTGTGCCTCTTGTTTGGCTGGTGCTGGGAGCTAGAGTTTGGGGAATAACAGGATTCAGCTGGGTAAAGAAGGGCAGGGCCAGGCCTAAGCAGGGAAGTGTGGGAAGGGGGCTTTTATGTTGAACCTTAGGGAAAAACTAAGAGCTCGTGGGGCATGGAAGATGAGCTTCAGGTGGAGGGGACAGCATGAGGGAAAGCCTAGAGCGGCAGTGGCAACGCTGTGGCACACATGTTGTTTTTCTTTTAAGACAAGAGATGTTGATGTATGGCTTATTTTTTCTAAACCAAAACCTCAGTATTCAGGTTTAATTGCAGTGTTGGTAAGTAAGTGGGTTTTGAGTTGGAATTTGGGCACTCATCTCTAAAAGGTTCACCATCACTGGCCTAGAAGCTGACAGCCTGTGATGGGCCAGGAGAGAGATTTGGTTAATGGTGTTGACTTGCTGACTGAAGGGTCTCCTGTTGTCCCCTAGGTGGGTACCCGAGTCTGCACGCTGGCTTCTGACCCAGGGTCGAGTGCAGGAAGCCCAAAGCTACTTGCTCCGCTGTGCCAGGCTCAATGGGCACCCTGTGGGCAAGGATAGCCTGAGTATTGAGGTGAGGGGTGTGTGTGGATGTACGTGTGTGACCATGTCCTGTGGCCCTCACAGGGAAAAGCCCTTGACCCTACTGCAGAGTTCAGACACATTACAACGTCCTGCCTAGCCTGGGAGGTACCCACCTCAAAGCTCCTTCTGCCCTGCCATGGAAGAGGGGAGGCACAGAGATCCAGAGAGACGGGGAGCAGGAACCACAGGAGCATCCTGAGACCAACTCTGACCCACAGCATCCTCTGCTCCCCTGCAGACTCTGAGCAAAGTGGCGGCCACGGAGCAGGCGGTCCGGAAACCCTCCTACCTGGACCTGTTCCGCACCCGGAGGCTGCGACACATCTCACTGTGCTGCATGGTGATGTGGTAAGGCCGAGCCAGGGGTGACAGGACAGGAAGGATTACCCAGCTGGGGAGGAAGAAGATGCAGTGGGTCACAGAGCAGTTCAAATTCAGGCTCTGTGCTTCGTCACTGCGTGGCTCCGGACGGTCCCTTCCGTGACTAAAATGAACCAGTGTGGAAGGAGGGTCATGGCCCTCTGGACCTGCTACATCCTAGACCCAGATGGCACGTGAGTGCCGGGAAGGTCTAGGCAGCAAAAAGGTCAGGTCTGAAAGGTCAAAGTGCCTGAGCAGAGAGGACAAAGGCGTGGGAAGGGACTCTAGGTGGGGCTGCTGTTCTTTCCAGGTTCGGGGTGAACTTTCCTTACTACGGTCTCACGCTGGACCTGACGGGTTTCGAGCTGACCGTATACCAGACGCAGTTCCTCTACGCTGCAATGGAGGTGCCCTCCAAGCTGCTGGTCTACGTGTTGGTGCGCTACGCGGGTCGCCGACCCACGCAGGTGGGCGCGCTGACGGGCACCGGGCTGACCTTCGGTGTGCGACTGCTGACGTCTTCGGGTGAGCACCGCCCACATGGGTCCCTGCCCCACCCACGACGGCCACGCCCCCATTAAGCCACGCCCACAAACCACGATTAATCGGGGATACTGTCCACCCTGCCTCCAGTGGACCCCGCCCACCCACCATAGGTCCCACCCCTATGAGCAAGCCCCGCCCTCCTTTGGTCTACCCCTTGCAGAGATTCTGCCCCGCTCTTTTGTCTTTTTCCTTTTTATCGGTACCGGGGATCGAACTCACGACTGCCTGCTTGCAAGGCAGGTGCCCCGCTCTTGCAAGCTATTTTTGCTTCTCTCTCCCTTGCCGGTAAACTTTTTCTTTCAGAGGCCAAATCCTGGCGCACCGCCCTGGCAGTGTTAGGGAAAACTTTTTCTGAAGCCTCCTTCACCACTGCCTACTTGTTTACTTCAGAGCTGTACCCTACTGTGCTCAGGTGAGAGGGCCCGAGAGCAGGGTCCCGGGCAACTGACCTGGACTCAAGCTTGTCTGTTCCCGTTCTTTACACCGCACCCACAACACAGCACTTATCTGGGCTGTGCTGACCCAAATCTTGGAGCCCTTGGGGGCATTTCGTCTTCTGTACGGTAGTTCTAAACCAAATCAGACAACTTCCTGGGCCTGCTTTGGAATTAAACAGCCCCAGGAAACCCATGCTGCCTGCCCCATCCGTTTTGGGTAGAGCTGCTGGGGGCGGGGGGGGGGCTGTCTGGACTCCCGGCCAGGGCTCCTTACGCTGTTTGTGGCTGGGGGTGCAGAATTTCTGGGTTTCAGTGTATAAAGATTTGGCACTGACGTGGCGGTGTCTGGTCAAGCTATTTTTCCATGTTGCTCTTTCCCATGCCTTCTGTAGCTTTTCTTCTCTCTCATTGGCACTGTGGCGACACTGGCCTGGGGGCTCCTGGTCCGGGGTGGGCGGACACGTGGCTCCCTTAGCTGTCTGACAAGGGGCAGCAGAGGGAGCCTGGTGAGGCAGGCACGGCCAGGAGGAGGGTGAGAAGCAGCTGCCTCCCTGCTCTCCTCTGAACAGGCAGACAGGGTTGGGGCTGACCTCGCTGGTGGGCCGGCTGGGGGGCTCCTTGGCCCCCCTGGCTGCCTTGCTGGATGGAGTGTGGCTGTCACTGCCTGACATTGCCTATGGGGGGATCGCCCTGCTGGCTGCCTGCACTGCCTTCCTGCTGCCAGAGACAAGGCGGGCAAAGCTCCCGGAGACCATCCAAGACGTGGAGAGAACAAGGTGTGTGCACAGGGCTGGCAGTGTGTGTGCATGTATGCAGGTGCTTGGCAACCTGATCCCTCCTCAGGTGTATCTGGGCAAGTGTGTGGGTGTGCACAGGCATGTGCAGGCCCTGAGGTATGGGATATATGACGTCATGCACACACAGATACCTGGGGCTGCTCAGGAAAGGGCTTTGAGCCATGCTTGCACATCAGGGCAGTGTACAGGTGTGTGTGAGCATCATGGTGGGAGTTCTGTGTGTGTGCCAGGAGTGGGGTAGGCCGGGGCAACAGCGTCTAACCCAGCATTGCTCTCCCTCCATGTTCCCCAGTCCCCTGCGTGGTGTTCAGGAGGAAGAGATGCAGGCCTGGAACTGAGTGGGGCCGGGCACAGCTCTCCACAAGCGGCTCTGCACCGAGGGCTGAGTGCAGAGCAGACTCCTGCAACTCGGGCTGGGGCACAGAACCCCTCTGCCTTGGCTGGATTTGCCATGGGAGCCCCTCCCCGTGCTTCTCCAGCCTTATTATTCAGCCACCAGCAATAGGACTACCTCCCCAGAAGCAGTGGTCTGCGAGAGGTCCTGGGCACCTTTCTTGGAGCTGGGGGCTTCTGTGAATAAAGGTGCCTCTTAGGTGGGGGCAGCAGTGAGGAGCTTAGGGAACAGCCCTGGATAGGAAGCCATTGGATTTGCTCTGGGCTCTAATTTCCAAATCTGAGCTTTACCACCAATTTCCTGTGTGACCTTGGGTGTGTTGCTTTCCTTCTCTGGGCTTCAACTTGCTCATCTCCGAAATGACAATGATGAAGCATCTTAGCTTCATCAGGATCTTTTTTGCTCCAACTGAACAAGATGCTTCTTGCAGACGGCGCCGAAGAAGGGACTGTCCCATGTTGTCCCCTGTACAGAGTTAGGGGCTGCCCAGGGGAACCAAAAGCACAGGCAGGGCAAGCCAGCCCTGCCTCCTCTGAGCCACCCTCCAGGGACCCCCCACTCCCATCTAATCCACTGTCTAACCTGGTGCCCGAAGAACTGAGGGCATGGAAGCCAACATTTTATTGGAGAAGCCAGAGAGGCTGGGGCTCAATAAACAAGTTTGATAAGTTCTTTTAAGCCCAAGAATTTGCTGTGACAAGGGATGGGAAGGTTGGGGTGCCAGTATTCACAATGGAGAGCCTGTGTTCCTGACCAGGAGGGCTGGGAAGTGGAAGAATCAGCAGAGAGGCTAGAGTAGACTGTGGCCTACCATGGCGCCTAGGCCCAGGGACCCAGGACTCCACCTTCCCCACCCCTGTAGCTCTCACTGGACACAGAGGGACAGCAGGAAGCCTGCATCCGGGTGACCTCTCTTGGGAGCTGCTTATTTGGGTTTTATTTCCACTGGGTCATAGATATAGCAGCCCACGTCACCGATGTTCACACCTAGGGAGAGAGCTCTATTACCATGGGCCTCAGCCTGGGTGTGGGGTGGGGGATGGAGGGAACTGGGGGGCTTGGGTTCAGGCGGCTACAGGGAAAGTCACTCACACAGCCCCCAGACCATGTACATGCCGCGCTCTAGCCCCAGTGTCTGGGGTGGGGCTGCCCACCTTTGGGGCCGAACAGGTAGCCGTAGCAGGGGATGTGGCAGTAGGGGGCGCCGTCATGCTGGAACATGTAGAGATGAGCGTTTCTCAGACAAAGCAACATGCTTCCCAGCGCTTGCATCTTCATCCCAGCCTAACACCACCCTTGCCCTGCCCACCTCAGCATGGCTTCCAGCAGTGAGGGTCTTCCGGCAACGCTGGCACCTCAGACAGGGCCGATGCCAGTTTCTGCCCAAAGACATCACCTTCTCTGCTGGTGTTGGAGAGAAATGGCAGTTCCTCTCTGCCTCTGCTGCCCGCCTAGGTTCCCCTCCTCAAGCTCTCCATTGCCACTTACCAAAGAAGACAGGCTGCCCACAGCCAGGGCACAGCGAGGTCTCTCCTGTGAATGTCCTCATGCTGGCCAGGCCTTTGGGGGAGGGGGAGGCCCCCACTAGGTAGGGCTGTGTTGGGGCCAAGGCCTCGGCTAGGTCTACAGCATCTGTGTGCCATGGCACCCTCTCCCCAAACCCGTGCTCCCTCATCCCAGAGCCCCACTCTGGTGGGTAACATCCACACTTCCGGAGACCCACCCACAGTCACAGCCCCTTCTGTGTCAGAGACCACCTGCCTCCAGGTGGAGCCACCCCCCCCCCCAACAGCAACTCAATCCTTAGGAAACCTGAGCTGATAAAGGAGCCAGCAGGGGCAGGGTGTCAGGTGTTGGGAGCACAATGTCACTGCCCACTCTGGGACAGCAGAGCAGCAGGGCCCAGTGGAGAGAAGGGAGGAACTCGCTGCCAGTCCAGCCCATGATCCCTCACTTGTAGGTCTTCCCCCCATGCCGTGGCCTCTGCTAGCTGTGTGACGACATCAGGTCACTTGCCTTCTCTGGACTGCAGGTGCCTCAAACACAGAATGGGTGACAATGCCATCTGCCCACTCTACCTGTTAAACTTGGCAACTGGTATGAGGACTATCAGAGAAGGGGTCCGGGAGAAGACTGCAGGGACAAGGATGCAGTTGGGAGAAGACAGAGGGTGCTGAGGAGGCACGTGCAGGGCTGCCACCGGCCTCACTTACTTTTCTTTCGGTAGGGGAGGCAAGTCCTTGGCCGGGGAGGGCTGAAGCTGCTGGGGCTGAGGGTGGTGCTGGCAGGGGAGGCTGTGGGGGGGTTGTAGAGATAGGAGCCCACACCTCCGATGTTCACCCCTGCAGGGAGCAGAAGGTGGGCAGGGAGACCAGACTGATGATCATGGGCAGGGCAGGGTGGGTCCTGCTCCTGGCTCTCCTCAGCTGGTACTCACCTCTGGGTCCAAAGAGGGCCCCGTAGCATGGCTTGTGGCAGTAAGGCCTCCCATTGTGCTGGGCGCAGCAGAGGGAAGGGGGTCACTTGGGCCAAGATGGGTTGGGGCAGGGAGGGCTGGGCAATGGGTTTTCTGGCAGAACGGCCACTGTGGTCAGGGAGGCAGAGCAGGCGCGGGTCAGGACATACTGCGGCTCCCAACTCTGGCAGTGGGTGGCCCCAAGTTGGGGTTTAGGATAGGGCGTGATACAGGTCTGGGCCCTGGCCTGCTCACCTCTGCATGCCCTCCCGGGGACAGCACAGTGTGGCAGCGCTCACATTTCAGGCAGAAACGATGCCAGTTCTTGCCCAGAGAGCTCACTTTCTCCGCTGCAGGGGATAGGGTGGGCGACTGCTGAATGGGGACCCCTTCTCCCTCAGCCAAGGAGCTGAGCCCAGCTGCTCTGGATCCTACAAGCAGCGCCCCGCCCAGCAGGAAAAGGACTTCACCGAGTGGGGTGGGCGTCTACAGCCACCCGCTCCCGCCCCACACCCCTGGCCCCGCGCACCCCCCTCCCTGCCTGGCCTCACCGAAGTACACTGGCTCCTCGCACCGCGGGCAGGTCCAACTCATGGCTCTGTCGCAGTCGCACCAGCCTGTCCGAGTGTCCCTACTTGTGGGCTGGTCCCGCCCCTCCACCGCCCCGCCCACAGCCCAGCCCCTAGCCTTCAGCGTCGGTGACCTCAGAAATTAAGCTTTGCTCTGGAGGGGCGAGTTGCAAAGCCCTGACCCTCGGGGAGGACCAAGCAGGCCGTCGTTGTGGAAGGCCCGGCAGTGAGGGCGCCTAGCATGGCTCTCATTTCGGTGTCCCAGGTAGACATTGTGGAAACACTACTCTCACCATCCGAGCCAACGCATGGGTATTCCTCGCAGTGGTTAATTCCACCCGTGTCATCAGCTGGCTGCGGAGAGCACGGAATCTGTGCCTAAGCAGCTCCCTCCCACTCCAGGCAGTGCCCGGCTCCTCTGCCTCCTGTCCCTGTACACACAGTGTGCGTCATGACAGCAGTGTCCACCTCAGAAGAGGTCGTGAGAATCAAACACGTTCACACACATGCGTCCAAGACCTCCGGGATAGAAGAGCCAGGTGAGCTCTGCTGCCACCAGGATGCATCCCTCCATGAGCTCAAGGCTCAAAACGGTCTGCATACATCAATGGGTTATTCATAACATTAAAATGTGTATTTAGAAGTATACTCAAACACTAATCACATATTTCTAGTTTAAGATTTAAAAATATTTATTAAAAGTAGCCCAACTGCCAGGCATGGAATGCCTGCAATACCTGCTACTCAAAAGGCTGAGGTAGGAGGATTACAAGTTTGAGGCCAGCGTGGGCAACTTTGAGACTGTCTCAAAACCTGGAAAGTAGCCTAGTGGTAGAGCACTGCCCTGGCAGCAGGCCGACTCTGGGTTCAAAACCCAGTACTGGGAGTTGGAGAAGTGGCCCAGCAGTGCTTCAAAGAACAAGAAAATTATCCACAAAACAAGGAAAGCATTTGTTAGCATATATCTACTATGGTAACCAGGTCGTGTAATTAACCAATAATACACTAAAAAGGCAAGGACATGGCCTACATTCCCTTGTGTTGCCGGTGGTCATGTTAAATGGGGCAACCACTGTGGGAGGCAGTCTGACAGCTCCTTAAAGTGTTATATCGAGTTACCATAGCACATTATGAAGTCCACTCCCACAGATGTACCTGACAGAAATGAGCGTGCGACTTCATGTGAGCACTATTCACAGTAGCCTACCCTAAGGCTAAGTGGATGAACACAACATACACCCATCCACATTAGTGACAGAACACGAGTCGGCCGTGCAAAGTACTGAGGGATACTACAGTGTGGATGAATCACAAAACATTAAAAGGCCACATACTGTATGATAGCATTTGTGTGTCGTCTTACCAATTTCTGCTAACCCAGGCCTGCCCTCATTTGTTCAGTACTAGGTTCAGGGCCCCGGCATTCACGCCTATAGCATGGCCCTCTGCTGGAGTGTCCTGGGGGCCCAATCCATGACAGCTACACTTTCCTGTCTGGGTACTGAACCAAATGAGGAAACAAAGGCTGAAAGGCTCATGCAGCACCTCTGTCACTGGTCAAGGCTAGGATGTCACATAGTGAGTGTCCAATACAGTCTGTGACCAGGGCCACCTTGCCAACACTTCCAGATTTCCAGTGCCTTGCCCAGCTTCTGGCACACAATACTCAACAAACAAACGATCACTGTTATTCTCAAGAGCCCCAGGTGTGAGCCAGTGCTAGTGGGAGGGATGCGGGAGCCAGAGGGGATGGTAGGTTGGAGAGTTGACAGGGAAGCTCGGCCACCTAGGCAGAAGGCCTGAGTCTGTTTTCTAACATCCATGATCAATATGTATTATGTGAAATAGTATGATTTAAACTGGTGTCTTGATTATAAATACAAGGTTCAAAATTTTTAAAAAACTGGAAATTTGCTTTGGCAGTAAACCAGTCCTACTATCTACAGTCCATTCCCGGGAACTTACCAATTAAGTGTAATTAACGTGTAGCACAATTTATGTCTATCACTAAGCACATGGCAAAGGAAAAATGTGGGAAAGTGTTACGGAAACTTTAAAACGCCTTTTATATAAGGCTGCTATTATGTGTCAAGTTTATCACTATAAATTTAACCTGCTTTATGCCTTTGTAGACTTGCTCAAGTCTGAGGGTCATACGCCTGTGACTTCTCGTTGTTTTATGTTTCTGTGGTACTGGGGATTGACTGCAGGGCCTCGCGCATGCTAAGCAAGCTACTCTGAGCTACTCCCCAGTCCCAGCCTCAGCGACTCTGAAGGCATCAGTGAGAGCTTTGTTCCTACATACTTCTGAAGGGCAAAATTATTATGTTCTGGTAAGTTAAGGAAAAATCAGTCCTATATATTTATAGTTTGGAGGGTTTTTTTGTTTGTTTTTTTGTCTTTTTTGAGATGGGGTCTCAATATGCAGTTCAGGCTGGCCTTGAGCTCACTTTGTAGCCCAGGTGGTCTCGAACTTGCAACAACCCTCCCACCTCAGCCTCCCAAGTGCTGGGATTACAGGCGTGAGCCACAACACCTGGCTTGGTTTGGAGTTTTTAAACCTTTATTACCTTTAAACCTTGTGCTTTCTCACTGTACTTTCCCTCAACTAGAAAGCTTTACTTTCTGTAGTTTATATTATTTAACAATAAACAAACAAGGCTGACATAGAGCTCAGTAGTAGAGCTCATGCTTAGTATGTGCAAGGCCCTTGGTTCAAACTCCAGGACCCAAACAACAAAACGACATACAGAGTCAGGTGTAGTGGTGCATACCTATAATCCCAGCATTTGGGAAGCTGAGGTAGGAGGCCTGCTGTGAGTTCAAGGTCAGTTTGGGCCATAAAGTGAGTTCAAGGCTCTTCTGAATTACATAGTGAGACTCTCTCAAAAAACAAAAAACCAACCAAACAAACCCACATACATCCAAAACAGAAAAAGACTGGATTTTCTTTCTTAAAACCACATACACCTCCTACCAGTAGAGAGTCATTGATACATTGTCTACGGCTCTGGGAGATTGTTGGGTCTTCTCAGCTCCCAGTATCCTCTTGCCACTTCATGAACCTCTGAGAGAACTCTTTATAGCTACTACTGCTCAGCCACTCAGGGCTATATGTTTGTGTGTCGTGATTCAACGGCATCAACTAGATTAATTCAGAATCCAAATTTCAGGAAAGCCCTTCTAGCCCTTTGTCATGGCTGCCTTCACCCTGTTTGTGAAGAAACCAGTGACAGCTTTAACTGACAGTTTTCCAAGCAAGGTTGCTTTTGGCTTTTCAAGTACCACTTAGACACTTACATTTCACCAGAGAGTGTGTAAAAATAACTACCTCCAAGTAGTTTGCAGTATGAAAATGCATCTATATGTTAGAAACTGAGGAAAAAGAGAAGTGAAACTTGTTTATAAATCTGACGGATGATGGACATGTTCCTTGGAGTTGTTGTAAAGTGGTAGAAACTAAGATCTCAGAGGAAATTTTTAATAATATATAAAAACAGGCTTCTATCTTCTAAAGCTATGAAGACCTAACAGAAATATGTAGAACATGGCATCTAACTTTTCAAGTACATAAGAAATTCTCCAGGGTAGATAACGCATTAAATCATAAAACAAATGTGGCCTTATTGTGGCCATGGAACAATATACTTCTAAGAAATCTGTCATTCAAAGCCTCTTTACCAATCACAATGAAATGAGGTTAGAAATCACTAACAGAAGAAAAACTAGAAGATTCACAAATACAGTGGTACCTTGGTTCATGAATGCTTTTGTTTCCAAACTCTATAGTAAGGGATAAACACAACTGTAGCCATCTTTCCCACATAAATGTTAATTATGACCATCTTTTTCAGAATCATGCAATGAATTAAGTTCACAAACCAAGGTAACACCATATATGGAAATTAAATAACATGATTCGTTTTGTTTGTTTGTTGAGACAGGGTCTCACTATGGAGTTCACACTGACCTTGAACCAACTATATAGCTCAGGCTTGCCTCGAACTCATAGCAATCCTCCTGCCTCAGCCTCCGGTGTGTTAGGATTATAGCTGTGTACCACCATACCTGCCTAAATAGCACATTCTTAACCAACAGGTCAAAAAAGAATTCAGAAGGGAAACTACCACATACTTGGAGATGAATAAACACAAACACACATAACATTTCAAAGCTCTGGGATTTAGTTAAAATTGTGTCAAAAGGGAAATTATACCCGAATATACTTAACTTCATAAAAAAAAATCACAAATCAAGAATCTAACTTTATACCTTGAGGAACTAGAAAAAGAAGTGCAAACTAACCAAAACCAAAAAGAAATAGTAACAATTATAAAAGACAGAACAGAAAAAATGCCAGAGATAATGAAAGTATAAGTTAAAAAGAGACTCAATGACTAAGAGTTGATTCTTTGAAAAGTTCAACAAAATTAAGCCTCTTTTATCTAGACTAATGACAAAAAGAGAATATGTAAATAAAACTAAAATAAAGGGGAAAATGAGGACATTGGTACTAATGTTCCAGAAATAAAAAAGGAGTATAAAAATACCATGAACTATTATATGCCAACAAATTTGAAAATCTACATGAAATGCACAAGTTCTCAGAAACCGAAAGACTATCAAAACATGCCAGGTATGGTGGTGCACATTTGTAATCCCTGCTTTAGAAGGCTGAGGCAAGAGGATTGTCATGAATTTGAAGTCGGTTTGGACTACATAGTAAGACCCAGTGTTAAAATTAAAGAAAAGTCCAACAAGAAAAATTGGCTTCACTGGTCGTAGAGTTCTTGTCTAGTATATGTGAAACCCTAGGTTCCATCTCCAGCACCACAGGAAAAAGAAGACAAAGAATAACTATTTACCCAGCAATACCACCTTTAGGTACATATTGGGAATAACAGAAAACATATTCAAATATATTATGAGTGGTGACAATAGTACTATTCACAACAGCCAAAAGGTGGATCAAATGCCTACTAATGAATGGAGAATGAGATCAATCTATCCATCCATCTATCTATCTTATTCAGCCATAAACAGAAACACACACTTGTACCTGCTACAGCCTGGATGCACTCAAAAGACATTATGCTAAGTAAAAAATACTGACACAAAAGATCACATGTTCTGTGACTCCACATACAGGAAATATCTAGGACAGATAAACCTATAGGGACAGAAAGCATATTAGTGACTGCCAGGGGTGGCAGGGAGGTGGTAATGATCACCAACTATTTAAGAGATACAGGACTTATTGTTGGTGTTTGTTTTTGAAATAGTCTTGCTACATAGTTCAGGTTACCCTTGAACTCATGGAGTCCAGTCTGGCCTCAAACTTGAAGTGATCTTCCTGCCACGGCCTCCAAGTGCTGGAATTTTAGGCATGCACCACCATGCCTGGTAGAATACAGTTTTAATTTGGAATGATGAAAATATCACGTATTTTGTGATGTGTATTTCAACTCACTTTTTTTCAGAAGCACTAAAATAGCAGTCACAACAGTGCTTTAAATTTGGGAGAGTGAAGACTAGAAGAGGATAAGAGAGGGGATTCAGACAGTGTTGGTCATATTCTTTTTGGTTAGATGTTGATAATCAAGGTATGTTCACTTTATGCTAATGATTGATTACCAAGGTATGTTCACTTCATGAAAATTGAGCTTAGGGGCTGGGTATTTAGCTCAGCAGCATAAGCGCCTGCCTTGCAAGCAGGCAGTCATGAATTCGATCCCCGGTACCAATAAAAATGAAAAAGACAAAAAAAGAAAAAAAAAAGAACATTGAGCTTAACAGTCATGACGTGTGCTTTAAAAAATATGAACATTATGTTTTAATACAAATATTTATTTTTTGAAAAATAAAAAAGTTACAGTTACCAATAGTATTTCTATTCCTAAGCATACACCCAAGAAAACTGAAAATATATGTCCACGTGAAAATTTGCACATAAACATAGCAGCATTACTCATAATTGCTCCAAAGTGGAAATAACCAAAATGTCTACCAACTCATGGATAAACAAAACACGGTGTACATCTGTGGTGTATCGTATGATGAAGCAATGACAGATGACACTATATGGATGAATGTTGAGAGCATTATGCTGAATGAAAGAAGCCAGACACAAACAGCCACAAGTTGTATGATTCATGGTCAGAATAGGTAAAGTTATAAGAGACAGAAAGCAGACTAGTAAGTGCCCAGAACAGGGACAGTGTGAAAGCAGTGGTAATTGGGAGTTTTTGCTGGTGGATATACCAGGGTATTTTTTTTGGGAGAAAGGTGATGAAAGTATTCTGGAATTAGTGGTAGTGGTAGTAGTATGACTTGAAGGTATTAAAATCCAAAAAATTGTATACTTTAAGACAATGAATTTTGTCTTATGTAAACTTAACTGTTTTATGAATTATATTTCAATGAAAAGATCTTAAATATTTCATCACTTATATGTAAACTACAGAATATCAATAGAAGTACAAAGGAGAAAACTTTATTCAAAAATATTCTCTTTGAATTAGTGAGAAAAAATAAAATAATATTCAATTTTTAAAAAGTTCTCTTTCCCACTGCCCACTTCCAGAATCAAAGCCTTAGACTTTAGACACCACTGCAGAACTAAGATCTGGGCTGTAAGCCAGGGGATGGACGTATACATGTAGATCACAGTTTGGAATTCCAGCATGTGACCAACACCCTTGCTTGTCCCTGGAAAGGATAATATGATGGTTGATGAGAAACAGACCTTGGGTTGGAGAGAGACAAAGTAGTAGTGACAAAGTGTTGGCAGACCTGGTTCCAGGCTGTTTTTCATTGCTTCACCCACAGAGTAATGTTTTAGGAATGAGTAGACCTTAATGGACATAATCTCAGTTGCAAGAGCCCTGGGATGCTTTTTACCCTTTACTTTTTATTCTACTGAAAATTTAGGTTGTTCATTATCTGCTTTAAAAAATATTTGCAATCTCACAAGTATTTCTAAAAGTTACCAAAACCATAGATTTAGTTGGGCAGTAAACTAGACCTCCTGGACTCTACCAATCAGTAACAAAATTAGGCCAGTAATTTTCTGGGTGAATCTGGAACTGGGAAAGCTCAGAATTTAATGAATCTCAGAGTTTTAAGGACTTAAGAGGTCAAGTCATTAGGTCTTGGTTCTCATTTTCACCATATTGCTGAGTCCACAGTTCCAAGTATAAAGAATAAGTGAAACACCTACTGGAAATTAAGATGGACAGAGTAAGTTATTTCCTTGCATTTTGGAATGACGCAGTGTAGGGGAGGTAGTAAGACTGAATGGAATCCAGTAGACAATTGTGACGTATGATGCCAGAGATTTTTTAAACGTTCTTTATGATTGGTTCCCTCCCTAAAGGCTCCTTTGCCTACTACTACTCCACTCATTTAAGGACCTAATTTTACTCTGATTCTTGCACAGACTTGTAAGGGAGACTAAAAACAAGACTGAAGATATTCTACTTGCTGGGAATTTGGAGATACAGGAAGAATGAGAAGGCCTGAAGCCCACAGTTTTAACATAAGTATCATGGCACAAAATGAGAGATGAAAGTTTAACAGATAATTTATTCAATATTGAATGAGACGTGGGATGCAAACTCTAAAATACACATTCATTATGTCCAGTCTAATTTTATCCTCCTCTACTGATACAAAGACACAGATATTTTCACTCACTCAACTCACCATTTTCTGGCTGCTAAAATGGCAGGGAATTCTCCACAGCCGTACCTACCTTCTGGAAGTCAGACCCTAGAGTTGACTGCCTACTGGCCACAAGGGCGCTCATCATTTCCGTGATCTCTGTGACTTCTGTCCTTGCCTTCCTGGAGCAGAAATGTCTGCTGCAGTGCTTCCTTTTGTAAATCTGCAGGATTCTGGACTTGTTCCTGAAATGATAGAGAGTGGTGAGAACCAGTAAAAATATGATCATACTATTTCTTATGTAAATAGGCTATGGGAAAATTAAATGGAACCTTAGTAAGGGCATAGTATCTAAGAGATGAAAAAAATACTATTTCAATATGGTTGATTTCATCTTTTTGTTTTCTTTCTTCACATCCTCTACCTTTTGTTCTCCAATTACATACCTATGCCTCTATTTTCATCCTGCTCATTCACTTCTTTTAAACATACTCATTTCCCTTATTTTTCACAAAACGTTTTTAAAGAAGGAAATATGAGACAAAAAATACAAGAAAAACAAGAAACAAGAGACAAACAATAACAAAAACCCCCAAACAATAACAATACAGGCTTTCAAAACAAGGTGGTAGGAACTTAACAAAGGTTATTACTTTGCAGGTATCTTTAAAAGAGTTACTAAAAAAAAAAAAGGTTACTCAGATTACCAGATATAGACATGCAAAATTGATCTAATCCTACGTTAACGGTTTTGTTCCAAGAATAGAATTAGTAGTGCAATCATCTTAGCTGTCTTAAGTATACATATACAAATTTACATCTTTTCTCTTTTCCCTTTTCTAAAAATATGGAATGCTTCACAAATATGCGTATCATCCTTGTACAGGAATGATGCTAAACTTCTCTGTATCATTCCCATTTTAGGATAGGGTTGCCAAAGCCTGATTCTCCATGAATAAAAGGAACAGATGCATGAAAAATTTTTAAATTATAAGTAGATATAAATTATATCTTATACCGTTTTGCATGCAACAAACTGATTATCTTTTATGTTCCTTCAAGAAAGTAAGCTTTGTGGAGACAAGTATCTTGATTCATATAATTTAATGGCCAAGTACTTGCATATCAGCAGATATGCACAGTCAGCTCAGTAGAGTACAGGCAAGAGAGAGAGAGAAGAAAAGAATAACAGGGGATTTTTAAGAAGGCATGTTGCAGGGGCTGGGGATTTAGCTCAGCGACATAAGCGCCTGCCTTGCAAGCAGGCAGTCGTGAGTTCAATCCCTGGTACCAAAAGGAAAAAAGACAAAAAAAAAAAAAAAAAAAAAAAAAAAAAAAAAAAGAAGGCATGTTGCCCAGCATAGGTGGGAGGAGAGGGGTTCACAAGGTCTCGAGGGAAAAAAACCAGGTCCTATTTTTAACTGTGGAGAGTAGATGAGAGGCATGATGCATCAAATAAAAGACAGCTCTAAAAACATTTTTTAATACATAAAAGTATCCAGAAGAGAAAAAAAAAATCCTAAAACTTTGGCAGTAATTCTGCAGCATCAGATAATCCTTACTAACATAAACATTTTTATGCATGCATATGCATACATATATATTTTATGGATATATAAAATATTATGTAAAATGCATTTCCATGGTGAGAAGGTAGAAACATAAAAGACAAAAAGTAAAAGTACTGCTTCTCATTCTTCTAAGATAAACTCTAAACATTTTTTTCAATTCCATCCAGAAATGAAATTGAGCTTGATTTAGTCTTGAGATAACAAGATGATGCTAGGCCATAAAATGTTGAATTATTCCTACAGTCAAATCAGAGTTTACAGTTTGGCTGATTTCAACATACTTATCTGGCTGGAAGAAGAAAGGGGGCCATCTGAACATCAGAGCCCTCAAAATCTGTTCTTTGGCTTTTTTTTTTTTTTTTTTTTTTTTACTTTTTTATAACTCTCAAGTCAGTTTGCTCTCCTTACCATTTCTCTTCTGCTGCGGGGCAGTGTGTACCCTTTCTAATCTGGCACCACTACTCCAGAATATTACTCCAACAAGGGACTACTGGCAGCCTTGATATAAACACCCTACTACAGATGGTAATTTGTATACAGACAGATGGCTTCTAAAGTGTTAAGGAACCACAAACTAGAGTCAGCAATTGTTTTTGCTCTTTTATAAATTGTTAAATATTAATGATCAGTTAGGAAAAATAGCTATTACCACACTGATTACTGCAACAGATTTTTATTGCACACCTTACATGCCCAGCAACTGTGCACTGTGAATACGATGATGAAGCAGCAAAACAAATTCCTACTTTGGAGAGTTTATGAAGCAGCTGGGATGGGGTGTTAATCAAAGAAATATACACATCTAAAACTATAAACCATGTTAAATGCTGTAACATAGTCATGTTTTATCAATTAACTTCTTCCAAAAATGTGTAAGTTGAAGGCAGCTCAGAATAGTATTGTTTTTTTTTTTTTTTTTTTTATCTTTTTGAGATAGGGTCTTGTTATCTTGTTTCGGCTGGCCTTTGGCTCACTTTGTAACCCAGGCTAGTCTCAAACTTGTAAAGATTCTTCCTTCTGCCTCAGCCTCCTGAGTGCTGGGATTATAGGCATGTGCCACCACACTCAGATCTTTTAAGAGTAGTACATTCACAGTGAACGTTCAATTGTTTATTTACCAATGACTATTGTCACTGCATACCTAACTTTTTAAGCTAAAAAGCTGTAATAGGGCTGGGGATTTAGCTCTTCGGTGTAGGTGCCTGCCTGGCAAGTGCAAGGTTATGAGTTTGATCCCCAGTACCAAAAACAAACAACAAATAAAAAGTTGTAACCTTTAAACTCTAAGAAGAAACGATTTTATAATCTCTATTCTGTATTTCTGTTTTCTTACATAAATCACTCATTTATCCTGGATCTAGTTAATCTTAATAAACTGAGGAGAAGCAGAGGTAAGACATTTAAAACAAAACAAAACAAAAAAAGCACTTCATTTGTTATAGTTTATTTCATCTGAATCTTTACCCCTTAAAAACAAGAGGTAATGTTTCTATTGGATTACTGTGTCCTGGATATCTACTACTCATTTTTCCTCAGACTCTGCATCTGGAAATTTGATGAGACAGACATATATTCTGGTATGCCCCACTACTGAAACATTACATAATTTATGGACATTTTAACTTTTTAAGAGATGAAGCACACATGGTGTAAAGTTGGACAACTTTCCTGTATTACTCAGTAGTATTAGCAGGAAAATAAATACTAAAAGTGTTACATGCCTTATGAATAGAATGGCAGCTTACAAGGTAGGAAGCCTCCATTCAGAAAGCCAAGGGAATTCTTAGAGGGTTATTAGGTACTTGTGGGTGTTTGCTCACATTTGTGCTCATGAGGGTGGACTATAAAAACTGCTCCTGATGTTCACAGAAATCTAGAATGTACCTGCATTATACAAAAGCAACATATAAAGATCAGGGCCCATTCCTTGCATGTGCTTTGTCTCCAAGTTGAAACTTTATTCTATACTGTGACAGGACATAAAAAGAAATACACCCTACCTCTTGGTGCTAGCTATTGGGTTGGACTCCCCACCCCCTTAACACAGCTTTTCTGGATGAGCTCCAAAGCTAGATCTCACTGATTAAAGGTATAAAAAGTAGCACTACTTCCAGCCCAGACTGGAATTCTAAAAGCTCTCCCTTTCCTGGATCAGAGCAGACATGAAAAATGCCATTCCTGTAACTCTTAGAAATGTGCCTTCTAGAAAAAGCTCTGGATTGGTAGATGACTTTGGTGTAAATCTTGAAGCTACCCAGAAATTACAAGTTATTACTAAAATTTAGGCTCTATGTACTCCAGCCCCACCTACCTAGTTTTGTCCTTCCTAAAATTTGCTTCTCTTTCCTTATCATCCCTCTCAGATGACTCCCTCTTACCTACGGGGGAAGACTAACTTACTGAGTTGAGATCTGCATATGATTAACTTCTCCCTACTCTTTCCCTAAACCCACCTATCTTTTCCCAGAGAGGTTAAACTATAAACTAACCGGCCTAAAAATGAATGCAAACCAGCATTTTTAAACTATTGTTTCCAAAATTCCTATAGATAACATCCTAGGATAAAAAGGGACTAAGTGGGAAAACAAATCTTGTCAAAGCTCATGGGCTTAAGTTTACTAAAAGACATTTTGGGGTTGGGTATATAGCTCAACAGCACAGCATCTGCCTGGCAAGCACAAGTTCCTGAGTTCAAATCACCATTCAAAAAAAAAAAAAAAAAAGATACCTTTTTGAGTCAGTCTGTGGTTTCCAGGTCAGAAGCATTCTGAATTTGGGCTACAGCTGAAAAATCAAGCCTACAGATTACTCAGGACAGCCTGACCCTGTAAACATTTGGTGCTGAAATGGGGATAATAATCCTCATCTTAAAAGAACCCTGTCCAATAAAGCACCTTGTCAAAAACCACAACAAATGATGGAGGCATTTTCAATGACTAGCTGTCAAATCTCTTTCCTTTCCACAACATGAAGAGGAGTCAGAATCATTTCTCAACTGATATTACTTAAGGCTTCAGAAAAATTAAGTAGCCTCCTAAAATTCTTTTTTTTTTTTTTTCTTTTTTTGTACTGGGGATTGAACTCACAACCTCATGCTTGCCAGGCAGATGCTTATACCACTGAGCTAAATCCCTGGCCCTCGCCTCCTAAAATTCAACCTGATGATTCTGTAGCTCCATACACACAGAAATAAGGAAGAAAGAATTCTGAGAATAAGACTAGTGATACTATATTACCTTTGAAGAACAGGTAGGAGAGAAAAGGACTCAGAAGCCTTTGTTGAGCCAGGTTACAAATTGCTGACAACAGGGATGGCAGAAGAGACAGAGATTAGAAAATCTGAGGACTGACTCCTTGATTCCAAAGAGGACCTCAGCAAGAGTCTGACTGTCTTAAAGAAACTCAGTTTCCTGGAAGAGCCTGAGCCAAAACAAGGGTTTATAAGAGCTTTACAGAAGAATACTGACCACTGAGGCCTCTCACCACTTACGTGGCAGCAGAGGGGTACAGACTACTAACTTAACATTCTGGTATGAAGAAAGTAGCTCTGACAATTCGGGGGGGGGGGAGGTGGATGAAGGTGGGAACAAACAAGTCAGTAGAGGTTCACTACTTTAGTCTTCCTTTGAAGTTCAAATGTGTGTGGTTTCAAAACAACAATCCAGAAAGAAACATGAGATTAATGCATTTATTCCATGAAATTAACACATTAAAAATAAAGTTAAGCCAACTTATAAATTCTTTAATTTTTTTTAACAAATGTACAACCCAAAACATCACACTGATGGAAATAATTTGGGATAAGGAGAGAAGGTATACATATAGATTTGTGGAACAGAATGAGTTCAATCTCAAGATAAGTTTTAGATTTTCTGCCTCTTTAAAACAGAAATAGTTGCTAAACAATTTGATATAAAGTATTACTGGAACACACAGTACAATGAGCAAATGTCATTTTTAAATGAAAGCGATTTCCTAAAAACATATCTGCTCCTGGGATTGGGCCATGCACGAATAAACCTTACCGATTTGTTGTCTTCTGTTGAGTCTGCCAGATTTTCTTCCATGCTTATTGAGGCCATTTCCAAATAGGTTTGTGGGCCAGGAGGACCATCTCAAGCAAACAGCAAGAGGGGATGTATGGGAGCTGACATGCCAGTAAGGGAAGTAAATAAACAATAAAAGGGCTACTCACGCTGCATTTCAAACATTGTTAAGGTAGGCCCATCCAAATGGAAGCCCAAGAGATGAACAATTCTTCCTTTTCAGTAGAAGCTTTCCGTTTCAACAAGCTTTCCGGTGTTTCTCCCAAGATCCACCAGTTGCCCAGGAAATTTGGTAGGAATACAACACAGTAATTGGAGAAGTCAACTCTCTGGTTTCCCTCCTCCCCCACATTCTACAAATGGCAACATCAAAGCCAAAATACAATCAAAGCACACTATGTGGTAAACAGATAGACATCTGACTTTAATGACAAAGCAGGAGAAAATAACTTGGCCAAAAGATAAAAAAAATAACAGAAAATACTTTTTTTTTTACAGATACATATATATATATATATATATATATGTTATGATTGATTTGCCTGATATTGTAAGGGGAAAGGAAAAAAGGAGGTACATTTTTTAGCTTCCATAAATATTTACTGTAAGATGTTGACTATATCTCATGGTGTAGGTTCGATGAGACTGCCAACCAGTCCTGGATCATCTGGGTATCCAATTTCTAGAAGCCAATTTGGTTCATCCACAAGGAGTCCTGGGAGTTTAATCACGAACACTGGATTCTGTGTGGTTCTGGAAGGGACTGACTGCAGCTTCATCAGTTATTTTCTGAGGGACCAGACTGCCTCCAACTACCTGCTCCCCAGAAGAGGACTCTGAAGCTGGAGTTTTGACCAAATTCAAAGGGTTGTTACTTTCCTCATCTGCCTGGAGAACCGCTACTTCTGTATTGGAGACATCTGGGATTTCTAGCTTCAGTGGTCCCATTTCCAAGGAGCTACACTTAAGAGGGTCATCTGGATCAGAAAATGGAGAACACAGTTTCTCTTTCAGAATGCCAGATGTCCGTGTAACAAAGTCAACGAGATCTGGAAGGCAAGGAGATGGTCCAAGGCCTGCCGGACTAGTTGTTTCTGATTCCAACCTGAGTGACTCTTGCTTCTTTAACTGGGAAGTTTCTTCTGCTTCTTCATGCAGCCTTCCCCCTGACAACAGGTCAAGGGCCTGATGTGTTCTCTCTAGGCTACCCAAGCCACAGTCAGTATTTTCTGTAGGAAGTCCAGTTTTCAAAATGTTGGGAGAAACAATCCTCCCACTTCTGGGATTAGAGGAATTGTGTTCACCTTCTGTTGCAAAATTAAGCACCAGGGTTTTGGGAGAATCTAATGGAAACCCAGAAAAAGATGAGACTGCTTCAAAGTTACTAGGGGTAGAGGGATTATACCCTGCAGATGATACAAAATTTTCTTCACATGCTTTCTGAGACAGGGCTGTTAGGGGTCCATGTCCTGGGTCTAACCGAGTATTGCAGAAATCAACACGTGTATCTTCCAGATTCCCCAGAGTAGCAAGCTCCTTTACCTTTAAGTGTTTAGCTTCAAAATCTGCCAAGGCCTTGTTTTCTATTGTTGCTGTTAATTCTGGATGAATGTCTCGAAGTTTCACAGTTTTCACTTCAGGTTTCTCTGGGCTCTTGTTCTCATCCCAAACAGCCAAATCACAGATCATTTTACCTTGAAAGTCTTTTGATCTTTCTCTTTGGAATTTGAGACTTCTATACCTAGAAGTTCTGGAACCTGATTCTTGAGCTGAATGTTCTAGCCACTCTTCACTACCACCTGAAACTCCTTGTTCCTGGGCATTATCTGTTAAATATGTATCTGGTCTTGCTGGACACTGAAGAAGCAACTCTGGGGTGGAAATTTTCCCTGGTTTATCTTGTGGATTCTGGAGTAAAGATTTATCTTCTAATGGAAATGAGTCTTTTTTTGCCTGTGCACTTGATTCAGTGATTACTTTACTTGGAGTTTCATGTTCTGTCATTGATTTCTTAGATTGTTCAACCTCTTTGTCAATCATTAGTAACTCTGGTTGTTCTACTTCTCCCTCCCACATGTATCTGTTCCCATAGTTCAAATTAGAATCTTCTAGGCTATGGGGCCCAGAATTGACACTTGCTCCCTCTTTAACTGCTACCCTTCCTTTTAGTTCAGTGTTTGTCTCTATCTCACTTTTTCCACAATCCTTAGAGCTGTAGAGCTCTTGGCTTTCCTTACCAGAATCTATGAGGTGAACTTCTACCATTGTCTGAGATTCCCTGGTGTGACAGTGTGTACCTGACAGCTGAGGATCCAGGTCTATACCAGGTGGGCCTGGCTCTCCCAGGTCAAATTTAATTTGCCCTTTTGAAGCTAGATCCCCATCAGTGTCACTCTGGACAGAGCTATTATTAGTCCACATGGCTGAAGTGTCTGTCTGTGGGGTAGTTTTATAAGACCTATTTTGGCACAACCTTGTCAGAGGCTGTAAGAAGCTATAGCTACAGTCTCTACTTTTTGAGTCTACTTCCTTTACAATTGACCGTTTCCCTATTGATGTTACAGTTTCTACTATGGGATTTTCATGGTTCCTGACCACAGGAGCAGTGGCCAAGCCTCTGTCTTGAGCAATCTCTTTTTGAGATACACTGCTAGTCAGGGGAGATGTGAAAGAGGTATATGAATTTTCAGTTTTAGAAAGGTGGCTATTTTCCCCATTGGCCAATGGACCAGTACCCAGCTTAGTCTCAGGGGCCCCCTTTCCACCACTACTATAGAATATGTCATACAGATCCTTAGCATTGGCTGTGGCTAAGCATGAATTTCGCTTCTCTACCTTTTTGGCCTGTTCACTAAACACACTTGAGAGGGGTGGGGGAGGACGCACTAACATAGAGAACAGGGTCTGGTCCCAGTCACTCTCACTCACCCCAGGAGCTGTCTCATCAGAAGGAATGGTAGCTGGCTGTGCTGAGGCCTTGAAGGCTATAGGCAACACTGGATTCAGAATGTTAGGACTCAGGAAGCCAGAACTGGGAGTCTGAGACACAGCTGAGTTTGACTTTCCTGAAGCCAAGACCACATTTGCTTGAGGAGATGGAGCAGTGGGATGAGGTACAACTGGGGGTGGTGGAGGCGGTGGTGGTGGTGGAGGAGGAGGAGGTGGGGGTGGCGGCGGCAACATTTGGTCAGGTATATGGGATGGCTCATTCTTTTCAGCCAGCACTTTCTCCTCTGCAGACCCTTTTAGAATCACCTCTTCTCCTCCAAAAGCTTTGGAGATGATGTCTGGAGGCAAGAGGGGATCAGCTGAAGACTCTTTAACCACTGGCAGAGGTTTAGCAGTGGTTCCAGAGGACTTGATGGACAGAAAGGTGTTAAGTGGCGCAGGCTTGCTCATTGTAGCTGAACTTGACTTGCGGAGTACTGTGGATGGGATAGGCAGGTTGGGTCGGATTTTAGTCTGCGTTGAAGTTGTCACAACAGGCATCCAGGGACTTGTATGTGCAACAACAGTTTTCCCAGACAGCTTGATTTTGATGGGTTTTGCCTTCCCCATCTCAGCTTTGCCATCTTCTTTGTCCTTACTGCTTTCTACAATCTCTTCTTTAAGGATACTTGGGGTCGCCACTGAACTCTTTTCCTCTTCTTTTTCTGGCTTCTTCCAGCTAAATTTCCCAAAAGATGATGATGTTGGCGATTCCTTCTTCACTTCTTCTTTTAATTGGAGTTTGATGTTCAGATTCCTTTTATTTTCAGCTTTTTCAGGGGAATTCCAGCACTCAGAGATTTGGTCTTCTAATTCCATACAGATCTTGTCACTCTCTTTTGTTTCTTTCACAACTTTCACTTTCACTTTTTTTTGTTTCTCCTCTTTTTGTTTCTCCCTAAGTTTGCGCTTCAGCTCATTTTGCCGTCGCCGTTCTTTTTCTAGGACCACAGCAAATGGGCTGGCCTGGCGTTCCAGATTCCGCCGCTCCAGATTTCGCTGCTGCAGATTCCGCCTCGCCTCATACAATGGGTTTTCATCCACATATTTCTGGGTAGAGAAAAGATAAAGGTTCAACAAGTGGTCAAAATACTATAAGATAATCTTGACCTCAGTCATTTTTAGAATTCACTTAGCAGAAATCCCTAAAATAATCTTTTTGAGTAATCTTTTTTTCTGTTAGCTGTTCTGTTAGCTCTGCAACTTGCATTAGGATCGAGAACTTCCTAGTGATTACATGGAATCTCAAGTCTCAGTGATTATAACTGACTCTGAAACTTTACAAAGTCAAAAGAATCACTACACAAGGTAGTAAACTCCAGAGGGTATTAGAAAAACCAACCTTGTATTTCTCATTGTGTTCATGACCCTTTACATGTTGCTCTCCAGAAATTGGATCCCCTAAAAATTCCTCACAGAGCTGGCAGTAAAATCCAGTGACAGGAATCAGAAATTCAGAGCCTGAAAGAAATAAAAGGAACTAAGTTTTTCCACAAGGGCTCAGGGTGACAGTAACCAAAGGAAATCTCACTAAACTTTTATAGAATAAGAGTTGTAGTATCAAGGACTTTGCCCACTCTGGAGTCAGAAGCAGTATTTTAGATGAATCCCAAGGGCAGAGCCCTCCCAATCTAAGGCTGTTTCTCTAGTTCTATTACCTCTTGTGAATACTAGCTGGCCAATTGAGGAGTTTCTTATTTCTGCTGCTAATTCTCCTTGAACTCCAAATAGCATTAAGCATCTTGGAAAGGTTAAAAAAGCCCACTACCATTTATATGAGGATGTCTCATGTTGGTATTAATTACTCAGGAATTTACCTTCTATAGAGCATGTGGTACTCACCACTGATTACTTGTGAAGGTAAGAAACTGAAAGTTTAAAGACAAGCTTTTTACTTTTTAACTTAACCGCTTTTCTACTCAAAATATTTTATAGTTGTTAGTTGAAAAGGTAGTTAAATTACTACACTTTTTACTGTCCTTTATACCTGAACTTCAAGTAAATAAGAATTTGGTGCAAAAGCTAATAATAAAGACAGTAGTTCTGCTCTATTTTAAGTGGAACTTACATATTGAATATCTATTAGATTTCTGGCCATATGGGTAGAGATTACTGTCTTTTTCTATCTTTAGGACCTAACACACTGTTGTGTACATCAAAGCCATTCTTACAGTTTTATTAAAAGGAATAGCTAAGTCTATGCTAAGCTGCTTCCTAGAATCTTAGCTTAGAGGTGTGTCTTCCTCAAATGAATGTAAGGAAATCATAACGGAGGCAGGGAAAAAAACGTACCTTTTGCAGAAACAGTTATCTTGTCAGTGTGCTTTACAGCATCTTGCTTGGCCTCACTCTGGGTCTTTGAAGCCCAAGGTCTGTGGTAGGGATCCAGTGTCTATGCAAGAGGCAGAGGCGCTCACACAACAGTACTAAAAACTAAATGACCATTGTTCTTTTCTCTCTTTCGTCCCCCCATTTATAAGACCAGGGAAGCAGAAGCCCCTTATCTATCTACCCCTTTGCCCAATGGAAATCACCTGTGGAAAAGGTAAATATATGTTAGAGCAAATACTAGAAATAGATAAAATGAAACCAAAAAAACCAAAGATGTAAGAAATCAAGAAACAGAGGCCTCACTTACACTTGTCATGATGTTTAGTTCTAGGCAGCTCCCCTGGACTGAGTCCTAGGGACAGTGTCTCCTTTATTAATATTTCTTCGGATTCAGAATCTCTCATTTTCCAATTTCATAATGCAGATGGGTATAGAGAAGCTGGAAGGTAATGAGGGTGACAGTGGAAACAACAGAGAGCAAGATACCTACCTGTGTGTGCTTCTCACTGTGCATGTGAGTGAAGAAGTCAAACATGGTCCCACAGACGGTACTGCAATCTTTGCACCAGTGGTTGCCAGCGTCATAATACTGATAACCAGTAACAGGCTGATCACACTGCTTAGCAAGTGGCTGGGGGCTTTCAGCAGGTTTAGGGCTCTTAACACGGGACTTCTCATGGTTTACTTTCAATTCCTAGAAGAGAAAAACCTGCACTTACAAAAGATTTCAAGATAATCCACATTTCTGTCAAAAAAATGGCCATAATAACAGGTATATGGTTATAGGGCCATATTTCCAATGCCTAAAAAGTCACATAAGCTGGGGCGAACCAAGGCTCCACACTTCAAAAATAATTAGATCTCATAATTTTCTCCTATCATGGAGAGTAAATCATAATGGTAGTATAACTGCTTATATATCCTAACTAGCTCTAGAACATCACTCAAGCTTATGAAAACACTGAGTGCCTCTGGAGAGAGGAACTAAAGAACAGATTAGGTAGGGGTCTTTTCACTGTATAACCTTGGGCAGATGTTGAATGTGTTACCTATGCAACCAAATACAATGCTTAAATTTTAAAATTATAATGGCAATTAAAAAAGAAAAATCAAAATGCAAAATTAATTGGCCAGTTAAGAGTAAATGAAGAAAATTGGTGATCATGAACTCAAATATCACATGCATTCTCCATGGAAAACCAGAGAGTAGTGGTGGTTAATGTTAGGGGGTAAGATACAAAAAAAGATAATTCTGTCACACAGAGAACAGTATGCACGGAGAGTTACAGCATACAAGAAAAGGAAACTGGGTACCTGGAAAATGCCTAATGGGTGAAGATAAGAAACCGCAAAGGGAAAAAATACATATACTTTTCTTAACAGTCACTAAAGAGATCATACTTGGAAGAGAATTAGAAAGTTCCTCCATTGCTGATGGGAACATTAAGTTGGCATCATCCTCTAGAAGGCAATCTAGGAATATATATTACAGACCTCAAAAATTCTGGATACTTTTGACCCAGAAATTCTGTTCCTTCACATTTAGTTAAGGAAATTATTATGTCAAGCACAGATGATTGATTGGTCAGCTAAATTTTGCTATTTATGTGGGAAAAAAAAAAAAACCACAAAAGAAAGTCATTAAAAGTTAGTATTAAAGGGCTCGAAGGAGATGTATCTCAGTGGTACAGCCCTTGCCTAGCATGTACGAAGCACTGGGTTCAATCCTCAGTACTAAAAAAAAGAAAAAAATTATAGTAGTGTATTTATTGACATGGAAATTTGTTCATAATATACTGAGAAAGGTAACAAACCACATATGATTAAACAATAAAGATATGTAAAGAGGTATAGAATGTGAAAACATCCTTTATCCAAAAGACTCTCTGACCACTTTATAACCCTCTTTTTAGACTTTTGCTGTATAGTTCAGGTTGACCTAGGTAGCCCAGGCTGACTGTAAACTCACACTGATCCTTTTGCCTCAGCCCCGCAAATGCTGGGATTACAGAGATATGCCACCATGCCTAGCTCCTTTTAGGCATTTTTCATTACCTAATATGCACTTATATATTTATTGTGTTTTCTCCTATTTCATGAAAACAGTCTATACCATTTCCTGCTATACTTTCCATTATCTAGACTAGTCTCTGACACTTTTTTAGTGATCGATAAATACTTGTTAAATGAATTAATAAATAAAAGAATAATATAAGGAATAATATATACCAAGATATAACAGCTTTCTCTAAGTAAATGGAGTTAGGGGCATATATATGTGTATATTTTTGTGAATTGAATAGAAAGAGAAAATAGCAAACCTAACTACATTTTTTTTTTTTTTTGGTCTTTTTCGTTTTTATCGGTACCAGGGATCGAACTCACGACTGCCTGCTTGCAAGGCAGACGCTTATGCCGCTGAGCTAAATCCCCAGCCCCTAAACTACATATTTTAAAGAAAAGCAGAAGTTTAAGGATATGGTTCAGTGGTACAGCATCTGCTTGGCATGCATCCTGGGTTCAATTCCTAGCACCAAAAAAAAAAAAAAAAAAAAAAGAGATAGAAGCAAAGAAAGAAGAAAAACTAAGGACATGTAACAAAGAAAGTACACAGGCACAACATTCCTTACTACTGAGATGAAAACTAAATTCTAACCTATCCTTTTAGTAACTTCAGAAAATATAAAGTCTTGGCATGTTAGGACGATATATTATCATGCTTTTGGCATAGAGGTAGAAGTTCACTGTATAAAAGACAAAATTGAAAACTATAGTGAATGTTTAAATTTTAACAGTGATGACAGTAGCTAGGCCTGATGACACATGCCTGCAATCCCAGCACTCAGGAGGATGAGGCATGAGGATCACAAGTTTGAGGTCAGCTTAGACTACAAAGTGAGTTCAAGGCAAGGCTGAACTACATAGGAAAACCTTGTCTCAAAACAAAACAAAATGACAGTAAAGGACATACTGCCATTAATTCCCCTCATAATACCTCCTCTTACTTCAAACATTTATCTCATCATTCATACCACTTGATACAACAACTCTGGAAGTCCTCTTTCCTGAGCATCTCTAGCTGCACTGTTGTGGTTACCTTGAAGTCCTGAATTGATTTTAAATGTTTACTTTCATGGTCATTTTGATTTTGGGGAACAGCCCAAAGTAACACGGTGCTGGATTTGTTGAACAAGGTACATGTTGAACAAGGTTCAAGTTACAGTTTGTGCCTGGATGTCCTCCCAAAGCCTCATGCAGTCATCAAGGTGTGCTTTTCAGAGATAGCTGAATCTACAGTTTGTGACTGATTCATTGTCTATTTCTGGGATTATGGGTATGAGTGCTACACCCACCCTAGGGTAGGTAGCCTATATACAATATAAGGGACAGAAAGAGACTTCTCTTGTGGGTGCCTCTCTTTTGCTCTTGTTGCTTTTGCTGTTTTCCCTTGCTATGAACTGTTGCCACCAGCCATGTGGCACTCTGCTTTGGGGCCAGTCAAGTATGGACTGAAATTTCCACAAACTGTGAGCTAAATAAACTTTTCCAGCCTTAACTTGGGTATCAAGTATTTTGTCTCAGCAACGAGAGCAAAGTAACAAAGACATGACACACCATCATGTTTCTATGAGCCTATCTTTCCATTGGTAGCATTCGGCAGCACTGCTTTGATCTTTTGAAGCTTTTGATGACATTTCATTAAGACACAGAAGGACTTCATTAGTGCTTCAGAAAATAGCAAGAATGATGAGTTAAATGTGTTTGAAGTGAGGGGAAGCATTCTGAGGAGGGGGTAATGGCAATGTGTTTTATTGTACTTCTTTTTAAAAAATATTTAAACATTCACTGTGTATTTTCATCACAACTCATAAGTCAACTAAAAAGGCCCAGAATTTTTAAGCTTTCCTCCCAATAAAGGTCTTGGACTCCAGATCTAGGTATACAGAGACTAGAGTCTATCTGACTGAGAAAGAGAACTCTCCCAGAAAAAGAGAAATCAAGAGGTTGGATAATGGATACACAGGATATCCTATTCCCTATTCCTCAACAGCAACTGAACACTAACTATGTGCCTGACATAATGGATGATGTGAAAGCAAAAAGATTCAATCAGTTACGCTTCTTTATCTTTAAAAATCTCTTCTTAGTGGACAAAACAGACACAAGAATAGTCTTTAAGACAGAATGAAATAAATCTTACAAAAAAGAAATTTATTATGGGAATGCTAAAGAAAGGCTGACTATATCTGGGCAGAATTCTGACAATTCTTCATGTAAGAAGGATTACTCATAAAGTTGATCCTCAATAGATGAGTAGGATTCCAAGAAAGATTATTCATGACTTTATTAATGCAAAATTAGAGAGATTTAACAGCATATTGCAGTTCTGGAAGACTATAAGCACTGTGAAGTTGGTAGCAGTGTAAGATATAGTGTAATATTTTGTGAGTACTATTCATTACTATGTGCCAAGCACTTAGCTATATATTGGTGACTCCATTGGAAAATATGACAAACGCAGGTCCTGATCCCTTGAATGTTAAAATCTAATCAGGAGAACATGTAATTACATGTAATTATATAACTATCATAAATGCAAAAAAGAAAAATTATAAGGAATTATGAGCAAATTTAATAATCTGATGAATCAGGAAGGACAGTATAAGTAATTTAAGCTGTGATATGAAGAATATGCATTAGAAGAGAGAAAAAGAAAAGAGTTGCGTGGTAAAGAAAGGCAAGATATAAAGGCATTAGAGTGAATACATGTTGAGGGAAAAAAAGGTCGATAAAGAAATCACAGTAATCAGGTCATGGGTTTGTCTCAGCAGCATAAGTGCCTGCTTGACAAGTGTGAAGCTGTGAGTTCAATTCCCAGTACCAAAAAAATAAATTACAGTAATCAAGAAGGAAGAGGCATGCAATGAAACTGAAGAGGCAGGTAAGTCAGAGAGTATTACAATCACTGGCTGTATGTGAAGATAAGATTAAGAATGCTGCAGTACAAGCAAAAAGTAAAGTGAATAGAAATGGGAGATAATAAGGCAAATTCAATTGATACTCGCTTTGAAGAGAGAAGTACAGAATTTGTAACTGATTGGGTATAGGGCAGTTAGGGAGAGGAAAGTACTAAGAATGTTTTTGAAGTTGTTGGCATGAAACTGTTGGATGGTGGTGTGGACTTACAATTCTAGCTACTTGGGAGGCTTAGGCAAGAGAATCTTAAGTTTGAGGTCAGCCTGGGCAATTTATTGAAATCCTGTGTAAAAACTAAGAATGCAGTTCAGTGGTAGAGTATTTGTCGAGCATGCATGAGTCCCTGGATTCAACCCCGGTACAGGAAAGAAGGAAAGAAAAAAGGCACACGGGCAGGTGAGCAGGTAAGCAGGCAACGGACAGGTGGGCAGGCAGGCAGGAAAACAGGAAGGTGAGCAGGCAGGCTGTTAGACAGCAGTGCTATTCACTAAGAATGGGTAACCCCAGGGCTGGGGATTTAGCTAAGTGGCTCATGCGCTTGCCTGGTAAGCATGAAGTCATGAGTTCGATCCCCAGTGCAAAAAAAAAAAAAAAAAAAGGATGAGTAACACCAAAGAGTGGGCTGTTACACACTCATAATGATCATTTCAGCTCAAATATAAAACTGGAAGCTGCCACATAGTATCTCCACACAGAACTAAATGAAATGGTGTAGGAAAAAAATGGAGGGGCTAGCAATGAGCCCTGACAAACTCAAATAAAGATCATGTAGAAATGGATGAGCAGTAAAGGAGACCAAGCTGTAGTCGCCAATGCCCTAAGAGGAAAAGAAGTGTGACAGAAGATAAAAGAAAGCATTGTAGAAGAAAGTATTTCCCTGTGTTAAATGATGTGGATTGGAGAACTGAAATGTAGTCACTGGTTTTAGCAACAGTGGTACACATAATCATGGGTGCTAAATATGAACCTCTCCAAATGGCATACACTGTATAAGCTGTGTATATATTCAACTGGAGTAGGTTAAGGAATATCTGATGTAACAAACACATGGAAGGCCTTGAATACTAAGGGTTTTCAATTCTATTTTGTGAGCATCAGGAAACTGCTAAAATTCTGAAGGAAAGTACCATGATTTCATCTATGCTTTAAGAAAATGTAAACCTTTTGAACTGCAAACATGTACACCCCACCAAAAAAGGAACGGGATCAAAAGATGAGTGGAGCAGAGAGGGAAGGAAGGGAAAGGGGATAATAAAAAGCATTAAGATGTATTATGTACATGTACCAGTTCCCCACAAGGAATATAAACATTATATACTATAAACATATTAATAAAAAGTGAATGAACTGAAGGATTATAAACAGAAAATATAAAATGAATTCTTCAGGACCCAAATTATCATCTTGCACTAGAAAATATAAAAGTAAAAAATACCAAAAACCAAAAAAAGAAGAAAAAAAGAACTCTAACAAGAGAACATTTTGAAAAATGAAGCTAAGAAAATGTTACAAAGTTTCTATAAGAGTTCATGGATAGCAAAAACACATAATCTGAGTTATTACCTTAATGCTAGAAGAGGTTGGGGAAGCTGACTCTTTTTCAGGGCTCTTAGATTTTTCTGCTTTCCCAGGCTTCTCAGTAGGTTCTCTACTGTCATTTGAAGATTTCTGGGATTTATCGAAGATATTAATTCCCAAGATCTGAGCCACTTTGTCAAGTTCAGATTGCTTCTTTTCTGCCTCTTCTGCTTCCTGCCGTAGCTCTGCAATGTCCTTCACGATGTTATCCTGCAGCCGACTCATCTCCACCAGAAGTGGATCTTTGTGACCATCCTTCTCTCTTCGCTTCTTGCGTAGCATCTCCCCTGAGTAGTCAAATGCCAGCAACAAAAATGGGAGAAATAAAATGAGTCATTTTTCATTTCAGAGCTTCATGGTTATAAAATCATTTTCTACAAAGGTTTCTGGGAGCAAGTGAAACTCCCCTTCCACCTTGAATACAGGGGCAAGATAGGTCATCACATTATCCTTCCTGTAGGGTGAGTGGGAAGGATGTTTGAATAGGCTTCAGAGTTTCACCAACTCCCTAAATGGTATATGCACATCTAGGTGCATGGCCCCCTAAAAAGATTAACAAATACTGTAATTATGAATATAGTAGCTATTCTCTCTTGAGGGAGCCAAAAATTATTGAGGGTAAAAAACATTAAAAATCGTATTTTATCTGATTTAAGAACACTACCAGCTCCCACAGAGTTTTAGATTTTACCTCAGGCTCACCTAATGTTATCTCCTGTTTTAAACTGCAGGTCATCATAGACTTATCTTTGCAAAATAAACACATTTCTTATCCTTTTTTTTTTTTTTTTAAACCAGTACCAGGGATCGAACTCACAACCACACACTTGCAAGGCATGCGCTTATGCCACTGAGCTAAATCCCCAGCCCCAAGTTTCTTATCCTTAATTCAAACCCAAACTAGGCATGGTGGTGCACTCCTGTAATCCTAGCAGTTGGGAGGCTGAGGCAGGAGATCACTGCAAACTCAAGATCAGCCTGGGCTACAAAGTGAGTCCAAGGCCATCCTAAACTGCACAACAAGACCTTGTCTCAAAAAGACCAAAAAAAAAAAAAAAAAAAAGAAAAAAGAAAAAAGAAAATCAAACCCAGAAAGAAGAAGCAATTGTACTTCTACTGTTAATTCATACTGTCAACAATCTGCAGGTACAGTGCCTGTCTGGCAAGCGTGAGGTCATGAGTTCAATTCCCAGTTTCTGCTTCCTCCAAAAAGAACAAGCTGCAGTATTTAGAGACCTTGTAACAGTCCTTCTTCATTGTGTATATAAATTCCTAAAAGCACAGATGATGAGTTGGAACAAAAAGTAAGGCACCACAGAACATCCTAGGGGAAAAAGTAAGGATGTGCTCAAAAGGCAGTAAGGGGCTACTAAAGAGACACAGAGCCAGCTCATGAGGGCCCCACTAGCTAAATCTGAGACAATCTGAGTATGAAAATACATGATAGGGGCTGGGGATTTAGCTCAGCGGCATAAGTGCCTGCCTTGCAAGCAGGCAGGCGTAAGTTCGATCCCTGGTACCGACAAAAACGAAAAAAAAAGAAAATACATGATGATGAAAGATTATAACCCTCTACTACTGAGTGAAGAATCTATGAATTCACACTGATATAATTGAGTACACAAATAAGGGTAGGGGTTAGGAAGCTCCTCCTATGGTAGAAGCCAACTAAAAAAGGTAGAAAGAATGGTGAAACTGGAAAATCATTAATAATAATCATAACTGATTTGGGCAGGAATTATCAATGGATGTTAACTAGTAGGTGGCAGTCTGAGGAGTAACTAAATGTTTGCATAACCTTAAAGTAGCTCTCCTATAGAATATTAATTTAAAAGAATAACAGTAACTTTATGGTGGAGAAACCTGGCAGATACCCAAATGATCAAAGTTAACATCACCAGTAATGGTATAAATCAACACATGGAATAAACTTATCATCACTTCTGGGACAGTCCTGCCAAAAGTGAATACCCAAATTTAATCATAAAGAAACATCAGACAAACCAAAATTAATGGACATGCTATAAAACAAGTGGCCTCTTCTAAAATGTTAATGTTATAAAACACAGACTCAGGAGTTATTATTAAAAGAAGACTTGGGCTGGGGATTTAGGTCAGTGGCCTAAGTGCCTGCCTGGCAAGTATGAGGTTATGAGTTCAATCCCCAGTACCGCAAAAAAAAAAAAAAAAAAAGATAGAAGACTAAAGAAAATCACAACTGAATGTGATGAATAGGTTTGCAATCATTACTGGGAGCTGGGCATGGTGGCACATGTCTGTAATAGCAGCATTCTGGGAGGCTGAGGTAGGAGGACTGAGTTTGAAGCCAGCCTGGGCAACTTAGTGACTTAGACTTAGCAAGACTCAAAACAAAAACTAAAAAAATGACCGGTGATGTAGCTCAGTGCAAAGGCTCTAAATTCCCAGCAACACACACACATGCATGCACGCACATACAGAAATTACTGAGATACCTGGTAAAAAAACATGTAAGACTGATGGGCTAGATAACAGTATTATGTCACTGTTTTTCTTTTCTTTCTTTTTTTCTTTTGGTCTTTTTGAGACAGGGTTTCACTTTGCAGCTCAGGCTGGCCTTGAGCTCATTTTGTAGCCTACGCCGATTTTGAACTTGCAATGATCCTCATGCCTCAGCCTCCTAAGTGCTGGGTTTATAGGCATGTACCACCGTGCCCAGAGAACGTCCCAATTTTGAGTAGTGAACCATGTGTTATGAATATTTTTTATTGACAGGAAATACACACTTAAGTACCTAGAGATAAACAATGACCATTATCTACAACCTACTACAAAGAGTTCAGGAAAAAAAACATATACACATAGACTGAGATAAAAAATTGAGTGAATATAGTAAAATGTCTTTTTTTATACATATAAAATGTTAATAATGTAGGAGAACAGTGCTTTATTGTGGTAGTAGGGACTGAACCCCTGGCCTTGGCCTCATGCATAGAAGGTAAGGACTCTATTGCTGAGCCACAGTCTCCACTCTGCATCATAACTATTGTTTGTTTGGGTTTTTTAAATTTTAAATTTTTATTTTTTTGTGGTACTGGGGATCAAACTCACAACCTCGCACTTGCCAAGCAGGCACTTATGCCACTGAGCTAAATCCCTGGCCCTTGTTTTTTTTTAAAGTAAGGCTTTAGGTCACTGAACTACCTGACAGTACCAATATGTCCTCTGCTCAAGTCTCTACAGAAAAGGCAGCCACACAAAGGAGGAGTTTGATACCTTGTTGTTTATGTAGCCTCTCCAACTCAGTCCTGAGATAGTACATTTTCTTCTGACGGGCTTCCTGATCACTCTTCAGTTTTTCCCTTTCTTCAATAACCTGCAGAGTACAAAACGGTGAGTCTTTCAGCATCTAACATCCTTTTTCTACTACTCGCTTCCAGAAACTCTCATGCTAGGTATCTTAACCAAGGGATCACATGCTGACACAATGAGGCACTGATTTTTTTTCCCACAATATTTATTATACTTTGGTCTTTACATTTTCCATTTCTTACCATGAAACCATGCAATATTTGAACATGTGTCTTGTTTATTTCACTTAAGAGTATGGTTTCTGCTGGGGTCTTAGTTCAGTGGCATAAACACCTGCCTTGCAAGCGCACGGTCATGAGTTTGATCCCCGGCACCAATTAAAAAAAAAAAGTATGGTTTCAAGGTGCATGAGGCACTAATTTTGTAGTCAAAATATTTCATTCTGATCCAGATTACAGAATAGAATTATCCATTTTTTTAGAACTATACTGCCCAGAAAGATATAGCAATCAATCACCTAAAGTCACTGACAGTAACTATTGAACACTCTTCTGAGCCAAAGGGAGCCATGGAGAAGGAAGCTGTGTCATGGATGAGGAGAACTGGTCATATTACATATTTCATGTTATTTACTCCTCACATTTTCTTTGTATTATAGTAAGAAACTGAGCTGATGTAGTTACCACACTGAGATTTAAAATACAGGTGTATCTACCCTAAAGCTCATAATCTTTAAACTATATAAGTATCACCTAACAGAAAAAAAATATGACTTGTCTGATAGGCCAATGAAAATAAATCTATGTATCAGCCCTGACTGAAGTGCTAGTCTCTTAGAGGAAAAGAAATGAGAAAGTGTTTAGTATTCGAGACCTTCTAAAGTCTTTAAGTTTTGCCTTTTTTAAAATCTATTCACCTCTTTTCATCAAACACTTCAATAAACTAAAGCCTGAAGTTCAGGGTATCTAAGTATAATAGAAAATTAAAGAAAGTATTTTTTGCCTTCCAAGGATTTATCTCTTTTTTTAATCTTGAAAAAAAATGAGACTATGGGATCCTTTAAGGCTTTTCTCTCCTGCCCTCAGTGTTCTCTAAGGCTATCAATCGAGAAATAAATATTGGATCAAGAAATAAATATTGAAAAGTCTAGCAATCAGAATAGACACTTATGGCCAGACTTTGTTTAGTTGTACAAACAAAATACATGAGAAGATTAAGGGGCTGTTTACATTATGTACTTAGGCTGATGACTGCAACCTCCAAAGGATATTCAGCCCCCTCTAAAAGATAAATTTCTGTTAAAAAACTCAAAAAACGACCCCACACATAGGGGCGGGGGATTTAGCTCAATGGCATAAGCACCTGCCTTGCAAGTAAGAGGTTGTGAGTTCGATCCCCAGCACCAAAAAAAAAAAAAAAAAAGAAAAAACAAAACCTCAGACATAAGATCCCCAAAGTAAATATCCACCTTCTGCTTCTGGGAGGCCCGATTCTTCTCATCAGAGATCTTCTCTGGGTTATATCTTATGAGAGGTGGGATGGACACCTGGACAGGCACTTGGACAGCAGGAACTGAGTCTGGCACCGACTCCTCTTGTTTGGGCTTGTCAGAAGTCACAGTAGGGATCACACGGAGGTTGGGACGGCTCCGAGAAGCTTGTTTGGTTAGTGGCATTATTCTATGTAACTCAGGTAGAAGGGGGGTTGCTGGCTGAGATGCAGGGTACAAGGGCCATCTTGCAGCTGCATAGGCCATGTAGGACCGATAGGCATCAAAGGAGACAGCAGGGATGGCTGGTCCCTGATAGTTTGGAGGTATCCGAGCTGCAGCAAACTGAGAAGGCTGTGGCACATGAAACTGAGACAATGAAGCAGAGTGGGGAAGCCTAATTGGGGTAGAGGATGCAGAGGGCAACACACACCTGACTGAAACAGCTGACTGAAACCCACTGCCAATCACTTTGGGTTCTGAAATATGACCCACTGGATGGTCAGATTTTAAGAAGGGAGGGCTGTGTTTTCTGAGTAGGTAAGGATCTACTGAGGAAGCTTGGTGTGGATGGGACACTTCTGGGGATTGTGCATTGCCGTGGTGTGCCTCCCTGTCATCCAGTCTATGGGGATCTGAGGAGCATTGATCAACTGAGAAATGGTGGTCAACAGAAGAACAACGGTCCACTGAAAAGTGTCGGTCAACAGAGGAACGCCGGTCAGTTGTAGAGCGTGATGATGGCTTCTTGCCATGAAGTCGCTCCTGAGTTCGCACAGCCAGTTGACTAATCTCTGCTACTCCGATATCCAGCCCTATGGTCTTCAACAAGTCATGAATCTTGGCATATTCGGGATTGGTCTCTTCTAGGGATTCTAGCTTTATAGCTGGAGATGAAGAGGGGAGGGAAATTGTTTTCTGTCTTATAACTTCACTCTCAGAGCCCCCAGTGGGCTTTGGTGGAGACTCCGCCTTAAAGTCCTCTTCTTCATCCCCATAGAGAAATTTCTCCTCATCCTCGATGTCAGGGAAGCTTCGGCATCTTTTCTCTTGTGTGCTGGTAGAATCTGCCAACATGCTGAGGATGCGGGAAAACCCACTTCCATCCTGGCTAGCTCTCTCATGGGGCAGTAAGAAGTCTGTGTGTCCCTCAGTCTTCAAATCCATTTTTTCCTTGTGGCACAGAAAGCTTCCAAATTTTTCGCTGAGAGGACTATTGTCTTTGGGCACCCCAGGAAGGGGACCCCATTGGTATAGGTTGCCTTGAGGTTCCTTCAGGGTAGTCTCCACTGTTGTCTCCTTGTCTTCAATCTCTGGGGCAAAAGCTGCAATAGCACCACTTAATGGAAGAGATGAGTGCCCAGAGTACCCAGGGTGATCCTGGCTAGTGCTGGTGCTGCTGGAAAAACTGCCAAGCTGCAAAGACAAACACAACTGATTTAGCCCTAAGCAGAATCTCAGGATATTAGTAGCTGACATAAATACTTTAAAAGCGTGTTCTTTCAGAATCAATAGGGGAAATATAAATCTAGATAAAATGAGAGTGACCTTAGCCAAGTTTGAGATATGGGTCCCCATTTCTCCAGATGTCCCTACTCCAACAAGAAAATGAGGCAGACTGCATGGAATTCCCACTTTCACCTGTTTAAAAGCCTTTCTCAAAGAACTTGATTTCAAAGGATTTTGGAGACCCTATAGCTTATTTTCATTTATGTGGACCCCCAAAAGAAAGAAACATATAAGTGGTGCTGCTTTGAAGTGTCAATGGTAACTCTGGAATTTTAACAGTCACCACTCGCTTCTGTAAGTACCCCCAAGGATTTCTTTGGAAGCCTTTAGCTAGACTAGTGGTCTTGCCTGACCATCTTTTCATAAAACAGGAAAAAAAGCACGGCTCAGAATGATGAAGTGACTTATCTAAAAATCATGCAGCAAGTTAATGGCAGCAGTGGGTCCGAAATCACAATCACTTGGTTTTTGGTCTAGTATCCTACAACTTACACATTTGTCTTTTCTCTAAAAAGACAAGAAGAAATTCAGATCACCTCCTCCTTTTGTCCTTTAAGTTTCATTTCCAAAAAATCCAAAGATTCCAAGACTACCTACCATAAGGAAAAAACTTACAGAGGATAGTTACCATAGTATCTCCTAAGAAAGCCTGAAAATATCACAATGGAAGCCCTCTACCAATCCATTATAAGACCTATTGTTTCACCTGGAGACTCCTATAAGGTGTACTTATACAACACTAGCTAAGCAAATATTACAAAGATACCATTAGGAATACAGCACCCAGGAAAGTAACAAGGGTTTAAGACACCAGGGGGACTAGTAAGAGACCCTAGAAAATATGTAACGGACACCTGCACAGAAGGCTCCATGTCCACCTCAACCCGCTTCTTCAGAATGGATTTCTTGGGCATCACAGATACTTCTTCAGGCCGATGCAAAGAATATCCAGGCTCTGAAGCTGTCAGGGCACCTGATAATCCAGGAATGGAACAGCTATTGTCACCATCATCTTCTCCCATCAGCTCCTGACTCAAGCTTCTATTTCGTTCCTCTTCCTCTCGCTTTCTCCTGGCAAGGTCCAGCTCTCGAAACTCAGGGTCTAGAAACCTAGGACTTGGGCTTCGTCTACGCTGCCGATAGTTTCGAGTCCCTGATGTAAAAGCTGAGTGATCCCCTCCCATGCTGTGTATTTTCTCTGTATCATCATAACGGGGCCTTTTGGCCTCTCGACTCCTTTCTTCAGATCGTATAGAGTAGGAGTTTTTTAGTTTGTCTCTATTCCGTTCCGTTCCCCGAAACAGCTCATCATGACAACCAACATGGGGACTATAATCAGATCGACGCAGGAAAGTTTCTCTTGTTCTGTAGTCCTCATCAAGTTGTCCCAAGAAGGGACTAAGAGGTTCCTCCTCCCGGGAAATATATCGTTCGAGACCCCGAGAGCACTGGGAATGTCGAGTGAAGACAGAATCATCAATCAGGTCATCCCTGAGAAAAGAGACAAGAAACCAGAGAAGGCTGAGACTGATATTTGGCTAGTGAACTACAGAATGTTTAAAAGATAACAATCATGGACAAAAGATAACAATCATGGAATCTAAGAACAGATTTATGCAATACATGAAACATTTCCCCTCCCTTTTCTCAGGGGCACAAGCAGTCGTAGCCTCTAACCAGGGGGTGATCTTACCAATACAGTAGATGGAGCTCTTATGCTAATTTCTTTGATTAGACTAGGAATGCAGAGTATCACTTTATGATTTCAGAAATGTGAAAATTAACAGACTATAAGGAGTCTCAGGTTTACACAACTCCAGAATAACTAAATTCTAGTGCTTTGCTACCAAAAGAGTGATCTCGACCAGCAGCATGGGCATTAACTGGGAACTTACTAGTAACATAAATCCTTAGGTTCTGCCCACAATAGCCTGAGCTGCATTTTAACAAGACCTCCAGGACAGCATCTGTCCTCCAGATTCAAAGTGTAAGAACATCAGTCCAGAACAATAATTTTTAAGCTTTATTCCAGAGATTCTCAAAGATGTTTAGAAGTTCTCTAAAGGAAAAAGGTGCTCGGAAAACAGAAGCAGAAGTTTCTGGGCCTTCCACTGCACTTATATCACACTAACCCCAACTTCATGATGTCTACATGTTAAAAGTTCAATATGCTATTTTACTTGGGAAAAGTGGGTACGATGAGGGAATTAAAAAAACCATAGAATTACCTGGTTGTTTTTTTCCTTTTTCCTACCTTACCTAGATATCCACAAGTACTCTGCTAAATTCTGACCCATACAGAGGTGATAGTTTGGCCATGTTTTTATTTCATCAAAATGTAAAAGTTTCAGATCTCTGTGACATGAAGGAAAATACTACAGGATAAGACAACTGTCCTTGCAGCCCAGAGCTCTGCACCATATACATTGATCTAATCTTTTTTGGACTCTGTGGCCACAGAGCTTCTATGGCCAAAAAAGAAATTTAAATCACAGATATAAAGATCTTCTACTACTACTTTAAGCATGTTAACTTTTAAATAACCCGAATGAAATAGAAATTATTCCATGTTACTCATGTTCAAGTGAATTACTATGTAAATGGTGGTAATTATTGGCATAATATTACTTTTTTTTTTTTTTTTTTGGTACTGGGGATCGAACTCATGACCTCACACTTGCCAGGCAGGTGCTTATGTGGCTGAGCTAAATCCCCACCCCTGCCATATTTCTAGTAGCTATTCTGCATGCATGCACATGTGTTTCTGGAAGTGATTTTTTTTTGGCGGGGGGGTAAACAGTTGTTTTCTTACCTCTGAGACTACCTTAGCAGAAGAGCAAGAAATTGCCTTTTCTTATCCACCAGTGTTGCCTTTGTTCAACGCTACAGAGTTGGGCAACAGCTATAAATTACTTTATGAAAGGCTATCAAGGTTAAACTTTCTCACCTTCACGAAAAGAATGCTGCCTGTAGAAATCCAAATTGGAATCCAGTGAATTTTGAGGTCTCAATATAGTATGAAATAGGAAGGAATGAGAATGTATCAAGGATGATCTCTTAAATCAAACATAACAGGAAAATAATTTTTATTTTGTAGGTCTCAGTCATGTCTGTATCTACTTCCGGGGAGGAAGGCCATGAATCGAGTCACTTCACCACTAAAATATCATCAGCCACATAAAAATGAACTACATGGGTAGTGCCAAGTTCATGCTTTTATGGTCAGTTCCACACTAACACTATTATGTAGAATACCAGTCCATGCTCTAACCCAGCACTAAATGTCAAGAAGCTCAGAATAAGATGGCTCTCAGGAAGCCTCCGTCCAGATGTGGAAACTCCAGCAAAAGGAGACATACAATTAAAGGAGGCATATAAATAGTTTTTGAAAGCTATCATATAAATACAGTCACAAATCAGGCTGCTTATTAAAAGCCCAGGTTCTCTTTCCACAGGACTAAGTATTAAGAGAAAAAACTAGTTGCAATGAAAGCGAGCCCTAGGAAGTACTACATCTCTTGTAGACTAAGAAGTTCAGTGATGGACCCTCTCTAGAAGCCTAAAGTAAATCCAATTGTTTTCTAAAATCAAGTCTCTTGGGGCTGGAGATTTAGCTCAGCGGCATAAGCACCAGCCTTGCAAGCAGGCAGTCGTGAGTTCGATCCCCAGTACCGATAAAAAGGAAAAAGACAAAAAATAAATAAATAAATAAATAAAAATCAAGTCTCTTTTAAAAACTGTTAAGCTTAGGTAACAGCTACAAGAGGGTTCACTGTACTATTTTTTTTTTTATCAATTTCTATTAACCATGTTGAAAAACACAGGGCTGGGAGTATAGCTCAGCAAGAGAACACCTGCCTACCATGCACAAGGCTCAGCGTTTAATCCTCATTACTACCAAGGAAAAAAAGTACATTAAGTCCACATAAAGCTTATACACTAATGTTCACAACAGCACTTATTCATTTTTTTGAGACAAGGTCTCACTATGTAGTACAAGCTGTCCTTGAGTTCACTATGTAGCCCAGGCTGACCTATAGAGGCCACAGTGACCTTCTTGCCTCAGCAAGTGTTGGGACTACAGACATAAGTCACCATGCCCAGTTTAGCAGCATTATTTATAATAGCAGAAAAGTTAAAATAATACAATTCTGTACATCTATTCACTACTGATAAATATGCAAAATGTCGTTATTTTGAAATATTATTGGCTATTAAAAAGAGTGCTATTGGGGCTGGGGATTTAGCTCAGCGGCATAGGCACCTGCCTTGCAAGCGTGTGGTCGTGAGTTCGATCCCTGGTACTGGTAAAAATACAAAAAAAAAAAAGTTATATAAAAAAAGAGTGCTATCAGCCAGGGAGTTAGCTCAGCAGCACAAGCGCCTGCCTGGCAAGCGCGAGGTCATGAGTTCAATCCCTGCTACCCACCTCCCCAAAAAGTGCTATCCACATAAATAAACCTTAAAAACATTATGTTAAATGAAAGAAGCCATTCCAAAGAACAATGTAACATAGGATTGTATTTATATGAAAATGTCAAATAGGCAAATCTATAAAGAGAAAAAGTAGATCAGAGCTAGGACTAGGGTGAATAATGGCTAAAAGTGCCAGGTTGCTTTATGGCATAACAAAAGTATTATAAAATTGACTGCATTGGTGGATGCATGACACTGACTATACTAAAAGCTGCTTAACTATACATTTTAAGAGAGTAAATTATATGACATGTTAATTATATCTCAATAAAGTAGTTTAAAATACACGTCTTTAAAAAGGCCCTTTACAGCTAGGTGTAGTTCAAGTGATACAGCACTTGCCTAAAGCCCTCGGTTCAATCCCCAGCATGTTAAAAAAAAGTCCTTCAGAGTCCAAATTCTCTATTTTTTTCTGTAAGTCCTCAAAATGCTCCAATAAAGTTGTCTGGTTGTATCTTCTCCCTAAGTAAATCAAGGGAAAATATATCCTATTTCATCAAACTCTATGAGGGCCAGGAGAAGTTAGGTGATAATAATTTCATGAATGGAATGTTTAGTGTACAGATATTCTGATGAACAGGAGAAATTGACTTCATATCTACTGGTTTTGAAAAACACAAGTCTCTAAGAATTTTTCATACAAACTGTTAATACTCTCTTTTTTAACAAGTTATACTCAGCTAAAGGACTACTAAAGAAAGAATACTAACAACCCTGTTAGCTTGGCAGCCATTCAACTTGATAAAATAAACTTCACAGATTCAGTAAGAAGAAAAAGAATATATTCTATCCCTACAAAGTCACGGTTAAGAATTTGTGGCCTCAGTAGTTTCACGTTCCTAGGCTCTTTAGACCCTAACTAATAACTGTTCTTAGAAACCCTGCAATTTCATGGAAACCACAAATATCCTCTGCAATTGTTGTTTTAGCAGGAGATTTGAAAGTAGCCAATCCAAGAGTGTTATTCAGTGACTGGCTGCTGCCCATCTCAGGCAGTTGCACCAGCATTCCACATCTTAATAGGCTGCTGTACCACATGTAGCTACCAAGGTTCTCAGTTTTGCTCTTCTTAAAGCCCTAAAATACCTAAGATGCTGCCAAAACATCCTGTATCTTCTAAGGCTTTATTAATACAGTATTTTATTAAATTACATAACTGTGGGAGACATACCATATTTAGGGCTTAAACTATAAAAATAGGCATTTATAGGCATTTTTTGACCATATCTGAAATTTGCAGTTTTTCACAATTCGTGGATGCTATACGAACGTAGCCCCTATGAATTTCAGGGGTTCACTGTATTCAGGTCTCATGAAAAAGAAAATACCCATCTATAAAGTCTGGACGTGGCCTTTTTAATTGGTGGAAGATGAGACTGACTGTCAAGAGACATCCTGAATATGCCAATGATGCCATGGCCTGGTACTGGTAGACAGTAACTAGCCCCACAAATCATACTGAGAAAGCGCAAAGGAACACAAATGTGGAGGTGGCAGAAGAGAATGGCCATGTAATACCCATTTAGAAAACGGTAACCTCACTTTCTCTGAAACATGTCTCTCGAAACACATGCTTCTAAAATAATGATTAATTACAGTCCTAAATTTTTATAACTTTTTTTTTGGTCTTTTTCCTTTTTATTGGTACCGGGGATTGAACTCACAACGGCCTGCTTGCAAGGCAGGCGCTTATGCCGCTGAGCTAAATGCCCAGCCCCAAATTTTTATAACTTAAAGGCAATCAATTATTCAAAGCTCATGACAAAATGCATGTGGAGGGGAGGTGACATCTTAGGCTTAACACATAGGGAAATGCTGAAGATCTCTCAAAACCTCAGCAAGAAAAGGAAAGGAATCACACTCCATGCATCACCTACCCAGACTGCCTACTCAGTCATCTCCAAAATAGAAGGCAAGAACGGAAAGGCAAGAACCATTGCCTCCCGAATATGGTCATATGCCTTGAAGCCCTGTCCTCAGAAGCCGTAGTACTCTAGGACACAAGTCTGTCCTGCCTTGCTTCACCACGTGCACAGCCCGTGGAGCTTTAAGTGAGTATTACTAGACGTAGCACTGTCCTCAGACTTCCTTCTGAGCTATTACCACCTACCCACCTATGCTCTGCACACCCCTGTACAGATAGTCTTGGTATGAAAGATCATTTCTTTGATCTTTGCTATGGCTAATCATTTGTGGAAACTCTCAATGTGCAAGCAGAGACCATAACAAACACTGTTTAAGTCCAGCTCTCTGATCCTTATCTTGACTTTTTGAGGTAAAAAACATCTAATGAGATTATTTACTTCCCATATAGTCAACTTCCTAATACCTGAAGTCTATATTCCATGCTGTGGAGTCCATCTGGTAGTCTATTTGTCAACTACCATTCAACAGTTGTAAATAATTGAACTTAAACATTTTTAAAGATTTTCATCATTGCTTATATGTTTAATATACATATGTATTATCAGACATTATCTAAACCTGAATCAATAATTTGATCTGTACAAACTTTTTAATCAGATTTTTTATTGGTACATTTTAGATATACATAATGATTACATTCATCATAGAGAATTTGTACCAGTACATGATATAACTTGGTTCTTTTTTATCCCATTCTCCAACCCTCCCTTGAACCACTCCTCCTCATTTACAAAAGCTTTGTTTTCACGTTTTCCTTTTCTCATTTTTTTTTTATTTTTTCCTTCTTTCCTGCCACCCTTTTGTTCCCCTCCCCATTTGAACATTTTCTTCCTATTTCACAATACCTATTATATATTTTGGTCCTTATTTACACTTCTGGTTTCTCATGTTAGAGAAACAACGCAGTATTTACATGTGTGTCCAATTTATTTCACTTAAAGGTGATCTGCACAAACTTTAGGAAAACTTTTTAAAATCTTTCCTACGGTCAGGTATACTAGCACACGCTAGCAGCTTGAGAGACTGGAACAGAAGGATCACAAGTTCAAGGTCAGCCTAGACAGTTTAGCAAGACCCTATTGCAAAACAAAAAATAAAAAGGGCTGATGTAGGAGATTTAGCTCAGAGGAAATGCCTGCCCAGCAAGCATAAGGTCATGAGTTGGATCCCCGGAACCAAAACAAAACAACAAAAAAAAGAGCGAGCTGATGTAGCCCAGTGGCAGAACACACCTGGGTTTGGTATCATTCTCACACACACAAAAAAATCCCCAAATTTCTTTGCATAAGGGATCCCTCATAGTTCCAATATTGGAGAATCAATGTTATTTCAATTTTTTTTGCTTTGAGGACTTTGATTACAGTCCTTCACAGCCCTGTTTCTAAACATACCAAGATGAGTTTTTTGGGGGGAGGGGCCCCAGGAATCAAACTCAGGACCTCATGCTTTCCAGGCAGGTGCTGTGCTGCTGAGCTATATCCCCAGCAAGATAAACTTTTTAAAAAGTCTTTTCCTTTTTATTATTCTTTCAGAAACAGAGTCTACTTCAATACATTCTCCTCTTAGAAATGTTATATTCTGTGCTGGACCCAGGGATATGTAGGAAATAATCTCAGTGTTGGCATTGTCCTTTCAAAGACATCATTTATAGGACTGGAGATATTGTTCAGTGGTACATTGCCTCCCTGGCAAACGTGAGGTCCTGAGTCTGATTCCCAGTAACCATAAAAAAAAAAAAATCTGCTCAAAGATATCATTCAGAAAACAGCAACATTTCTGACTTTTAGGAAGGAATAGTTGGCCTGACATAGCAGAAACCTACCTGTCCACCTCCTCCAGATTATCTACTGGTGACCCCAGCCGATCATTAAGCCTTCGCCGTTCTGGTGTGCTAACACAAAAATGGTCATTGCCAACAGTGATCCTTAAGCTCTGATCCATAGAAGAGTCAGAATGCAGACCAGGAGAGTGTCTCTACAAAAGTAAAGTGTCAATATGGTCAACACATCTCTATAGCCAAACACGTTCTCCCTATTTACTATGCAATGTTTCAACAAGAAATAGAATATTTGTAAGAAACTACCCTCCAAATAAAGCATTTTTAAAAATTATCATTTCCTTAGCAATAAAAGCACATACCTGTAATCTTTCCAGTAACATCTTATTTTTACTGGGTATGGAAACAGAGACATGAATAAAATCCATGCTCTCAGAACCTACCCACTTTTAATGAAGGAGGCAAGCCAAAAACAGGTTTGTTTAAGTGCTTCTCATCATAGTAAGTGCTACAGAGTCATTAAAACACGGCACCAGGAAAGACTGGGGAAAATGACAATGGTTAGAAGCTTCTCTGAGGTGGCATCATTTAATCTGGGAGACAAAATGATATGTCAGCCTTGCAAACAAAAGGTGACCAGGGATTTAGTTCAGTGGCACAAGTGCCTGCCTGGCAAGCATAAAGTCCTGAGTTCAATCCTTGGAAACAAAACAAAAAAAAAGGGTGTTTCAGGCAATGGGGAAAACCACCTGGGTAATGAGCTTGATGTGTTTGTTCTAGGTAACAAAAGTCTTGTATGGCTACAGCAAAGTGACAGAAGACAGAAACCACAGTTGGTACACAGGAACAAATGGACTGAGCTCTATCACTGAGCTACAGTCACAGGCCTTTTTATGTTTCCTTGACAGCATCTTGCTAACAAACTTGGTGATCCTTCTGCCTCAGTTTCCCTCAGTGCCAGGGAGTGCCTGAGTGTCACCATGCCCAGCTTACAATTAGGAAATTTTTATTTTATGTTATGATAAGAGCTACAGAAGGATTTTAAGTAAGAGTGTGATCTGACATTTTCCCTCCAAATGTTTGTACTGCCCACTCCCTCTATTCCTTCCAGTATTTATTCAAATCAACTTCTCAGAAGACCTTCTCTAGCTATCCCAACCTAAAAACCTTAACTCCTTCCTTTCTCTGCTTTATTTTGTCCTTATTACCTAGTGACACTTAACACACTATAACATTTCTAACCTCTCCATCTTACTGTCCAACCTACCCTGCTAAGACTTTAAACTGCATGAGGACAATTCTTTGGTTTGTTCACTCTTACGCCAAATACATGGCAGATACTCAATAAACACTTTGCAAGCCTATAAAATGAGAGCTTTAAAAACCATTCTGATGGGCTGGGGATTTAGCTCAGCGGCATAAGCGCCTGCCTTGCAAGCAGGCAGTCGTGAGTTCGATCCCCGGTACCGATAAAAAGGAAAAAAACAAAAAAAAAAATTGAAAAAACCATTCTGATTACTGTATACAGAATAAACTAAAGAGTAGCAAAAGCAGGATGGAAAGGAGCCACGTGCAACCATCCTGAGAGCAAAGAAATGAGTTTGGACCAAAATGATAGCGTGAGTATAGCTTGGGCAATGTATAGCTAACCAGTTACACCTATGAGAGGTCTGACTTGTTAGAAGTGGGAAGAGGGGACATGAGACTTGAACAAGAGGGGACAGTTTCTGACTTGAACAAGAGGTAGCACTATTTATGATGGTATCATTTATTGAGCCCGAGAAGACTGGGGTAAATAAAGAACGCTGGAATAGAAAACGGGAGGTTTCCGAAAACAAATATTCTTGCTCCCACTGCAGTGACTGGCTGCTTTAAAAATCTTAATAGTAACAAGTCAATCGGCCTGTGACAAAAGGACACACAAGACTTGAATATCGTTAAACGAGCTCCTCAAGAGCACAGACATTTTTGCCACTGGGTTTAAAAAAAAAAAAAAAAAAAAAAGACTGCTGAAGTGAAAATAGACACAAAGTCCCAAACACCAGTCCTGTGAGGTTGCGCTGAGCTCTGAATACCTGGGAAGTCGATGTCACATCTTTCCCTTCTTTCCCTGTGCTGGGGACGGGATCCAGGAACCTACAGCTCAGCCAAGCCCTATATCCCAAGCTGAACCCCAGTCCCAAAAGTCACTTCTAACCTCCCGCTTTGCCGCTAGCAGTGAACCTAACGGTGCTGAGTGGGCTGCGGGACTGGTCAGACGGGACTGAATCACAGCTCTGCCACTTGTCGGCGGTGTCACTTCGGCCAGGTCACTCGGTCTTCCTGGACCAGGTCCTCAGCCGTGCATGAAGGTGCCAACTGCAGCACCTCCTCGGCTGGGGTCGCACGGCGCCCGGCCTGCCGATAGTGACCGTGGCAACGCGTCACCATTAACATGTGTGGTGTCCCCAGGTCCCCTCCCCAGACCCTGACAGCGGCTACCTCGAGCCGGGGCGGCGCAAGCGCCCCCTTTCGGGAGTGGCGGGCTCGCGTGTGGCCCCGGCCCCGCAAACTTTCCCGCACCGCCAACGCGGCCTGGGACCGAGGCCGGCTTTGTGCGGTGCGCGAGGTCCCTCCCGGGCGGGGTGGCATTACCCGGCTGCCGCTGTCACCGGCGTGGTTCCCGCGGCTGTCCCGGGAGAAATCGGCGCGGGGTTCGCCGCGACTGCTGCCTCGGAAGCCGCCTGGGCCCGGCGGAAAGAGTCGGCGGCTCCGCGGAGGGGACGGGGAGCTGCGGCGGCTGCGGGGCGGGGACGGCGAGGCCCGGCGGCTGCGGTGCGAGGGGGGTGAGCGGGGCCGACGCGCCGGGGTCCGCAGCGCGGGGGCGCAGGAAGACGGCGGCGGCGAGGCGTGGCGGACCGGGCCTGACGAGTACCCGGGGCCGCGACTGGGACGCGGGTCGCCCCCGCCACAGTCTTTAGGCCGGTGCGAAGAGCCTGAGGCGCGGGGGCCGCTGCGGTACATGGCTCCGGCGGCTGTGGCCACAGGGGGCGGCTTCGACTCGGGCCCGAGTGCGCGCGCCGCCGCCCCCGCCCCCTGCCCTCTTAGCCCCGCGCACCTCCCGGGACTAGAGCGCGACGGCGCGCCGCGGCTGGCAGTTACCAGGCGTGAGCGCGCGGCCGACACACCCCCGCCCTCCGGGGCTCCCCGCGCCAGGCTTCGCCTCTGCTCCCTCCAGAGCGCGGGGCGGGGCGCGGAAGCGGCGCTAGGGAGGGGAGGGGCGGGAATAGAGGCGCGCGACCCGCGCTGCGCATGCTCCGGCCCCCAGCGCACAAAATGGCGGCCGTCGAGCCGCCCACGCAAACCCCGGTGATCACGTGATACCCGGGGGTCTCCGCTGGTGCTGGACAAGGCGGAAGAGTAGGGCCAGTTTAGGGGTGCGGGGCTTTTTCTGGATGCCTGGGTGCCTGCCCAGCCGCTGGCTGTGTGAGCGCGTTGGCGCACCCCCGGCGTCCGCAGCCCTGTTTGTTTACTGGGGCTCAAATAGTGGGAAGATAAATAATCGCGAAATTTTTAGTTGTGGAGAAGGGCCTCTGCGAAAGCCCCCCAGCCCACAGAGGCCGCCAGACGACCGTCAGGTGACTTTGCCGCTCCGCAATCTGTAGAGACTTAAATTGAGGATGGGGAACTTGTGGCCGGGGTGGGGATGAGTCGTGCTATTAGATCTAAACGGGCTTCAGAATGTGTTCGGAGGTTTTGAGCACTTTGCCAACACTAGTGGAGACATTCACATTCCCTTTCCTCGTTCCCCATGTGCCTGTCTTGCAAAAGTTGAAAAAACACACAAAAGAAATATGTGCAAAACATGAAAAAAAAAAGTTCGCTAAAACATGGCTTAATATTTTTTATCTATCAGCTATATACAAAATTTGAAGTAGGTGTAAAAGTTTTCCGATTTCAAAGCCAAAGCATAACAAAATTATAAAATTATTCATTTGCTCATTTATTAAGTTTAAAATATATCCAATCAAAAATCCAATTCCACGTGTTTGATAATACGCTTATGTTGTAAGCATGTAAAAATGTATAAAAATTTTACTAGTGTATTTTTATCGTACTACTTACTTTACTCATAAAAATACATTACAAAGGACGTATTTTCTATGTTTTTTGGGACAAGGTCTTGACTTTTTTAGATAGGTAGTTCAAACTGGCCTTGAATTACTATGTATCCCAGGCTGGCCTTTAAACTGTGATAATCCAGCAGACTCAGCCTCCCAGTTGGATTATAGGCATTCACCACCACACTTGGTAAACAAAACCAAAATAAAACACCAAGAGTAACTGCCAGAATTGTATGCCAAGTTTTTATTAGTATTTGTATGGATCTTGGTTACCTATACTTTGGTGGGATCTAAGTACATGTAAAGAAAATGTGAGTCACTGTGTAGATGATACTTGGAATCAGCACTTTTTTTTTTTTTTTTTTTTTAATCTTTTTGAGACAAGGTCTAGCTCAGCTATGCAGTTCAGGCTGGGCTTGAACTCACTTTGTAACCCAGACTTGTCTCAAACTTGCAACAATCCTCCTACCTCAGCCTCCTGAGTGCTGGAATTACAGGCATGCACCACCACATCTGGCTTGGAATCAGCACATTTTAATCAGGATTTGTTATCCTGCACTGTACTGTGTATAAACTTTTCCTCCTCGATCTTTAATACTGAGGAATTTTTATCAGCAGAGCTGATCCTGTATTATGAAATCAGAAAATTCTCCCTCTTCCCACCTCTGTGTGCGTTGCTCTGTGTCCAGCATGAAACCTGCTAGTTCTTTCACTTTGGGAATATTTTCCAATTACACAGAGTCTCACTGCCGTGGTGAAAATGTTGAGTCTAGATAACAAAACTGAGTTTCCTTTAAACTTTCCTTTCTTTCCTCCTGCTTCAGATTTGGAGCTTGCTGTGAGGGAGGAAAGAAAGTGTGGGTTCTCCACATGCCTGCCATGACTCCCGAGTCCAAATCCTCCTCTCTGGCTGGCTGGCTGGCTGGCTGCTGTTCCTACTGGCTCCCCATCACTGCCCCAGAGATTCAGTGCAGGAAGAAAGGGGTTAGAGGCAAAGAGCACAGACTTTCCTGGCTGGTGCAGGGTGCTGTTTTCTCCCAAAATTGGTTCCTGTTGTACACAGATGACACAGATATTGCCTATTCTCTGTTTTGTCACCCCGGTGGGCTTTAGGACTCTTCCTAGGATGTTCCTTCTCTGGTTGACTGCCTGTGACTCTCTCTCCCAAGCCCTTGGCCTTCTGGAGACTCACCCCGTGTAAAGCTCACTCCTTCCCTCTCTTTTCCCACTAGGTGCCCCTTGTGGGAAGAAGCCCTTTTAACTCATGATTGGTCACCTTCTAAGTACACTTGGCTCACAGGATAGTGCTACCATAATTTGCTCTGGTGGCCAGAGCAGTGCATCTGGCTGCCGTGCTCCCTGCTCACCTGCCGTCTCAACACAGCTACTCAGCTAACATCTTGGTTTTGAGACAGTATCACCTGTGGATCTCCAGACACCAAGACACACAGCAAATGGTCTGAGAGTTTCTAGGGAAGGTCTCTGTCTCCCCTACCTTTAAGCAAAAGTCAAAATTCCTCATCCCTCCCCATAATTGGTAGAAGTAGACAGTAAAATGGTGAAATAGATTAAGGCTTTCACATATACACTGTAGATACATAGCAATGAGAGATTAAACCTGAAAAAAAGGAGAGACCATAGCTGTATGCTGTAGACTGAATTATGTGTCCTCTCCCTGCCCTGCATAATTCATATGTTGAAACCAGCCCAGCATGATGGTTTGTAGAGAGATCTTTTGAGAGATAATGAGGGTTCCATGAGAGGGTATTAGGAAGAGATGCACAGCGCTCTTTCTTGGCCATGTGAGGGAGCATAGACAAGGTGTACAGGCCTGGAAGAGAGCCTTTACCAGGAACTGAGTTGGCTAGCACCTTGACATCAGACTTCTCAGCCTGTAGAATTATGAGAAATAAATGTCTGCTATTTAAGCCATCTAGTCTATGGCATTTTATTATAGCAGCTTGAGAAAACTAATGCACTCATGAATATGGAAATTGCAGACTTTCTAGGCTTTGAAGTGAATCTAAAAGCAAGGGGAGGAGTCAGAGCTCTGACTCCTGTGAAGTAGTAGAGATGTGTGTGCTTTCCAGGAGGAGAAGAACGAGGAGGAGGTCTCGGGCCAGGTTTTCAGCTTGCAGCTCAGGGCCCTCCTGCCCCTACATGCAAGATGAGCAAAACAGTTGCCAACCTGCTTGGGGCTACAGCTTTATGAGAGGTTACTGTGCCAGGTGCATGAGAAGATGAAAACGCTGAGCTAACCACTCCCTGCTCAGCGACTCAAATAGCTGTGCCCTAAGAGTATCACTGCTCTCATCTGCCAGGCACAATCAATTGGAATATATGGTTTTCATATACTGGATTCAATCCATGTATTTGTCACTGTTAAATCCCTAACTCTCATTAAAAATTGTTTTTTCTGTTTTTATATACTCACTTGTATAGCCTGCAAGTGTGAGGGAGATAATGCCCTATGGAATGAAATTTTGATGAGTGAAAGACAGGAACCAATGAGAGATCATTTTCCTCTATCGTGTATCACTTTTCCCAGGGTTGGTTGGTCTGTTTTTATATAAGGGGACTCCCTTTATGGCATGTGCTGGTCTTGAACATGAAATTTTCTTGCTTCAAACTTCTGAGTAGCTGGAACTACAGGCATGCACCACTGTGACCTGGCTTCACCCCAGAAGGGTCTTGAGGTGCAATTTGTTTATTAAGGACAGCGCCCTCCGGTGGAGCATCAGTTTAATTGGGTAGTGTCCAGGTCATTGAAACATCCTCCTTTCTGCCCTTTCTTTCCCTCCTTGCTGCCCCTCGATGCTGCTCCTTGGACTTCCTAGTATTAAAATCAACTCTGGTTTCTAGGGAATCCAAGTCAGCACACAAAAGAAAAGACTGATATATTTGACTGCATTCAAATGAATAAGTTCTGTTTTTCAGAGTGGGAAAAGATACATCCTGCACACAAAAAATTCTTATGTCACAATATCTAAGCAATAACTACAAAACAAAATGACAGGTACATCACTAAAAATAAGGACAAAATACCTGAGTTTGTACTTAACCAAAATTCAAATGGTTAGCAAAAATATAAAACCTCATGGGTAATCAAAACATTCACATACGTTGCATGTGGGAGCATACATTAGCAGTCACTTTGGAAACCAGTTTGGTCTTTCTCCTAAAATGGAACATGATTACACAATTCAACTCCTAGGTATGTATGCTACAGAAACACATGTTTAGTTATATCATGAGACATGTACGAGAATGTTGATAATGGCTTTATTTGTGGTAGCCAAATTCCAAAACAGCACATAGTCTTCGACAATAGGTGAATGGTCTGAGTGTGGTAGTGAACACCTGTAATCCCAGCACTTGAGAGGCTAAGGCAGGAGGATTGTCTCAAATTTGAGGCCAGCCTGGACTATAGCGTGAGACTCTGTGTCAAAAAGATCCCCCTGCAAAAAAAAAAAAAAAAAAAAAAAAAGAGAGAGAAGACACGAAACAGTATATCCTGTATGGTTCCACTTGTGTAACATTTTAAATTGCCAAAATTAAACTATGGCAAATAGAAGTGCACTGCATTCTTAGGTAGTAAATAAAAGTTTAAAATCATAAAAATCAACGAAGTCATCACCATGGGGTTAGAGAGTTGTGACTAGACAGGAGGGCTTCTAGGGATGTTAGTGCTATCTTGGATAATTGTTTTTAATAATTCAGTAAACTTCACATTATGTCTCTTATGCATATGGGTTTATGTGTAATTTTCACAACAAAAAAGGCTAAGGAGAAAAAAAGCAAAGCTGCATCGTAAGATTTCACGGTGTAAGTAGTAGTACTTTTATGGTAGTGAGTATGTCTGTCTCTAAAATAGGACAATCAGACTCCATGATGGCCCCCAGTCATCTTCATGCCTGGATCCTGTCCCCTCCTGTATCATGCAGGATTGGTCTGTGGCCAACAGAATATGACAGACACAAAGATATTTCTTTTCTGAGACTGTGTTCCAAAAACCAATTGCTTGCCATTCTAAGCAATCTTCTTTATTCAAAGTCTACCAACTTAAATGTTAGTCGCATCCAAAAATAAAAGAATACAAACTTCTGCACGGGAACCCACAGAATAACATTT